CAAGTATGGTTATTTTTACTCCTGGGACCTTAAAACGTCTAGAAATGATGAAATTTCAACTTTTTTTTTTTTTTTTTTTTTTTGGAGGATGACAATACTTCCTCTCTACCCTATGGGAGCGAGAAAGTAAAAATATGTCACGGTATGTTTTGGCCACTCTGCATATCATTTACATTGTGACGAAGCGAAGCCCGTCGAAGCTTGAAATAACAAATCAGAGGAAGACAAATATTGATGAACTTCTAAGGAAATTCGAATTTTCCCGCTCTCAATGCGCATTTACCTGATCGTGAGCTATTTTTCATTTTCAATGTTGAAAAATAAGGGTTGTTCCATTTCATTTATAGGGCCTGATTCATGTATTAAAAACAGGGAAATTACCGTCAAGGTGGTTTCCACCCAGCTCATGGCCACGCGCCAAAAAACACCTCCGACAAGAACGCGAAGAAAGTGATTTTATTACGGCCCAACCGCTTTTACATGCAATCACAAGGGTTCTTTCAGATGCCAAAAAAAGGACGTAACATAAAGGTTCGTTCTTACGACAAGTTCCACGCGAACCATTCAACTGGCTTTTAAATGGTTTTTTAAGCGTTTTATGTAGAATCTTCGATTGAGTGCATCCGTTCAGGTCATAAAGAATTCAATTGACCCTTGAGCACATTGCATGCATTCTAGGTTTCGCGGCAGATTTTCGAGAAAGAACTGGAGGTATTTCTGCCAAACGGAACTATGTGCACTATGACGTGAGCCTTGTTATGCATATATTCTTAGTGGTATCAGGGCTCATGTCTTATTATTATACCTCAATATTAGGGATAGTAACCTAATTAATTGGGGTAGCTACCACAATTTTAAGCTCCCTAATCAAGTTGGGTCTAAATACCTACCTCTTTTTTTCCGTTTTCCCAATACTAATTTATATTTAAAGGCACCTGAGGACGTTGATCTCCGCGTTCAACTTTTGCCCCAATCGAGTAAATTGGGAACATTATCAGTGCTAAAATAATCAGTCTATAATAATATATTGTTTCAGAATCAGAGAGCGACACAGACATGACAATACTCTCCTCATGTAGGATTGTAGGTGCTCTTGGGAGGGTAAGGTGGGAATTATCTTGAGAAGTCAAGGCATGGTCTGTGTCAGTCATTGCATCGAGTTGAAATTCTCACGTCTGTGCGTGACTTGGCCGCGTTATGCTTGAATTGAGCCGAAACATCGAATCCAGTCTAAGCGCGGAAGACGAATAGATGAATTGTCACTTACATATTCAACGCACCGTTTCATATTTGCAGTAATCAAACAAATCTTATCGCTCCGTGTTGACAAATGGTGATGAACGCTTGAGCTCTAAAATTTCGCGGTGCCAATTTTCCAAGCCTTGGATTAATGTTCACACCGAATGACGCTAGTTTCACACGCAGAGCAAGAAAATCCGTCGGCTTTAACGGAAATTTCAATGAATTTTCGAATGAATATTTTTCGAATTATAGTTGTCTTGAGACAATCAGGGCAGGGCTGTTGCACACGATTTATATGGCTACCTGCATAGGCCGATCCAAAGAGGAGGGCGTAGGCCATATAGGGACTTTACATTCATTGGTAATTATTTATAGCGAAATTGACACAACTGCATATTAGATACTTAAAAAATTCAAAAACATTCTGAGGGAAGCCCAGCGACCCTCCCCCTTCCTAAAAGACTGGATTTGCCTATGGCAATAGACTTTCTGATAATACAGAATTTACTCCTTGACTTTGCACAGTCCGTGCAGAGGAGAGCACATTTGAGGGGCTTGGAGGACAAGGCGCATTCAAGGGCAGTTTTTGAAAAAATTGTAAAAGTTTTGAAAACATTTATGTACTCGACGAAAAATAAACAGAGCGAAACTCGCTCTTTTTTTGCGTCATTAATTATGCGCCTGTGGAGCGGATTTCACACCTTCTTCACATCACTCGGGTTTTTTGGGGGCGAAGTAGGCTCCAGAATTTGTTTCCCTCCAAATCTAAGATCCCAAACAGTACGCTCGAAGAAAGCTTTTGAACTTTTTCTTAGGGTGTTTGAACTGGTCTCAATAAGTCTCGGCGTGGTCCAAAATGAACTTTCCAGATCACGAAATTACCACACAAGGATCTGGCAACAGGAGTTCGGGTTGGTCCTTGCCGAATCTCGACGGCGATGAAGCCCCTCCCAGCCGAGACGTGGTTCCCAAGCACTAACGAAATTAGGCTCATTTGCAGGATACATGCATGTGCATTACTTAATTTTTCCCGCGATAAGTCCATGGCATTGCTGCCAACCGCAGCGCAAACTCCAAATATCCATTGCGATCACGATCGATGAGGGCAAGACGTTGGCAACCTGGCGCAAGGGAGCAGTTCCATGCGCCGTAAACTTAACGAATATCCGGCGTGAAACTTGGAATATTCCAATACTGGTTAAAATCGGATCAATATTCTGAGACATTCTGTCTGTGAGGTTTCATATTAGAGTCTCTTTGTCATTAGAGTTGAGACACGTTTTCCGCGTTACTGAAAAGGACAGCAGTAAGTCCGAAATTGAAATTTCGAGAAATTTTACCTAATGCTGTTAAAGCAGAAGTTTTTCCTGTATGAATCCTCCAAATTTTGTCTGATTTCCAATCATAGCCCACGAGATTATTATTAATTCTTCGAGAAGTGAAACTACTTTGACCATACAAAAACAAACGTATTTATTTTATATTTGATTTCACGTGCAATTCTCTGTAGACTTGACTAGTATCCTACGTTTCCAAAAAAAAAAAAAAGAAAAACACATTTTAAGGTTTCTTTAAGCAACCCTGGCCAGATTGCCCCTGGCTTCGAGTTTCCTGCAGAGTGGAACCAGCACTATTCTATTCTACCATCCTGTTATTTACAGCAGTGCTCACATTTCATGACCGTCAAAAGTTCCAGAATTTGGAACTTTTTTGTTTCAATTCCTCCCATTTCATGACCGTCAAAAGTTCCGGAGTTTCTTTTTAGATTTTTTCGAAAGTTTCGAGAAAGTTTCGGAAAATGCAATATAGATCCGGGACCTTTCAGAAATTTCAAAAGTTCCGGGAAAAATTCAGGAAAACCTTAAAAGTTCCCAAATTCAGAAATAGTTCCGGAAAATTGGAGCACTGATTTACAGAACTCATCGTTCAGAGATTTCTTAACTAGTGATACATGTGTGCTTTTTATGATTTCAGATTGCGGTCAGGTGAACCAAGAGATCCGGATCGTGGGTGGACGACCGACCGGAGTGAACCGGTACCCGTGGCTCGCGCGCCTCGTCTACGATGGTCAGTTCCACTGCGGCGCGTCGCTCATCAACGGCGACTACGTCCTCACCGCTGCCCATTGTGTTCGTAGGTAAAATTTCCTTCCTGCTCTCCCCTTTCAAATATTTTCAAACTCTCAATTACATGGCACTCAGATTCAATTACAGCTTTTAAAAACCAAAAAATGGACGAAAAAACTCGCTTAACGCTACATAAACAAGGTGAACTATACACGCAAAAAAAAGCGCACGGCGTCATTCCTCCCGCGGTTGTCATTTTCCAGATGACCTGCTCGGCAATGCTACACGTGTAGGTAACCGAGCCACTTGCTAAGGCAACCATGCTACGCGCATAGGTGTATCCTGGCATTAACGGCCTGGCAAAGCGGAGAGTATTTTCGGGATTTGAAGGCGCGCCAAGCCGAGGTCGTGCTATTGAAGCTCTTCACCGATGAAACCTTCACTTTGTCGATGCAAAGTATCGCGATTAGACGAGTCCACACTCATGCTACTTACGAATTTTCGGCGATTGATAACAGCATGTGACACATTGATTGCGTTTCTTATGTCGATTGTTTTTAATTTAAAAACTGCGACACAGAACCAAAGCTATTTTGGGCCCCGCGTGGAGTTGGGAAAAAGGGTTGTCCCACCTGTGTCAAATTATTTCTTCGATATCCAGTACTTTTCTTCAAATGAGAGGCTCTGAAAAGTGCACTTACACCAAAGAGAAAACAAGAGCCGTGATACGAATTGCGGAGCTTTTACGAGTCGTCTCTGATTAGCTGACTTTTCCCGCCAATTTTACGATCCGCCAAGGGTCCTTTTGGAAAATAACACGGGGCCCCTTTTTTTTTCGAAAATATCTCGAAAACAAGGAAAAATCTTATATGCGTCGGAGATTTCAGGAATGAACTCTCCAGCTTTTCCCAAAGAGATTGATGGGTAATACATGACACTTTTTTCTCGAACACACCAAACAGCTCGACCTGCAGTTCCGCAATGTGTAGTACGGCTCTTGTTTTCTCTTTGATTCCTGCGCAGACTATGAGGTTTTGAGTGCATGTAAGACTGGGTCAGTTGCGCTGGTCTCAGAATTGTGTTTTGGTGCTTGATTCAAGTAGATTAGCTAAAAACACTAAGATCTGTACTTTCTACGTTCAATATTAACCGAGGTATCGCCATTTGAAAAGTCGGGTTTTTGACGTCATCCACCGCGGCTCACCTCTTCTCCAATGTACTTATCATAATATTTGAACCATTTTCCAAAAGAAACAACTTTTTTTTTCTCGAGAAAAAGTTTGTAACGGACCGATTTCCACGAGGATTAGCAACATGGTTCAGGGGTGGAAGGCTCTCGGCGGAGTAAATGCACTATGGGAGCAGAGCGAACTACGGCTCCTTGGAAACATAAATTGGAGCTAACAATGGAAATTGTAGCCGAAAACGGGAGCGAGGACGGTAGCCTTAAATCGTCTGAAACTGAGCTTGTGCAGACGATTAGATGCTTAATATTGAAATACATGGCGCGGGCCCCGCCACCCCCCTTCCCCGACGCCGAACACGATGCAAACCGCATGTTTACATAAATTATGCCCAATTCAGACCCTTCTCCTCACTTTTTCAACATGTTTTATCGGTCTCTTCATCACTCTCCTCCGTTCGCATCCCAATTCTTTTGATTATCCCATATTTCGGCGCGGAAGTTTTTTCTTCTTAATGCTTTTATTTTTAACATTTTATTGTTTTTTTATCGTTTTTTTTTTTACAAAAAACATTCTCTTTATTAATGGAATGCATAGAAATAAAGTCAAGGGTTACTTCCTTAACTTGTGGTTCCACCTCAATTTGCTGGATGATATGGACATTTTAATTTAATTTTGGTACTACCGCAACTCAAGTTGGGGTGCTGGCGCAACATTTTGGTTTAACCTAATTTATTAGTGTACTTCAACAATTAATTTGAAATGTCCAAGTTTTCGGAAAGTTTTAGGTGTGCATTCTCCTTTGGTCCTTCATTTACACACGTTTATTTATTTTTTTTTTTTTTCTAGGGGGAGGGGTGCAAAAGAGTTAGTATCAAAATTAATCAATATTCATCTTTCTTTCGAATGAACAATGCAGTTTCCGATTTTTTAATTTTTCAGTTGTTTGCGGTTCTTTAAAACTTGGGAAAAAGTGACTCTGTGTTCTACTTATGCAATACATTCAAATTTGAAACGATACTAGAATAAAAGTAAGACATCGATCACTTTCTTTCGGCAAATATGTTCGTCCCGATAAACGCTCATGGAGTCACTTGGAAAAACTCCGCGCTGGAGAAAAATGATTCGGCTTGGCGAGGAGCATGCCAAAAGTACGAGAGAATTACGCTTGAAGAAATTTCTGGGCCCGAAAAGAAGACAACGAGAGCATTCTAAGTTTATTCGGCCATTTAATCACAGGATCCCTTTGCATTTTGCCTCTTTTTATCTCCTCCATCGCATCAAGATGCGGGAGAAAGAAACTCGCATGAATTTAGCGTAATTTTAACCGGAGGCTGTGGTTCATATCGTCGCTCTGGTCATGCGAATAAGCGCCATTCTCTCATGAGCTTCCGGAAGCGTGAGGTTGTATAAACGATAGATGTCGTCTCAATGCGTACATTTACGTATATTCAAAGGTCCACTAATACAATGGGAAATGCTGATAAATATGATTATACATCCCTGTCAGTGGCGTGGCCTGGCGTGCTTTGCGATATATAGGTTGATCTGTCATTTGAACCTTTGGAAAAAGATTGAAAAACAGGATGATCGCAACAAACACCTTAATAATCAATTCTTTACCATAGCTCCAAATGGGAAAATATTGATAATCGCTCATTCACGTCTCGTCATTGATCCCTGTGCGTCCAAGATTTCAGTGTTCACCCAATTCCTTCGAACAATACTGAAGGATTATTACCATAGACAGTGGTTGCTTGTTAACTCGGCTTCAAGATGTATCACTGACATGACGCTTTATTTTAGAGTGCCACTTCATTTCAAAATACAGAGCCTGTGACCACACACACTGAAAAAAACACATTGGATCGAGAGTCCAGACTCTTGGAAACATTGACAAAAAAATACTCTTGATTCAATCAGATTTTTGCTTAAATCAAAAGGATATCCGCTCAAATTAAGAGGCTTGGTTCTTGATTTAAGCAAAAATCTGATTGAATCAAGAGTATTTTTTCTTGTCGATGTTTTTAAGCGTCTGGACTCTAGATCCAATGAGTTTTTTTCCCCAGTGCATGAACCGTGTTCGCTCTTCCCAAAATAATCGGCCGAAAGAAATAACTCCAAGGTCTGCAAACGGAACTCTTTGACTTATTCTTGATTTTCAGGGCTAGGCTAAACTCTCTAATTTTTCCAAGTTTTCAATTAATTTTTAAGAACTTTTCAACCTGTTTTTTTGGTAAGGGCATCTTAAGAGCCCCTTTACCTAACGGTGATTTATAGTTGTATTTGATGGATGTTGCAGGTTGAAGCGGTCGAAAATTCGGGTGATTCTGGGCGACTACGACCAGTATGTGACGACAGAGTCGGAGGCGATCATGCGGGCAGTATCCTCGATTGTGAGGCACAGGCACTTCGATATCAACTCGTACAACCATGACATTGCGCTCCTCAAATTGCGCAGGCCTGTCCTGTTCTCGAAAAGCATCAAGCCGGCGTGTCTCCCCGGTACAGGTACGTTTTATTTGAGGCAACTTCAGCAGAGGCGAGGCAAGAACAATCGATTAGGTATCTATATTTCCCCACATTTGAAGCCATGGTAAAGAATCGATTGTTAAGGCGTTTGTTGCGAACATCCTGTCTATCGATCCTTCTCCATAGGTTTAAATGGTAGATCAATCGATATGTCGTCAAGGGCAACAAGGAAGCGGCTCTTCGGTTGATTTGTAAAACTCCATGAGCATAACCAACGGGCTGATTATTGAAATTGATAGACAAAGCGATAGACAAAAAGTACATAGGGAGTATGGAGCGATCCTATTGGTTGAAATGTGCGGTCCCTGTAGACTAAGGAAGAAAATGATGGACTAACTATCGGGTTTCTCGTGGGTTGCCGTCAGTTAGTCTATTACCTACTGCTTTTGTCCATTGCAACCACCAGCTTGCACCAATAGGATCCCTCCATGTCCCTTTTGTCTTATTTGTCTATAACTTTGTCTATCAATTTCAATAATCGGCCCGCAGGTAGTTGGTTCCCCTCTTATTGATTTCACGAATGGGAAATCTGAGAGGGGACCAACTTTGCACTTGGTTACTTTCTCTGTATTAATATAACTGTTTTGCATTCAATCGGGGAGAACCGAGTTGTTATATCTTGAATAATATGATGGTTTTTAATGCAAAGAGATGTTCGTACTCCTATGATATTTTGGTTCATTATCAGACATGCTCCACCAAATTTTCAACTACGACACAGAAGCTAGTGAGACGCTTAGATCTGGCGGACTTTTTGGTGCAATCCCCTCCTCCGCCATAGACAGCCGGCAGAATGACCTAGGAAAATCCTTGACGATAAATCGATTTGAATTAAGTTTATTTCCGAATGAAATAACTAAAAACGACCTTATTGCACACATGATAAAAAGCTTTACTTAATTGAACAAAGACCAGTTTTTTATAAAAAAAATTTCCTTCGCGCTCATCTTCTACAGGAGACTCCAAACCGCATATTGAGGAAATGTTAATACATAAAGAATAGTACTGTGTCAAAGTTTTCAAGCGCCTTTTTCGTTCTCAAAGGTTAGGATGGTGTGCTCCTAGTGGTGAAAATTCCAAAAAAAAGTCAGGTTATTTTCAAATCGCTTTGGTCCCATGGAAGAACACAAAAATTTCATGGCGTCTTGGTTCCAGTTTGGTTTGACATGTATTTGGGTGTTTTCGTGTCCAAAACTTCGCGGAATATATCTTCAGATACTCCTTTTTCCCACTGTCCCCCTGTGCAGGCTGAAGCGGTGGGGTGGACTGAAGTGGTTTTCCACTGTGTCTCCACTTTCTCGGTATTTTATATTTATAATAGTGATACCTACAGATATTCTGACTATAATTTTCCGGTGGTAGGGTCACGTCGTGTTCCAAACTCCTCAGTCTCAAAATAAATTTACTTTGAAGTGGCGAGTTCATCCTGATTTCATCATGACATTTTATTTTAGTTATTTTATTTTTTTGGTTAATTATTCCTCAATATTTAATTATTTTTATTATTTAATTATTTTTTAAAAGCAGATGATGATCCTGCCGGGAAGAAAGGCACAGTGGTGGGCTGGGGCAGAACGTCCGAGGGAGGAATGCTGTCAGCCGTTGCCCAAGAAGTCCAAGTTCCTATTCTAACCAACAACCAATGCAGGGCAACCAAGTACCGACCAACCAGAATCACCACCAATATGCTTTGCGCCGGTGTCGGAAAACAGGATTCTTGTCAGGTGAGCACTGAAGACACGAGTTACGCACTTCAAGTTCGCTGATTTAAAACTAAAGAGGCCAAAGAATTTATTCGAGTCGGCTTGTGGCAAACTTCTGCTACAGCCAAAGTGAAGAGTTTTATCCCAGGCAAAATGACTCAAAAATCACAATGAGGAGATTGGGGAAGTCTAAAACACTATTTATTTCCCAATCTGCGCAATGGGTCTCTAAATAGGGCATAAACGAAGCTGTAGACCCCCGGAGGGATTCCGCTCAAAACTAATTTTCAGGGGTAACATATGACGAGTATTCATCGGAATATTTAGTTTTGTCCGAGACAACCTATCTTTTTTGGTGAAAAAGGGCATTGAAAGTTGTAAGTTTTTGGCTTTCCCGCTGAATTTCGTCTAATTTTACCTGTGGAAAAAGTAGTTTTGAGCTTAATTCCTTCGGCTGTGTACACAGCCCCATTAGAGCACCACGTAACATGTTTCCTCTTCAAAATTTCAAAAATATCTATTCGTTTAGTAAAGCTTCCGTTTCCACACCAGTTCATAATGCAGGGCGTGCAATCCTGGTGTTGAATAATTTCAGAAAGTTATGATCACACCTGCTAAGCTGAGAGTCAATAATCTCAAATTAACAAAAGAAAGCTTCATAGCTTCTTGATCGTTGATGATTTACGAAGGCATGTATAGCGTGCGGTATTCTATCTAATTGAAGGAATTCCAATCACCACACCGGAACGCTCGCTGAATAAGGTTTGACTGCACGGTAGTAATTTTATGCGTTTTTATTGACTCTCAAAACAACTGCCGGGACAGTTCATTTACATGTGAATAAAACCAACGTTTAACCGTTTTTCTTTTATGCCAGTTATGAGAAAAAACAGTGGGTTTAATTATTAGGATGATAGAGAATGTTTCAGCCAATATTACATGACAGAGAAAAATGACATGATTCCCAACTATCTAGAAAATTCTGAAGGCAAGCGCAGTAATTGGTATTTCTGATAATGGAATTGATCATAGCAAAGTTTATGAATCTATTTACCAAACCTCATAAATTTATTTTCTCTTCATTGGAAGATGAGAAGACCTTGATTAAAACTTTGAATAAACATCAATTTATTTTTGGTCATTTCTTTTTTAAAATATTGTATGTTTTAAACTATACATGCATTTCCAGGGTGACAGCGGTGGGCCTTTGATCATAAGCACTGGCGTTGACAAATTTGAACTCGTTGGTGAGTACATAGTTAATATTAAATTTCATAGTAAAAATAGTGGTGTTGACATTTTCTCACCTAGTAATTTTCCTCGTTGCCTTAGTTGAGGTATACATGATCGATGGGTTGAAACATAACCACTAACTCATTCAATTAACTTTGAATATCTGATTAGATTGAATGAGAGAAGATTTGCGAAGAAAAATTACTGTCTTTTATTTAGAAAAAAACCGTCGACAAGAAAAAGAGGCAGGAAACATGTCGCATTAAAAAAGCGTAGAATTTTATAGAGAAAACTAGAAACGGGGTCGTTTCTTCAGAAAATTATACGCTCTTAAAATTAGTATGTCAATCATCGAGAGATCGATTGATATTCAATATAGCGAGGACATGAAAATGTTTTATCTTCTTTATACTTCTACCCTTAGGCTCTCCCATTTGTTTTCACCTCTTCCACATCTGCCTCCTTGTTTCCTCCTTGTCCCCCTTTCCTCCTTTCTCCTTTTCTCGATTTTTCATCTTCATTTCACTCCTTCCCCCCCCCTTTTCTCCATTTCCCCTATTTTCATAAATTTTACTGCCTTGTACTGATTTACTTTCTTTCTCCTCTTTTCCTACTATTTACCTCCTTCTTTCCCCTTTTCTTCTTTCTTCTCCTTTTGACTCTATGACAGATGTTGACCTGACTGACTTCATTATTTTCGCCTTACAGGTATCGTCTCTTGGGGAGTGGGCTGTGGCCGACCCGGATATCCCGGTGTCTACACCCGTGTGAGTCGCTACATGGACTGGATACAGAGGAACATGCATGACACCTGCTTCTGCGTCAGTTGACATTTCTCCCACCCCCGCCCTCCACCGCGCATCGGTGCCAACGTGACGTCAGACAAAGGAGTCAAACCACAAGGCTCCCTTTACATGAACGAACTTTCAACGAACTAGCCGGAAAGTTCGGGATTTCGGCTTCCTCATTCCCCATGCTTTTACCTTGCTTTACATAGAAATCATGCGGAAAAGTTCGTCCTGTGAATGGAGCCTAACTCATGCGCGTCCAGCCATAGGTATAGCTGATGGCTTTTGACTTCAGGATAGCAGAGCGTTTAAAAAATGTGTACCGGCTCTGTAGAAATACCTACATATCGTTTCTCAAAATTTCACTGAGGAAAATATATTATCAAAACCATCAAATAAGTGGAGTTTTATATGAAATCTTAACAAGTAGTAGTCGTTACCAATAATAGTGGTATTTTTTTATCATTAAGAGAAATTTTTTTTTTTTACGTTGATAATTTTACCATCACGTCGGTGAACATATATCTTTTCATGGAAAAAATACCACAATTTTGGTTATAAGGTATAATAATAATTCAAAAAGTGATTCAATACTTTCATAGGTGGTTATAATTCTTGTTGGACGCCACCAATCGAATAATTTTGACCATAGTTTTTTCTCAGCGAATATTTTGTATCATTGATGTTAAAAACTGGAGCACACAGATACTAAAATAAAGGGGTCTCTATGATTTTAAGCCACACTAGTCTCCGCGCTTGATACATTTTTCAAAATTTAATAAGTAATTATAGAATCGAGTAATCCGGCTAGTTGTGCCACTTTCTCCTACTCTCTCTCTCGTCTAATACGAACAATTCCATAAAAGAAATAAATGAAGGGTATTGAGGTATTGAAGGTAAAACAGAGAAAGCGGAGGCGTAAATTAAATGCTAAAATGAAGAAATATTCACACGATTACACACATGTATGAGAGAGAAGTATGGACCAAAGGCCCCTTAAAATGATAACTTTAAATTAAAAGTAAGTTACCGGAGTGTCTTGTCATAGTTTGATTATTGGTTTAAGCCGGAAGGACCAAGTTTTAACTTTTATATACATCTTTTGAAGTGAAAAAATGTGGTCTTTGTTTGAACTATAAAATGCTAAAGCAGTTCAGCGAATCGAATATGCCAGCATCAATTTTTGATGTTTGAAGTCATCTGCTTATACATTTCAGGAAGTTATCAGAACCATACCTATACGTGAATTTTTAGGAATTTTGTAACCGGTGTAAATATTTTCATTAATAAGCGTGCCTTACCGTGTCTCAAGATGCAGATAAGTTTAAATTATACTCAAAAAGAAAGCTAACAGTTGATGTATAGTTGAAGTTAATCATTCGTTGCTATGCAAGTTTTGTTATATCTATGATTTCGATAAATTTTTTGTATGATTTCTGTTTTTTTATGTTATCTCTAAGAGAGAAAATATTTGAAAATAAAAGAAATGCCCCCTGAAAATTATTGTCTTTCTTTCTATTTTAATTTTTTGATCAATACACGGAAAAAACAAGACTAGTGTTGAGCACTACTGGCCGTTTAGTGGGGAGTAGTTGAGGGCCGGCGTCTAAGCTCTGTACAGCTCAACACCGGAAGGCAGTACAGGTGGGCACTGAACATGAGTAGTGCTAATCAGATGCCGCGAGACGTAGTTGCGCTTAACNTTCCTGTGTTTTCGTTTATCGTTCTCGTTTCGGGCTGCTTTCACATACCCTTTGTTTTCCACTTATAAATATGCAAGCAGCAGATGTTTGAACTGCACACGATCGTGTCTAACTTTGATGGTCATTTTATAGCTAACGATAAAATGAATTGAGTGGCCGTTATCATTTGAAGCATTTAAACTATTCGCAGATACAGCGTTGAGCATTCAATTTGCCTCACTTTAACACTTCTCACGTCATTTTATACTATATCTAATACTGACTACAAATGGAAAGGAATCGTCAATGTCTGAAGCTATAACTTGGCGCATTATGAATATTTCAGACCGATTTCTCTGAATTTTGCAGGTCAATCCTCACTGAAATGGACACTTACTGTAAAAAGCAATATTTGGAATATTAATTATTGACTTTGTCATACACGGAAAAAACGAGCTTAGGGTTGGGACCTACATGTTAGTGCTGGGCACTAACGAGGGTTAGATCAAATGGAGCCAGCAAGTCAGAGTAGTGCTGGGCACTAAACAGCTCGAGGCTGGGTCACTAAGGAAGAAGTAGTGTCAAGCCCTAAAGTGACTTTGGAGCGAGCGTAAAATATGAAACGCCTCCGCCTGGGATCGAACTCGGGTTGCGCCGGTGGAAGACCAGCGCGTTACCACCAGGCTATCGTGACTCCGATATATCATGGGTGAATTTACACCTGTTAAGCGCAACTACGTCTCGCGGCATCTGATTAGCACTACTCATGTTCAGTGCCCACCTGTACTGCCTTCCGGTGTTGAGCTGTACAGAGCTTAGACGCCGGCCCTCAACTACTCCCCACTAAACGGCCAGTAGTGCTCAACACTAGTCTTGTTTTTTCCGTGTAGAGTTCAATTTTTTCATTGTTCCACCAGACAAATTTACTCAAAATAAATCAAATTTTTTTTCTACCACTTAACTGGCTCGACAATATAGCACTGGAGATGATTGTGGTCTAGCAAGTGACACCATTATTTTCGATCGGTTAAATCTTTACTCTTTTTCATCAAAGGAACAGAAATTTTGTATCAAAGGTCGTAATATGATATGGTGCGGGATGATTTAGATTATTTCCGTGGAAAAAGTCGAGAGAAAAGTCGAAGAATTTGGGTATTTGCATGGGACTTTTTAAAGGATGTTCTATCGGTCGGTGTAACTTCTCATCCATCCGATTTGACGACTCACTTTCTTCAGCTGTCTGCAATGCGTACCTGACCTTTGCTGCAGACTGTTAGAATGTCGGTATTTTCTCCAAGACAAACTATGTTGATGGAATAAAGCGGTCAAGTGTTGCTAAATTTTCTTGATATTTTATAATACTTTTCTCTCTATACTTCCTAATTACTGTGAAAAATTCATTTGGTTTTCTGTATTTAAAAGTGTTTTTATCGAAGTTCATTAATGTGGGACTATTTAATGTGCCATATATCGACGGTGTAAGTCGGCAATCACATAACTCGGTTTGTGACGTCGCTGACTTCCTGTCATACCTACTTTATTTTTTAAACGGAAAACTATTTAACGGCAATTCTTTAAAACTGCCGTGATTTTTCTTCTCGGTGCGAAAAAAATTCTGCAAAATCATCAATGAATGATGTCAATTTTTCCTCCTTTAAAAAAATAACATCTATGTATAGGCGGAGATGTTCATACACCGCAAACGGGATATGTGTATGCGGACTTACACCGTCGATATGTATCATTCTCTGATAGGAATATCATTGCTTCAGCATAGTATAACTGAATAAGAGTAATTAAAAAAGTATAATCTGCAAAATGATTGCCTCTTAAACTGCTGTATCGATATTAAGACATAAAAAAAGTGATCTTGTGAAAGAAAAGAGATCAGACTAGAAAAAAAAGAAGGAAAAACATTCAACTGAAAGATTGCTACCGCTGCTTACATGAGTATTTTACTAACATCTTGACCGAAAAACCTACAGAAACGTCAAGCTAAACCCGAGTTATGACAGCTTGATGTTTGGAGAGGAAGTCAAAAAGCGTCATTTTGAGAGAAAGTTATTTTTAGCTTCCGTTTGCCATGTTCGAGATCCAAAGTTGTTAGATAAAATGCAATTTTATGCCTTCTATTGGCACATGAATGACCCAAACCGCTCGCAACTTACCCTTTGGGACACAAGAAAGTGTTTGCCGTCGAAAACTCGGATTCAAGTTCTTCCACGCAACATGACACAAATGATGCCCTCCTCCTCCAAACATATCTGTCGCACACTGAGGTTTCTCCTCCCACAAGGAGTCTGCAAAAATGAAATTTTACTGTGATTTTTTCCTTAGTTTTATGTTAATTTACATTAAACTTCCCACCCGTTAAGAAGAAGAAGAAGAAGAGGAAGAGAAGATGGAGATAAAGGAGTAGATTGGGGAGGATAAGGGGAAGTAGAAGAAGAAAAGGAAGAGGAACAAGGAGAGCTGTAGAAGTAGCGTAGTCACAAGAGAGAGGAGAAGAGAAAGAGGAACATGAAGAATCAGTGGAAGGAAAAGAGGGAAAAAGGGGAAAATCTAGAAGCGTCTGTCATTAATTTTGTTGCATGTATTTTACGAAAAGCTAGCATCAATTCAAATAATGAAAAATCGTGCAAATTTGAAAGAATTTCTTGCGCGAAATTGGTGGAATTTACAAAAATTAGCCCCATATGAGTATCCTTTACCTTTTTTCTCTCGCAACGTAACCCCCCCCTCTTCTTATGATATTAATACGGGCAGTACCTTTGCTAAACATGTGATTCGATATAGATCCAAATTTAGAAACACGCAAAAACAAGAATCAAGGGAACAATCTGCGAAAATCAAAATTTTTCGACTTCAGTATGGGATCTGTTTTTGCCTACCTCATTCAAGTAAAAGAAAATTATTCGTTGTTCCCGTAAAATCCCTTTTCGTGGAATGAGCTATACTTACACACGGTGAATTTAAATTCCCCTTAAGCATACTCTTTCGTCAAATTTTTTTTCAAAATGTGTTGAACATTAATACACAACACGTTGATACAGTCGTATCTTTACAATTAACATATCAATTAACTACTGCGACAGTCCGACTGGCGCCTTCAATTTGAAGAATAGGCAAAAACAGCTCCTACGCGTTGATATAGTCGTATTCTTCACAATGAATATATCAATCAAGTATTGCGATGGTATGGCCGGCGCCTTCATATTTGAAGAATAGGCAAAAACAGCTCCTAAACGTTAATATAGTCGTATTCTCCTCAATGAACATATCAATCAATGAATTCCTTGCGAATTTCCGATCATGTTTCATTTTTTTGAAGGAATTTTCGCAACAACTTCATCGCTTGTAATTCTCATGAGTCTTTTTCGTATAAAGTGAAAAAAAATAATCAATCATTCACAATTAAGATATCCACTCGAGAGTTTTCCAAAGTCAAATCAGGAATTTTGATGATTTTGACGGAAAATGAAATCATCTCGTCACGTTCAAATGGCCAACACCGGGGATCCAGGGGTGTCCCTTGGAGCGGGCCGGGAGAGTAAATATCCCTCATCCTCTGGCTTATGAAGTTGGCCTTTTCATGGGCCATTTTGGTAAGTTATGATACGCTGTTTAGGGCATTTTCGGGGATACATTTAGTTCTCTTCCTTCCTAAAATTACCCTACCAACTTTGAACAACTTTTGACCCCCCCCCCCTCTATTCCTCCAAAAATTTGCCTGAGATCACGTATTTTCAACAAGTCGGAATAATTTTGGGAGTAAAAGGACGAAATTTTATGTTTACTGGTTTTAAAACGACTAACATTTGAGTGATAAGAAGATGCGATGGGTTCTAATATAAAATTTGAAGCTGAATTTGAAAAATGGGACAACAATTTGATTACATTCTATGCGAGGATTTCCTGAGATATCCCGCATCGCGGCATGCAGCGGTCAAAACTCGCGGGAAATTCATCGCCCTTCTGACGTAAGGGCGTACTTAGATTTCCACGTGAGCCCTATCTTTCATAGAACTCCATATTTTCCGCGGCTCATGTGGAAATACATATACCCCTTTCTGTTACAGGGGCGACGAATTGTGATGCTGTGCTGAGGAAATAACGTCGTGCAAACACTTTGAACGTTGCCAATTCCTTTGATTAAAATCGAATTTCCAAATTTATGGAATTCTCACGGAGAAAAAGAAAATAGGGGAATTGTTTTTCGTTTTGTTTCGTCCTTCTCCTTTTTCTCACCGACATAAAGGAAGCACGTTCAAGGGTCCGAGCCTGTGCAGGGCTTTTGCCAGGTAGAAAGTAAGTTGAGCCCAAAAACAATTCGTCCTTTGTTGCAACTCGAGAAGATTTCGGAACATATTGGACAAGGATGGGAAACTGATTAAAAATGTATTTATTCAATATTATTTTTCGGAGATTTAGGAAATAGTTTTTTGTACGATGATGCTCCTAGTGTTCAATAGGACTTTTCATGCATTAAAATCCTCAGAAATGTTGAAGAATCAATCTCTAATCCTCTCCGACGTTCTTGCCTTCTCTTTGTTCCTCGGTTTTTGTCAGAGAGCGAATTTTATTTTGAGGCTCGGAGCTCCTACTGCGCCCAAACCGCGCAGTCGCCATTTTATTTGAGTTCAAAACTTCCGATTCGGTGACTGACCAATCGCAATGTTGGTACGTGATTTTGGTACCGCCTTGCGGGATGGTCTAAAAAAAGCTTAGATCTTGAAAACCAACGGATCTGATTGGTCGAATCTGTTTGCAACGGTGTCCTTTACTGTGCTGCCGTGCTAAGGAAAACACCGGATGAACCTTCGGGCGTTGCCAAATTTTGATTGATAAAACACAAATTCCCTGGTAAACTTATCGATATTTTTCTACCAATTTTTCAGATAATATTGTTCGCAATTTCACTTACAGCTCCGGAAAATGTCAAGGAAAAATATTCATAACTTGCCTCAAAAGTAAACATTTTACTGAAGGCAATTTGGCAGCTCTCGGATGTTCATACGGCGCTCTTCCTTAGCACAGTAGTGTTGACGATCGATGGGCCAGTACCAGCCAGAGAACAGAACTTCCCGAAGAGATTCAGAACTTTTAAAAAAAATATTTTTTTATGCTTTTTGGCAACGTGGGATGGTTCGCTCGCTGCGTTTTCCGGCGACGCAGCGCGGCAAAAATAACGTCTTCAAATAACTCGAACGGGCAGGAGCAAGGGCCCGGACGGAGAAACGCTCTCATTCCGCGGACCCAGAGTGACGTGTGCCGGGAACCAGACTCACAGGAGGGCACGGGGGGATGGAGGGGTGGCGAGAGGGGGGAAGGGGGACGCACGACAGTTGATCTTCGCGAAGAGGACCGCGTCTCCGGCTAATTGCCCATTCTGTTCGCCTCGGTCTATTAAAATGTCCTTTCGTTTCGGACTTGTCGTTTGCCTCACTCTTATTAGTTGTTCCGCCGTCTTTTCCGCCAAATTTTCCGTAAGTCTCTTTGTTTTCCTTTCGCTTTGCAGCAGCTTCGAGTTTCCCTTCGCGTCCCTCGCAAAAGGACGCACAGTGGATCGAGTCGATGGAAGAGGTCGGACGAAATTTGGAAACTTGAAATGCTTATAACTCCGTTTATACAAAACTTTGAGGTTCTAAAAGTGGTTCCATTGATTTTCTCGTGAAATTTTTCTTCTAAAACACCCCTTAAAATTTAAAATATGACGAAATAAACATCAAAATTTCCAGTTTTGGTCAAAAATTTTATGTCCAACCTCTCTAATTGACTCGATCCACTGTGCGACACCGCGTGTGCTCGCTGAAACCTATCTTCTCAACACGGAGGAACCTAACTCTATGTCAAGGGTTCAAAATTGACTTCAGTGATTTTATGTTTAACGAAGACATTGTCGTGCAATATTTGCTAAAATATGCCGAATTTTGCATGAAATCAGAGGAAAAATTAGTGAAATTTTCAGTCTCAAACTCCTAACAGTTCACTTGCAGTTCACTTTTTTTAATGAGAAACGACGTAGTGTGCTTATCTGCTTCAGTGCCCTCTCTATGAGATGCGTGATTGACCACTAGAAAAGGTTAGAAACCAAAAATCACCACACATATTACCTATTAAAGATTTTAATGAGAACTCGATGGGCTTATTCAGAAAGAGATAAATGGGGAATTTTTGTCCTCTCAATTTAAAAATTCCCGCTCGCCCAGAAGCGTCAAGTCTATTTGATCGATTTTGGCACTGCACCAGGTATAGTTTCAATATTCTTAACAATTAAATACAAATTTAAAAATACGACTATGAAATCGGAGCGCGAGAATTGTCCTTGAGTAATTCAATCAATTAATACAGGATTTCCAAGCTGTAAAATGCTCTCTTGTAAAATGTTCTCTATATGTATAATTTGGTAGGAGTCTGGAGCTGATTGGAATAATGAATTTAAAGGACTGTCTACACTATTTTGAACTAAAATGAAAAATCTTTTTTTTTCTGTTGGAATCATAAAAGACAGAATATTACATTCAGTGAAAATGTGCGGGCCCCCTTTAACATGCTGAATGATGAGAGGGAAAGAACCAACACTATAAACTAAATTCTGCAAAAAGGAACTATTATTTCTGGCTTATAACAGAAGCAGCATGTAAAGGCCTATAGATACACGCGGCAATTAATCGCCGTGTGTATCTAGGCCTTCAGCGACATAGTCGATCTTCCTAGCAGATAGGTGTTTTTATGGCTATGCCAGGGACAATAGTTTCGCACTGCAATAATCGCCGTGTGTATCTAGGCCTTCAGCGACATAGTCGATCTTCCTAGCAGATAGGTGTTTTTATGGCTATGCCAGGGACAATAGTTTCGCACTGCAAAATATAGTTCAGACGTAAATATGCAGGGACGGACTGGCCGGGGTGGCGATGGGGCGATCGCCCCACTTTCATCGGCCAAAAGGGGCCCCGGAGGGGCCCCTTTTGGCCGATTTGAAGGGCCGTATTTCGCCGTTTCGAAGAAGCGCCCGAGGGCTTTTTCGGTTCGTCCTCGAGAAAGGGCCCCGAGACTCCTGAGAGGACAGGACACTTTATTGCCGATTCGGAGAGCGCCCTGAAGGAGCTTTTTTATGCCGTATCTAAGGGCGTTGCATTTTGAGAGCCCTTTTTTCTGATTCGAATAAGTCCAAAGGGGTCCTTTTTTGTCATTTCGGAAGAGCCCTGAAGGACTCATTTATTGCCGATTCGAAGAAGACTCGATGGAGCCTTTTTTTGCCGCTTCTAAGGACCTTAAAAGAGCCCCTTTATCTGATTCGAAGGAGTCCTTTTTTGCCGTTTCCAAGGGACCATTTATTGCCGATTTGAAGAGGCCTTGATGCGGTTTTATACCGCCTCTAAGGACCTTCAAGGCACCGGGCTCTTTATCGCCGATTCGACAAAAGGGTCCTTTTTGCCGGGGGCCCTTTGGTACTGATTCAGAGAGGCCTCGAGGGCGCATTTCTATGCAATTTTGAACTTTGGAGGCCCCTAGTAGGGAACCTTTCCTACCTTCCTCAAGGGATTTCGTAGGGGCCTTCGGCGATTTTTCCCCCCTTTAGCGAAATCCATAATGGGGGCTGTCCATATAATACGTAACGCAGTTTTTCCGATTTTTTTACCCCCATCCCCCCTCCGTAACGCATCGTAACGCAAGCTCGAACCATCCCCCCCCCCTCAAAAAAAATGAATAAATACGTAACACAAGCCTCGCCCCTCCCCCCTATTTTGGTCAGTTTTTTAAATTAACAAGGAAAAAAAGGTCTTACGGCAAAAAAGAGTTACGTAACGTTGGGCTTGACCCCCCTCCTCCCCCGTTAATACGTTACGTATTGTATGGGCAGCCCCAATGACTTTTTTCTAATTCAAAAATTCCCGCGACATAAGGCCTCTTTTGACACATTTAAGACGCGCGTGCGAGTCGATTCCTTCAAATACCATAGGGCTACTTCACTCACTCACAAGGCTCGAGGCTTGTCTGGATCGCGAATGCCGCCGGCGCCACACAGTTGTCATTAGTGTATGGCTCGATATTACAAGACCGGTAAAGTGTGAAAAACCAATGGGAAAGTGAACAATCCGAGCGTCAAGACTTTTTCGTAAAACTGTGTTTCTATTTCCAGTTTAATTAACACAATAATTTTCAAAGTGTCAGATTTTTGTCAATTTTTTGTTTGTATTTTTATTTTCATTCTTATTTTTATTTCGATGGCTAAATTCTGAAAACACGTACCTCGGAATCCGCATCATTAACTCATGAACCCTGAGACTCATAAGGATACACGCAAAACATGAGCATCCTTACGAGTCTCAGGGTTCATGATGCGGATTCCGAGTTACGTGTTTTCAGAATTTAACCATCGATTTATTCATTCATTACGCGTCATTTAACTAGTAAACGGCACTGATTTTTCGATGAGCAGAGCGAAGAAAGGATCCAATAAAACGTTCAAAAAAAATTAAGACAGTTGTCAATTTTGGCGGCTAAAAAGTACATTTAAAAAAAACAAACGAACAAAAAAATCCGAACTGTGTTTTTCAGAATGTGTTCTTTTTAGACTGTCACTATTACTATTCTACTTGATTCTACATATGTATCTTCTGTATACTAATTTAGCTTTGGCACAATTTTTCGTTGGAAGAGGAAAATAAAAGTTGAATTCCAAGTATACAACGGATTCTCATTTTTTCATCCAGTTTAAGAAAATATACTAAGTTTTGCATTTCTGGTCTCTTTTTGGATAATGTTTCAAAAATAATATTAAAGAATAGGGTCTAAAATAGCGTAAAATGCATTCTAAAAGGGCCTAATTTTCAAAATTTTCCGGGGGAGGGCCCCCGGACCCCCCTTCTACTGGGGGGCCCGCCCCATACTTAATTTAGGGCCAGTCCGCCCCTGTAAATATGAGCAAATCTGAAAAACGCCCGTACTTCTTCTCTACTCCCAAATCTATCAGAGCGCACACCGGAGGTAATCTAGACACTTCGAACGAGGTAGCGGGTGGAACGGGGGTCTGGAGGACTTCCCCCAAATTTTTTCGAAATTTCAAAGCATCCAATATTTAGTTTGAGTCAGCTTCTTCATAAATAATCAACAAATATGAGCAGCTCCTCTTCTTCTTCCCTTCGTTCATCCCCTATTTCTTATTTCCCATTTTCCCTCCATTTCTTGGGCGATACGGGGGGAGGGGGGCTTACGCCCCCTACATCTCTCTTGAGTCCGCCTATGGCGCACGCCTAGTTTGCCATTTTTAATACGAGGAAGATGTCTAAATATGCTATATAGAAAATTAGAAGGGAGAAAGCTGAAAAAATCAGAAAATCTCTCGAACGTAAATCATGCAAGGATGGTTACATTTGAGGACAAGGCGCATAAGTGCAATTTTTTTAAAGAAATCGAAGCGTTAATGTTTTGAAGTAAAACTAGTCTTAATGCGTAATCTGCAAAAAATTCACTTCCAAATTACAATTTTAAGCATCAAAAAGTCATTTTAAACTTTCTCTCCGCCACAGGTATCCATGTGTATTCGAAACTTTTTCACGTTTTCTCGAAATAGCAAAAGCTGCATTTATTCGCCTTGTCCTCCAAGCCCCTCATTCGAGGTTTATACAAATAGCAAAATATTTGGATATTCAAGTTCAGCGAACACAAATCGGGAAGAAACACTATTTTTTCAATGAAGGGCACCTAATCGCAGCATAGCCTCATACTTCTCAAGCTTGAACACTAACAGTATATCTGGGTTTACTCGTTCATCATTAGCTCATGCTGTCCCGTCGGATGCAGAAAGTCACTTTAGGCATTTTTATGATAGTCGAGCCGCCCTGATCATTTCTCCACGTCCACAATTCATAGTTTCTCATTTGGCTTCATTCTGGAACATTACCGTAGCGGGAAAAAACCGGAACTCTCATTCTGTGAAGGTAGTTGAACGTTGAAAGTTGTCATGAGTAAAATTAGCGCCGCCAAAACCAGGAGCGCGCGCTTCGCCGCCTGGCTCTGTACTTAATGAAACAAAAGCTATTAGAATAACAAGAAAAAAATTACTCGCTCACCGACTCCCGGCGATCATACACAGTTGCGATTCTTGGAAGTTGGATACACTGTTTTTCACCATTTAAATGCATTATATAAGGCGATTGGAGGACAAGGCGCATAAGTACAATTTTTTTTTTTTAAAAAATTAGAAAAAAATGATTTCATGTAAAACTAGTCTTATTGCATATTCTGTGAAAAATTCGCACCCAAATTCAAATTTTTAAGCATGATAAAGTTAGTTTGAACTTTATCTTCGCCATAAGGATCTATGTAATTTGGAAACTTCAAACACGTATCTCTCGAAATAGCAAAAACTGCACTTATGCGTCTTGTCCTCCAAGCCCCTCATATATATCAATTTAAGGTGAGGCAGGATGGCGCTTACAATCGATTGATTTACACACGTTTAGTGAAGTATAAACAGCGTTGCCATATTGCAAGAATTTCCATCAATCATAAAATTGTGCAGATTTAATCTGAATCAGCCTTTAACTACACCTGACGTTGTTTAATTTTCTCAAATATGTTTTTTCTCACTAGAAATACAAGGCAGCATCTAGTAAAATTCCACGGGCCCAACGCACATGTAAGAAAGTTGGTGGCACAGCTCCTTCAGTTTTAAAGTTACTGCTTTTTTCAGTAAAATGGCAGTATAGACACTCCTTTATTGAATGACTAGGGGATACAGGGCCCCCGTGGGTTAATCTGAATAGAACGGATTCATCTGGGGATTATTTCCTATCGGTAGCCGCAAAAATCATGAAAACCGATCCGGTAAACCTTCAGAACAAGCCGTGACCAAAAAATAATAATAATAAAAAAAGAAAAAATCAATTAAATTTTTAATATGAGAGACTGTACAACTTAACCACGAAATTTTAAAGAAACCCAGGTCATATTTCCAAAATCCGATGGGACGGACCCATCTAGGTACTACCACCATATCCTTAAAATCATGGAAATGGGTCCAGTTAGAGTACCTGTATAGCGAGAGTACAGACAGGTTGTGAAACTCCAAAAATCCATCAAATCTTTATCGATGCATTCGCAAATTAAGTCAGGTTCCGAAAGGGCAGCCAACCCATGAATCCAAATTATCCAGAACCATTTAGTATTATTGCAATAATTGTTACGGCCCGCCGCCGTATGTATAAAGCTTGTATTCGACTTAGTTTTTGCATTTCAGTCATTTTCACGGAAGAATGCTCATTCATCAACATTCTTGGCCATCTTGCTTCGATATTAGAATCTGAAGATCGGCAGTGAAGGTTTGTGTGTTGCACCGAAAAAAAGTGATGTTGATTTAACATTCTGGATGTAAAAAAATTGTGCGAGAACTTACAAAATGCTGAATTACTCGTTATCGTCGTGCTGAATTATCTCGTTCGTCAGTTAGTCTTACATTTTGACATTGCTAAAGTAACTGCTGTTACAGCAGTGCTGTAGCGGTCAATGCAGCATTTTGAAAGTTCTTGCACACTTTTTTTTACATCCAGGATGTTAAATCAACATCCATTTTTTTTCGGTGTGGAAGGTTCGCTATAAGCCCTCCATCAAGCGAGCTGTTTATACTCTCGCTGTACAGGCACTCCAGGTCCAGCGGCCTGATTATTGAAATTAATAGACAAATCTATAGACAAAAAAAACATAGGGAGCATGTAGCGATCCTATTGGTTGAGTTGGGTGCTTCTGATAGACTAAAGGAGAAAATGATGGACTAACTGTAGGGTCTTTCGTGGGTTGCCTTAGTTGGTCTATTACCTACCTCCTTCGTCCATCGCAACCACCCACTTCCACTAAAAGGATCCAGCCATGTCCCTCTTGTCCTCTTTGTCTGCATATCTTTGCCTATCTATTTCAATAATCGACCCGCAGAGGGCACGGTATATCAAACCGCGACAAAATATTATAATGTAGGGGATCAGAGAGCTAGTAATAATGAAATGATTGAAAGTCATATCCGGTTTGATATTTCGCGGTTGACATGGCAACACGGCCATTTTATCTAAGCCTCAGTGACGTCGCCAAGCGCCGCCGGCATTGTTTCTAGTGGCTTAGTGCGGACCTGAATTTCTGCCTGAGCCTTGTTGTCCATATAAATCCATGTTTTCTGGGGCTCATGTGGGGATAGAGATACGCCATTACGTCAGAGGAGCGGCGATTTGGAGTTGGATAGGAAACGCGAAATTTCCAGCTAATCAGACTGCGTCTCGGAGTCAGAGGCGACCGAGGAATCGGCCCGACCACGGCTAATGACACCTAAATCGCGGCCACTGGCCAGCCGCCGCGGACTCAGCGATCAGCAGACGCTCGTAAATGAATCAGCGACCCCTAATTAAACATCCACGAGGCATAAACCGCGTAACAGCGCATGATATCCTGACAGAGGTGAGTGGTTTTCGGTCGACGGGGTTTAACATCTACTCTTCTCGTCCCTCACCTCTGTCGAAGAGAGCAGTAACTCCAGAAGTGAGGTTTGAGGAAATTGGCGTACTAGCGTCTTAGCGAAAAATTCTATTGAGCTACCGTTCTTCGTAAAATTATCAATGGTCATTCAAAAGGTTCTCAGAAATTGGACCACATTTTGTAAGTAAGAACTACAATATCAAGCTCTTTGTAGATAAAACATGTTGTCATTAGTTTTCCGATCAAGATAGGTGTTCTTGTGTATATGAGCCTGGAATTGTACTTCCTTAAGTACAGTGGTAATAGTGAGGGCTCCGAAAAATAAATCAATGTCTGACAAAAAGAGAAGATCAGATGAATGTATACCTTCATAGATTTCAACTGGGTATACACTATGATAAAAGTATCGTAAAGTAAGTATCGACTACTCCGCTTCTATGAGATAAAGAACGACCTAATTCCAAATCTCAAATTGTGAGAGTCAATATAACGTGACAAACATAACTCTTCACGATAGGTAAAGTATCGCAGCAACATTATGTATTCAACGCAGAAATGCCACATAACTTAAAAGAAGGTCATAATTTGGTTATTGGTCATAAAAGGTATGGGCTTGATGTTAAAAAGAGCTATTTAACCGTCCGTGTGCCGAGTGCGCAAAAGTGACATTTTGGCATCATTGTATGGAAGACTGTTCAGAATAGGTTAAGCAAAACAACATTTGTGACGGTTTGAAAACATTCGAAGTTCAGTAGATTTTGAGAAAAAGCTATTAACGTGTACCTGATTTATTGTTGCCCCTCTGACGTAAGGGCATTTATCTCATGAGCCCTGTTTTACATGAAAATCCATGCTTATTTGGGCTCATGTACAAATCGAGATACGTCCTTCCGCCTTACGCCAGAGGAGCAACGATGTTCAGGACTAAACACTCAAAGGCAACCATGAGGCTCGGAGACATTTTTTGGGGGATGTATAATTGCATGGACCGTTCATCTTTTTTCATCTTTTTTCTTTCCCTTTTTTAAAAAAGAATATTTCTATTATCAGAAAAGTGCTTAAAAAAGGAAGGTGGTGGGTACCTCGACCTTTTTAGTGCCACTTTTTCCTGTTCTTACATGTATTTGAAAGAAAAAATAAAAAACGCCAAAATACGCCACTCGCGTTTTGGCTTTAAGTGAAAGCACAAAATGCATAAACCTAGATCTTTGAAAATCGGGGAATGACGACAGAAGCATTAGGGTCAACTCGTTAAAAATCGATTAATTCACAAATTTGCGCGAAATAGTGGACAGAAGCCATTGATGCCGAATCACACCAGAGATTTTTGTTCCCGGGAAGAATAGCCGTTGACTTTAGATTACGTAACAAAATGTGCATTAAGTAGCGTAGGTAATGTAACGTTCATGGATTAGCTTCCATTGAATGTATGAGGACGATAAAAGGCAGTTATAGTAGCTCCTGGAGAAAAGAGTTTAAAGTTTAAGATTTTCATCGATTTTGGAGCCTCGCATACAGATTTGTTTCCTTTACGCTTTATTCAAGGACCAGTTTTATTATACTATCCAAACCTGACGTTTTCAAAACAGGCACTCGCACAAGGCACAACGTGCAGGCTTTTAGTGACGTCATCGGTTTACATGAAGGTAAAAGCCGCTAACACGGCCGCTTGATAAGCGACGAGTATGTCACATATTACGGGAATGAGCGAGTCCCGGAAGATAATCCGGGTTAACTGCAATGCCACAGAGAGTATGTACAAACGTATCTCAGACTAGTTATTCTATGATAAAAACAAGTAGGATAGTAGAGCGAAATTCTCCCCTCCACACAAAAAATCCAAACCAGTGTCAATATAGATTTGACGACAGACAGGACGCAAGGGAAGGTGGGAGATATATAGAGATAATATGAAACATAACTCCATTACAAGGTTGCAAAATTGACTCAATTCGATAATATAGCGTCTTTAAATTGTAACTAAAATTGTTTTGAGGATAATGAGTTAAGTTTATCTTCATCACTTGCAAATCTGCTCTCTTTCTTATTCGAAACAGCAATCACGGTGAAATTCGTCCACCATATTTTAACGTAAAATGTTGATGAGAAAACGTATATTGTTGTGCTTGATTTCGCGCCATATCTTGTGGTCCATTACCGTGTGGATTCTTAGTAGAATAAAAGTTGAAAGAAATATATTCCGATTTGAATCAATAACTCAACATCTTCTATGTAAATTCTCATTAACCTTACCGTATCCTACGTACTATTTCGATGAGAAACAACCTTTGGATGATTTACTTCTCATTATTGCAATGAGTCCCTTTAGCAAAAACACAAACCCAATGTGAAACTTCAACGCAAGGATACGAAGGATAACTTACAAACTCATTATTACGTCACAAGCGATTACTTTGTCCGCATCATTACGTTATCATTGGGAAAAAGCTCACCGCTCATAGGATATTTCGAGGAGACTTAAACGCTGAGGTAGAAACGACAACTCGACCCATTAAGCTGCATTTTTGAACGGCTACGGTCAAGAGTGGCCAATGATCATTAAAAGCCTTTGATGGCATACGCAACGCACCTGTTACGCTGGTCTCACACCCTTCTTTAACAAATATTAAACGCTTTTCGCAACCCCTCTCTCTTGTAACTAGAAAACTCACTGATTAGCCTCAGTTTTTTTTTAACTTTTCAGGAGTACCCTTCTTACATCTGTAGATATACATATTGATATTGTGTGTGTTATAATATCGTTACAGTTAAATCCAGCAGCTCGGAATGACACGGTGCAGCAGAAGATCTTTAATTTCCTTGCTAGGAGTTCAACGACAATCGCTCCGTCCAAATCAGAACTTTGCGAGTGCGGTAAGCCACCTCCAATGCTTCTACTAGTGTAAACAGTAGCGATCCTCGACAAAACTGCTTTTTACCTTCATTGAAATCCAATGAAAATATCGATTCAAACTGAGGCAGCCTGCTTCATCTAAATTCGACTGTTTTACATACGTTTAAATGGAGGCAAAACAGTACCTACTGCCAAAGTGCAAGAATCACCACTGCGTATAATCATGAGCTGTCGAGATATACTAAATTATTCAACAGAAATATTAATGCTTTTCCCCAAATATTCTTGTCCATTATGTCTACATACAGGATAATAAGTATTGAAATAAATTTCTCCATCAAACATTCATGAAAGTAAAATTGAAGGTATCATAAATTTCCATGATTAATTCACAAGAGAGAGAATTCAATTGTCGTTTACGACAAAATGTTGAAAACATAAGGAATCCATTTTCCGACTTGCTCCCGTCTTTAGGCCTCCACAGTGTCACAAACGGTAAAGAAGATTGTATTTTCACCAATTTCAAAGATTATAAAATAGGATTGACTGGGGAATTAGGGGTACATCAGGGAACAACGGAATGAGAGAGGGACAGGAATAAAGGGATCCGGGAGTGAGTTGATCAAAAATTATAAAAAACGTTGAAACACTGAAAAAAAAAAAAAACACATTGGATCTAGAGTCCAGACTCTTGAAAACATTGACAAGAAAAATGACTCTTGATTCAATCAGATTTAAGCTTGAATCAAAAGGAAATCCGCTCAAATTAAGAGGCTTGGTCCTTGATTTAAGCTTAAATCTGATCAAATCTGATCAAGAGTATTTTTTCTTGTCGATGTTTTTTAGAGTCTGGACTCTAGATCAAATGTGTTTTTTTTTTTTTTTTTTTTTTTTTTTTTTTTTTTTTTTTTTTTTTTTNTTTTTTTTTTTTTTTTTTTTTTTTTTTTTTTTTTTTTTTTTTTCCCAGTGAACTGTTTAATTTTTCTTACCGTTTGTGACATCTATGAGCCAACCTGTCTTGACTCTCCCCCAGAAAAGACCCTAGAATGATTTAAGTGGACTAATATAGGTGGAATGATATAGGTGGGGTAGTGTTTTTGCAGGATGCGGGATTCGGAACGATGCAGGGAGGATAGTCGGAGGCCAGGAGACGGCGACCAACGAGTACCCGTGGATGGCCCGACTCAGCTACTTCAACCGTTTCTATTGCGCCGGCACACTCATCAACGATCGTTACATCGTTACCGCTGCCCATTGCGTTAAAGGGTTAGTCACAATAATCATTATCCACAAAACCTTTTTTTGAACGCGCTCTTTGCTGTTGAAACCACCGCATGAGTGTCGTCTAAACATTCGAGAGTTATCAAAGAGCAACCCTTAAAATGGCACAATTTTAGACCGCGGAGATTTTTCTGGAACCAGGCCTTAACGATACCTTATGATACCTTAAGACTCTGGTAACAATTTAAGCCTAAGTATACCAACGGTGTTTGAGTAATGAGGGGGCAAAGTTGCCAAATTGCCATCATCTTGACAGCATTTTTACAGCAAAAACGACGAGAAAAATGGACGAAAAAGTTACATTTTTGATGGGTTTTGGCTGTAAATGTTCAAACTAGACCCCCGTGCATATGACTGTGTTCAGTTTCAACAATTTTCACCGCACAGTGGTCCAAACTGGGGGAAATCCTGGACAAATCAGGATTCTAAAATAAAACTAGCTCTTTCCCTTCTAAATGATGTTTTGAAATTGCACAACCGAAACACGCGTGGGTTTCGAGTTTAGCCATCAATATATTTTCAATTAAAACTTCCCAGTCAGGCCTTTCTTCAATTAAAAAAATCGGAAAAGTCGATTTAATTTTATTCTAGAAATCCTAAAACTTGGATCTGTATCTGTGAGAAAAAGGAAAAGTGAATAGAGAAGAAAATTGGTAGCTTCAGCTAACTAACGAGAGAGTATAGGTTCATGAAGCCGCATAGTTCCAAACTAACAAATATTGATTTCAAACATTTTTGTCGGAGTGGTACCTTTAATAATTAGAATTAAAATGAAGATAAACATCTGGGCACTATACATTTTATTATATGATATTTCAGCTATGTGAGTAAAATATCATGTAATAAAATGTATAGTGCCCAAATGTTTATCTTCATTTTAATTATAAGTATTGATTTGTTTCAGATTTATCTGGTTCCTGATTAAAGTGACGTTCGGAGAGCATGATAGATGCAGCAGCACGCGAAAGCCGGAAACGAGGTTCGTCCTCAGGTCAATCGCTGGCGAGTTCAGTTTTACCAATTTTCAGAATGACATCGCTCTCCTAAGGCTAAACGATCGAGTGCCGTTTACGGACACCATCCGTCCTATTTGCCTCCCGGCAAAGGAAGGTAAATCTAATTACTTCATTTCATTTGGACGTACGGGAATCGTTGTGTTATACATGAGAAATACTCACAATCAGTCAACTGTTTGAGACACTAAAACAAAGTTACGGGCTGCATACATACCGCCCGTTCCGGGTGCTGGAGCCATAACTTCGACTGCTCCGGGTTCAGAGGCCGGATCGCGGACGGTATGTCTATACAGCCCGTGAGGGCGGCTTCCAAGGCCAGTGGCTTTCAGTGGAGTGAAATCGAACGAAAATCACGATGAGCACGTAAAAAAGTCGGTAATCCACTCCTGATAGCACATTTTAAGTAGACTGTACCACGCAATTTTAAATTCATCATTTTTTTCTTGGTCACCGACAATCAGGTTTGCCCAGAGAGAGACTCGAGAAAACCCAACTTCATTATTAATTGAGCAAAACAACTTGTGAACTGTTTCTCCAGTAAGATTTTGATCGTTTGCGAATTTTTAAATGGATCATACGAACGGACAAATCGTCCGGTTTAAAGTGTTATAAAAACATATATTTAATTTGTAAATTATTTTCATGCAATTTTACGAGAGGGCAGTTGATATGTGCACTCAAATATTTTTTCTTTCATTGAAAAAAATCTCCGGCCACGGTAGCCGTACTTACGGGTTGTATAGACATACCGTCCGCATCCCAGGCCCAAAGGGCTGAAATTTCCGGGTATAGCACCCGGAGCAGTTGAAGCTATAGTTCCAGCATCCGGAACTTTCGGCCTCTGTACCCGGACCGAACGGTATTTCTACATAGCTCGTAACGTTTTTCACTGTTGATCGCGAAGTTAAGAATGAAGATTTTCTTGGTGTTCTATTCGATATATTTGAGCCACTGATAGCAATCAGTAACGACATTCCTTTTCGCTCCAGCAAAAGTTTTTAATGGACGTATTTTACTTACATCAGCACTGATACCTATAATCTGTGGTCATTTATTTAATTGGTTGATCATGCCTGATATCACTGCTACTTCTGTCCGTTTAGATGTTTCCTACGAGAACATACTTGCCATAGCAACTGGTTGGGGGACGTTGGCGGAGAACGGGAAAGCGTCGTGCACCCTGCAGGAGGTCAAACTACCCTACGTGAACCACGAGCAATGTGTCAATAATTATCATAACACCAAAGTAATCACCGATCACATGATCTGTGCTGGTGCAGAGGAAGGACTCAAAGATACTTGCCAGGTAAACCTACTTTGCCGTTTTCTCACGTCGTTGATGGAAGTCGCGATCGCTCTGGAAATGCCGGCTTCGATTTTGAGGCATTTGACTACCGCATTTTTTCATTTAGCTTATATTCCAACAAGATTGCGGAAAGATCTTTAAAACAATGTTTAATTTATTTTCATTTTAGTCAAAAATCTGTTATTTACGAATCTGTCTTTGACTGCGGCTTTGATTTTGCGGCATCTAACCGCCGCGCTGCAACCTTTCATTTAGTTTGAATTCCAGTAAAATTGCTGACAGATTTTTAAAACAATTTTTTTTTCTTTAAGTACAATATACACTTTTTTAAGTCGAAAATCTTTTCTTTTTTTTCTTTCTGGACTACGGCTTCGAGTTCGTGCCATGTGACCGCCGCATCCTTTCGTTACGCTTAAATTCCAGCCTAATTGCTGAAAGATTTTTTATTTTTTATTTTATTTTATTTTTTTATTTATCTATTTTTTTAAAGTCGAAAATTTTTTATTTACCACTGTGTCTTGAACTGCGGCTTCGATTTTGTGGCATATAACCGCCGCAACCTTTCAGTTGGCTTACATTAAAGTAAAATTGCTGACAGATTTTTAAAACAATTTTTTTTCTTTAAGTGTGCATTTTTCAAGTCGAAAATCTTCTATTTACGACTGTGTTTTTGGCTGTTCCCAGGGTGACAGTGGCGGGCCTTTAATCCGCGTGAGGGACGACAAAAGATACGAGTTGATTGGGGTCGTCTCCTTCGGTTACGGCTGTGGACGGCCCGGGTACCCTGGCGTCTACACAAGGGTCAACCACTACGTCCAATGGATCAAAGAACACACCAGGGAAGGATGCTATTGTGCTGATGGCTGAACTTCACCATTTAATTTTGCCAGCGATAAGCGCTTACCCACAACTTGAGCTCAAAATTCAGTTAAACCCTGAAGAGAAATCAGCAAGTCACAACAGGTTTCACTTGTTAAAATACACTGTTAAAATTACGATAATGAAATCTGGAGTGGATTCCACTCTCGGAGGCTGATTATTAAGTTGTTCTAGAACCTTTTTCTTACCAATTTTTCCAACTTGTTGATGCTTTTACTTTTAGCATCAACAATTTGGAAAAATTAGTAGGAAATAAGTTCTATAACAACTTGATAAATATGACCGATAAAGTTAATAAAAGAAGTGGGACTGATTATTATTGAAATTGACAGAAAAAGGAGACAAAGCAAAATTGAGGAGAGCTTATTATTGGAAGTTGATGGTTCCAATGGACAAAGGAGGTATGTAAGTAACAGACTAACTAACGGCAACCTACTTGTAGAGACCCTAAAGTTAATCCATCACATCCCTCCTTTGTCTGCAGCAACCCCCTTTGTCCCCTTTCAACCAATAGGATCGCTCCAATTTCCTTTTGTCTCCTCTGTCTATTACTTAGTCTATCAATTTCAATAATCATCTCACCGGAGCCTATTTTGCTCCTTATTAGTCAAAGCCAAACGGAAATTGAGCGGTGCTCCTCTTTTTGCGAAGTGAGATACGTTCGTGTGAAGCGCATTTCACTTTTCATTCATATCACTCGGATTTTCCTGTATAACAAAAGAGGCTCAGGGTGAAATGTACTCAAAATTTTACTCCAAAATCTCTAACAGTGTTCAGTGTTGTAAATCTCTCTAGGAGGTCCAAGTTAAGCATTATCTGTCACACTGTGAGTGACAATAACTTCACTCAAAGTAACTCTGAAATGAACAGCCCAACAAGGAAGGAATCAAACTCAATTTTTTTTAAGTGGATGTAATTTTTTGATTTGAGTCCTAATGATTTCGATTAAAAATATGTGATATTTAGGAACATTTTCTGAACAAGTGCTTTTTTTTAACCTACCCTAACTTTTTAGAACGACAGCGCCGTGATGATAGAGGACTGTTTTGCAAAAGGGAGCCATTATTTCTGGCACACCCATTAAAACACCTATCTGCACTTAAAAAACTGATGGCAAATATGTTGTATCTAAAATGATTAAGAAATAGTGGTCCCTTCTTGCAATGCATGTATTGCAAAAATGTTATTGATAGAACAAGAAAGGGTATGGAATTTTCAACCAAAAAATGTGTAGTGCAAGAATTAGCGGCTGCCACTTAACGAGCGAGCGTTTCATATACATTTTATTTAATTTCCACCGTTGTTTCTAGACTTAGGAATTCTATTTATACTGTATAATAACGAAAATATTTTCAAAATGTCCATTCATTTAGTTTCTTATTAACAAAGAAACATTTATCCACTTAAATGTTCTCTCGTAAAATATTTGTTATGCTCAGGTCGTTTTCGACTGTAAAAAAAATAAAAATAATAAAAACTGTGATGAAAATTGGCTTATTCAGTTTTTTGCTCGTTCTGCACTGTCGGTTTTCCTGGATGTTAAATACGTGGCAAAGGACAACAGAAGAAGATAATTGGTCGTAATAACGATAGAAGGAACTAAATTCGAATACATTCTTCAAAAAGACCTAACTGCACTGGACTAGTGTGGATCGTAGTTCCTTTTAGCATGCATACGTCTAACTGCACACGTACTCATGCTGCTGTAACAGTCTTTGCCATCAATGCGCCACGAAAAGAGATGTGCATTGAGAAAAAGAAAGGGTAGTGAAGGACAGAGGAAAGGGGAAAAAATCCACGGTGCACTCAAGTTGATAAGTTTTGCATACTAATCTACCCCCTGTCCTTCCAGCGCCTCCAATAATGTTCTATAATTCCCTAAATGGATGAAATTACTGATGTCTCCCAAGGCGAAAATTGTGTTAGTCCAGGGGGCTCTCCAAACGGCCGACAAAGAGGTCAGTTGCCAGACTTTCTAAAATTCCAAAGTATGAGGATTTTGAAATTAAAGTCATACGTATTCTTACTGAGAAGAACTATGTAGAAGTAAATTATTTAAAGAAGAACTACAAAACACGCACATTGTTTGTGTCGATTCAATTATTAACGGTTATGGAGTGTTTAATTTATGAGTACATAGCTCCCAACGGCACGAATATGTCTAATAGACTTTTTTCATTTTTCGGAATTCCTCGTCGAATCGTACCTGTTGTTTTGATGGGCACTGAATATTTATACATGTCTATTTGGCGAAGTTAACAATAAACACAAATAAAAAAAAAGATCTGTTCGTGAATCCAGATTTTTCATATCTATTCCGTAATAACTCACTATAGAAAAGAATAGAATAGTCCATTACACATAGCTGACTGGGTAGAATAATAGAAGAGGGGTAAAATTGCACGACAATCCTATTGACGCACAGTGGATCGAGTCAATTAAAGAGGTCGGACACGAAAGTTTTTACTAAAACTGCAAATTTTTATGTTTATTTTGTCTTATTTTAAATTTTGAGGGGTGCTGCAAGAAGAAAATTTCACAAGGGAACCAATGGAACCATTTTTAAAACGCCGAAGTTTTGTATAAACGGAGTTATGATCTTTTATTGTGTCCGAATTTTGTCCGACTTTTCCCATTGATTCAATTCACTGTGCGACGCACGACGCATATTTTTGTCTAAAATACCTACATCCCAAAACGCACAATTTTTTTGACATTACTATACGCCTTTTCAAATGCACCACCAAAGACACTTTTTCCAAGTATCCTGCCCAGAGAGATATGTAAGCAAATCCTTTTCTAAATAAACAGACATTATCGCTCCCAAACTGTCATCAATTTTTATTTTAATAAAGAGGAGATTTAATTAAAATATGGGTAAACAAGGCTAAAATATTATAAAAACACATTTTTATTTTAATATATTGAATAAGCATTCGACGTTGCTTATGAATTTAAAAAATAACACATACTTTTAAACGTTCAGGTTATTTTCACGGAACTGACGAGTGGATCCGCAGAAACAAATTCTACCCGACCTTGATCCCTGAAAATTTGAAAACCGAAGCATAGATGTGCCAAAATCCCCCTGATGCCTCCTTACAATAAAAAAAGGGGATCTCTACGTTAAACTCATGTCTATAGATGGCTGTAGATTTCTAAATTGGAATAGAAGCAAAATAAACTGCACAAAAAAACGTTCAGGTTAGAAGAATTCTGTTTTATATTCTCTCTCGGATGAATGTTTCATCTTGGCAACATGGGAGGATTTTCGCGAGACAATTAATCAACTCATCGGCGGCGCAAGTTGGTGAATTTGCGAGTCATATCTTTTCCTGAGGTCCCTAATGGACTCACAACTCGTTCCCCGCCCGGAACAACTCGGCAAGGAACAACTCCAATGTGATGAAAGGAAAAATAAACTGGGCTTCTGAACTCGCGGAACTTTTAAGGGTTTTAATTAACAGTTCTGTCTGAGATTAATACGGCGTGAACGTGGAAAAATTGACGCCTTCGCTTTTTAAAATGTTCAATCATTTCCCGAAGAAGCGCAGGTAATAGCCGACGTATTTTTCAGACGAGCTCAACTTTTTCAGCCCAATAAAAGCTCGAGCTAAAGTTTCTCGCTTTGTACAGTAACGAAAGACAACTACGGCCGAGGATTCAGGAGGTATTTTTCCCTAACTTCTTGCAATTATTGCCATAAAGTTTTAGTTTAATAGTGCATGTCTGGAGGCTGCGTCTTACCGCAGCAGCGTGTTTTAATCGAGCCTTTCAGTCAATCTTGAAAAGGGAGAGGGAATCATTTTACATCCAATCCGATCCACCACTCTTGGTTCAAAATCATCCTTCCCAGCAAAATTTTATATCCTTTTTTTTTATTTATTTATTATTTTAGTGGGTCTCTTACCTAGTCTGTCAGACTCCGATGGTGCGACTTCTATATGTGTTGGATGATGCCACATTAGGAATTAGAAGAAGGAGAGGAAGGAAGAGAAAAATGATGAAAGTAAATAAAAGAGGGGAAAGGAGGAAGAATAAGAAAATAATTTATTTTTCTCCCCCTTTTTCGACAAGGACTGAATTAGTGTCATGAGGCCTTAATGAAATGTCATTTTGAATTGGAAAATTCAATCATGGACTAGTATTTGACGACCAGTCACAGTTTGTATCAAGTAATCGGAAAAGAATCACGGACGCAGTTGAGACAGTTGGTTCTTAGATCACTAACCATCTGATCAATTCTAGTGTTTCTATTACTACGGTTAAAATTGAAATATTAATTGACAAAAGGCGTTAAACAGGCGTCACTACAGTTTCATTGGAGGACCTGAAGTGCAATATAATACGTAATATAGCGGAACGCCTTCATTTTTTAAAGATGCAACTTAAGTACCATTTGAGCACAATATAAGTTGCACGCTGGCAGGCGTTGGTTGCCCGTCAAAGTTGCGACGGTAACAATGACAACTTCTCTTTGATAACATCTTTCGAAGCCACATTCACTTGACTAATTGTTTATTGACATGCTAGATGCTACACACGGTAAAAACTTTTCAGCAATAAATATCCGCACCTCAAAAAATCAACACTTGAAGCCAAGATTTCCGGCCCCGGCTGCCTCAGTTCGGTAAAATTGCCAAAAGCTCGAAACATGATGGCAAACTTTCGGCATTTTTTCCCAATTACGGCAGCCGGAATCGAAAATTTCGACACTATGTTGCAAGTTTTTTGAGGTGCGGATACTGCCGAAAAACTTTTACCACGATGAAGCAGCGAAGCAGATTATTAATTGTCCACTGAAAAATAAATTTACAGGCTATATAGACATACCGTCCATTCCGGACTCGGAGGCCGAAAGTTCCTGGTGCTACGCCCGAAACAATCGGCTTCTGAAACCGGAACGGACGGTATGTCTATATAGCCCGCAAGTACGGCTTCCACGGCCGGAGTTTTTTCCAGTGTTTTTGGCGCATGCGGGAATGAGCTCATTTATAAAATTTTAGTATTTTGAAGGTGCAGCAACTGCATAGCTGCACCTTCCTTGACTGACGGGGTAGACCGGCTAATGACTTTGAGTACTTGTGGTTTTACTTTCATCGGCATGCTCATATTCGGGTGGTCTAGCGGTTGTCCATGTGCCGATGGGTTCGACAAAGTGATTTGAGAGGAAACCGTTACTTAGAGCGGGTGGACATACTGTTCGCGACGACGCGTCGGGCTTTCGCTCAGTGTCCACCCTTCGTACATCATGTCGATTTCTATAGGTGATCCGCGTTGTGTCTTCGTTTTTTTCGTACTCGTGGCCGGTGAGTCTCTCACAGGATTGGCCGAGGAACCGCAATTGGTAAGCACCCTGTATAGTTAAAAAATCCCGCGTTTTTGGTTATGCTTTTGGTAAAAAAGTGATAGTGAAGGGGTTATCCCCTAATATTATGGTACTACCCTAATTTGCTGGATGACATGGACATTTTCAATTAATTTTGGTAGTACTGCGAAGTTGGGGTTTTGGGTTGGGAAGCTATTTTATTGGGGTAATAAGTCAGTTATTGGGCTATTGCAACAATTAATTGGGGGTACTCGGTACTACCACAGTTAATAAATTGGACTGCGTTATGCAGAAAGGAACCAAGACACATCAGCTATTGCAAAATTTTACCGAGCAAATTCATTTCTTAGAAGAGAGTGTTTGTGCGGAATACTTTGAAATTTTTAAGGAATTTACCTCGTATTATGCAGAAAATTCAATGAAATTTGCACGAAAATCCGCACAACGATTCTCAAGTAAAAAATTGAATTGCCCAATGAAATTCGACAATAGCTGATGTGGCTTGGGTCTTTTCTGCTTAAAGCGGTCCGATTGGGGGCACTACCACAATTAATTGGAAAACTAGCTCAATTAATTGGAAATTTCTAAATTGAATCGCTTAGCCTCTTAGTCTCTACATGTTTTCCCCCGTGTTAGAATATTTTTTTTTCGTTTCGAGCAACGAGACGATTTGATTGATCGAGTTTGCATGTTTTATCAACCAAGTTTAGTGGCCAACAACAACTTGAGTAGCTGAAAAGTTGAGGTCATATTTTTGAACTTCGGATACCCGGACCAAAAACATTGATGTTCCATACGAAGCAAAGTTATTCTCTCCGGGTTGAATCAGATTATGTTAAAACCTAATACGTCCGAAAAATCGAAAAATGAGTTTTCAAATCAATCATGGGTGTATCAATAGATGATCAAAGCTAGTATCACGTGACGTTTAACGATATTAATTGCGGGGCAAGAGCTGAAGACAATTCCTCAAAATAGAGACTATTGCTAGACTGAGCTCTCTGCCTAACTCAACGATTGAAGGCGACGCTACCAAACTAAGGTTATTTACTATTTTCACCCCTGAAGTAAGCTCTCGTGATCCAGCTCATCCCTTATAATTATAGGTTGGATCCTCATACATCGTAAGTGAACAAATATCGAGGGAGGATGCTGATAACCGCTTGGGAGGACTGGAAGATTTCAGAGCGGAACTGGAGATGCTGACTAAAGAGTGGTGTGTCCCATGTCGTAAGTAAACTTTTATCACAATCATCTAAAAAAAATTGAGAGTACATCATTTACTTCTCTCCTGTGTTTCTCGTGCGTCTATATAATTGAATTCTATTGAATTGTAAACAAATGTACAATATTACATTATTTTTTTAACACATGAGTTATTTCTTAGAACCTGCTCTCCATGCGAGAACAATAAAGAGGAGGGGAACGAAACTGGGACAATTTATTATTGTTTTATAACTTACTGTCTTGTAGTATTTTGTTTTGTGATAACGATTAGTTCAGCCTCGATAAGTATACAGTGTTGCTGCCAGTATTGGTATACTGCCGTGCTAAGGAAGAACTCCGTATAGTGGGGCCGATAAGTGGAAAATATCATAAGAATCGTGCACTTCTGGAAGAAAGCATGAAAATTTCAGGGATTCATCTCTACCCTATAGACATTCGATTCAGACATAGACCCCAAAAATCTGAGCCCCCTGGGGGGGCAGGGGGCCCCCCAAATTTTGAATTTTAAATAACTACTGAACGGCTAATGTTAGCGTATTTTTTTTTAAGCAGGACGATAGGAAATTTTATTAGGAACAAAAATGGTTCTTATGAATTTTTCTGTGGGATCGATATTTAAGGCGTGAAACAGGAAAAACCATCGGGGGACGGGGAGCCGGCCGTTCTGAGGCAGATCCGCGCGCTGCGCTGTTTGCCCGGTACGCGCGCGGCGGCACAGTACGGTGTTACCGACGTAACAGCCGTTTGTCTTGGTTTAATCTCAACGATGCACAGTTTGAAAAATAATAATGAATTTACCGTACTGCCGAAATACTTTTCCTCAGTAATATAAGCTCTACTTTTTATTAGTAATACATAAAAACAAGCAAAAGCGAAATACTCCAATGTGAGAGCGTCGAGTCAATAGGAGGGATCGGTCATCGCGCATCACGCGTCTTGTTTTCTCTGAATGCAGAGCTTTTCCGACCTCATTACAGAGTAAATTACCCTTTCCTCACGTAAGTTTTGTACAGGATTACATTTTTTTAAGATATTAGAGCGAAATAACAAGTTTTAATACGATTTTGACCCACTTTTTCATGACTATTGGAAATGGCGAATCCTTCGTAACTTATTTTTAGCTTATTTTTCATGTTACTTTCGGCGAATGAGACAATGAGCTGCTTACATAACCATGAATTTTGCAAAACTTGGTAGAGACATTAATTGAGGAGTGAGGAGGGAGGGTAGGGGGGCTTCACATTCCCTTCGCCACCAAGGTTACCAGATTTCCTTCAAAATGAAGGAAATATCGTTTTTCGTTCATGTTCATTGGTTTCTCGCAATTGCATAGGTACTGATTCATACGGAACATTCCGACAATGTTCTTTTCTCCTCTTTTTCCCTCCAGCCAGTCAATAGAAGTTTTCATTTTCATGAACTCCCCATTTTTTCAGTTATTCAACAAATATGCATATTTCAAAAAAAAAAAAAAAAAATAGAACAATACATTAAATAAATGATAGAAAAGAAGATATCTGAATACTATCGCCTCTTTTTATCGAGTCATCCTTGAAGATATTATTGGTACTTACCACGACACATAGAAAATGGAATGAGCAGTAAAAAAAATCCATGTACATTATCTTACATTTTGTTGTATGGAATTTAGAGTGGAGTTGGTAACATTTGTATTGAAAAAAATATTAATATAGGAGGAAATTTATTTATCATGCAGGTTCTAATTCTTTAAAGAACCTCTGAGAAGGACCAGGCCTCAGGAAGAAATTCATTGCATTTCTTCTTTTTCAACCCGCAAATCTCGTACCGATTTTTGATTTGTATGGAGCTCATGGAAGAGTTCTAGGTAAGTACGTCGGAGACAATTTTCAAGAAACGGGACTTGCAAAATATGCAATGCACAAAACGTACATCTTAAACTTTATCGTACAATATAACACTGATCGAATTGGCTTTAGAGATTATCAAAAGGTTAATTTATCGTCAAAATATCAAAAAATCAGTCAAAATCAGTAATCAGTTGCAAAATTACCGAGATTGCGGAATATCGTACCTATGATGCGCTGACATAAAAGCAGGGTAGGTTCCCAGTACTTAGGCGCGACTTCCTATCACTCAAATGGACCCTTTTGACAGATTAGCGGATACGGCGGCCAGTTATTACTTAATAATATTCTTTGTACTGTACAAGAAGCAGTCCAACAAAGGGTTTTTGGGGGTCATTTATCCCTATCAAGCTTTCTCAAGATTCTTTTGCCGTTTTTTTTGGAGCAAGTTTTGAAGGTGGTTTTGGTCCTCTTAAAAAAATGTCTATACGTAGCAATGATGTACCAAAATTTTCCTGAAAGAGAGAAGAATAAGCATGTTTTTATGTATGCTCATTGTTTACAAAATTAGGCTCCCTGTCTTAAGTAAGCATATTTAGATACCATCCTGATGTCGCAGCACCGAGAGAAAGAGAAAGAAAAACATTTTAAAATCATTTTTCAGGTCATCGTGGTACACAAATAAGATTTGTGACTTTTAGCCCCCCCCCCCTTCCCGAGACAACTGCGCCTCAGATTTTATTCCGTTCTACTGATGTCTGATGCAGTTATCTCGGATGCTGTAATAAAACTTGACATGCCCATACAACAAAACAATTCGGAACTCCAGCACTTAACCCCTTCTCTTTCTGTTGCCGTGCGCTCGCTTGTATACATATATTACCTGCATAAGTTAAGCCCTTTTTAAGGCTTTATAGGTAGTACGATATATTCACAATACTTTCAAAACTGCGCATCGTTGAGATTAAACCAAGACAAGCGGCTGTTTCGTCGGTAACACCGTACTGTGCCGCCGCGCGCGTACCGGGCAAACAGCGCAGCGCGCGGATCTGCCTCAGAACGGCCGGCTCCCCGTCCCCCGATGGTTTTTCCTGTTTCACGCCTTAAATATCGATCCCACAGAAAAATTCATAAGAACCATTTTTGTTCCTAATAAAATTTCCTATCGTCCTGCTTAAAAAAAATTACGCTAACATTAGCCGTTCAGTAGTTATTCAAAATTCAAAATTTGGGGGGCCCCCTGCCCCCCCAGGGGGCTCAGATTTTTGGGGTCTATGTCTGAATCGAATGTCTATAGGGTAGAGATGAATCCCTGAAATTTTCATGCTTTCTTCCAGAAGTGCACGATTGTTATGCTTATCGGCCCCACTAGTATGAACATTCGAGAGTTGCCAGATTTCCCCGGATAAAACATGTATTTTTGAATATTTTTCCTTAAAATTTTCAGATATTTTAGAATAAATTGCGAACAAAATAGCCTGACAAATCAGAAGAAAAATATTTACAATTTCCCCAATAAATTCGTATTTTATCAGAGGAAATTTGGCAACGCCTGGAATTTCATACAGCGTTCTTCCTTAGCACGGCAGTAATATGTCACTCTTCTGGCGTATCTCGATCCCTTAATGAGCCGTGGAAAGCATACAGTTAAATGACGGACAGGGCTCACGTGTAATTCGAGGTACGCCCTTATGTCAAAAAAGCGACAAATTGTTATTTTAAAGTATCATGGTAAAGGGACTAGATAAGTAGATAGGGCCTGGGATCCATCAAAAATATTGCAAGAGCAACGGTTCATTTAGACGTATCTCTGCAAAACGGAACTATGTGCATTATGGCGTGAGCCCTGAGCCCTGTTATGCATACATTCTAAAGGGCCTCAGGGCTCATGGCTTAATGCACATAGTTCCGTTTGGCAGAAATACGTCCATTTTTCTCCTTGATTGCTCAGAGATATGCAATCAATTTTTATTTTTACTCGTGAGAGGGCTGTGTTGCTCCCAGTTCAAGTATTGATGATTTTCTCGCTCAATTTTACTACAGAGCGAGCGCATACGAGCGCTCCTAAACCGGTGTCGACATATTATCAAGCCTCTTACTCCAAAGAAAGAGAATTTCAGTTTTAATTAACATCAGTCACTCCAGTTTTCGTTTCTCGAAATCCGTTTTTGAAAAGGGCGGATGAATAATTAACTAGGTAGCTCTCAGGGTAGGTATCGCGAACTTATACTAGTCGCTTTATTGCGCCGGTGGCTCGATTTACACGCAACAGGATCTCTACCACGACGCACAGTGGATCGAGTCAATCAGAGAGGTCGAACATGAAATATTTGACTAAAATTACAAATTTCGATGTTTATTTCGTCACATTTTAAACTTCAAGGGGTGCTTCCAGAGGAAATTATCACGAGGAAACCAATGGAACAACTTTTAGAACTCAAAGTTTTGTATAAACGGAGTTATAAGCGTTTAAAGTTTCCAAATTTTGTCCGACCTCTCCTATTGACTCGATCTACTGTGCGACGTCACAGCACCCAAGCTTAACAACTGCCTTCCCCGAAATCAGAAAAAAATCCACTGTCATTCACACTCATGCATTTGCTCGCGAGAAAGCGACTTCAAGAATGAATTTTACGGAGCTTTATGAGCTGAAGCTTCGATTTTACGAGAAGAAGTAGGTAGTGTCACTTACGACGGAGTGCTGACGTAACGTCAACGTCTTTTTATTTATAGGTCACGGGGTTTTAAAAAGTACATACTTACATTCCAGTCGCTTTTACAGCGCCTCCGGGCGCTCCGCGACACCTAATCGCCACTCTTGTCTATCGACCCAGAGGTCATCTGGTAAATGGCATCTTGTAATTTCATCTTGAATGCCACCTATCCACGATTTTGGTTTTAAAAAGTTCCTTATTGATATTAAAAAAAAAGACATTCTTTAATAACCGATCAGAAGTTGTTTGATAAGAATTTGACGATTTGATAAGAATTTGATTAAACTCTGCTAAACATTTGATTCAAAATAGCGTCCGACCATCTATTTGGTTGCCTATAGCCTAATCTTAGTTTGATGAACCGAAGGTTTAGCTCAAATGATAACTCAGTATTTCGTTCGACTCGAAGCACCGAAAACCTTAGTGAATTCCTATATTTTTCGAATCGGCGAGACTTCGATTCTTTCATCCGAAGAATAAATAGGGTTAGCACGACTGGGGGTGGATTCTTTTGAACCGGAACGTGGCTACTAACATTTTTGGTTTGTAAAACTAACTTTTTCTCGTTTAAGAAATGTCTATAAGCGCCGTTTGATGACCGAAACAACGTGACCTAATTTGGACGCTGCAAAATGTCCACTCTCAAACTTTATACTCTGCAAGAAACCGGAGGTAATTCGGAACGCATTTTAGCAAAAAGGAACCTGCGCAATTACAGTGTTTTCAAAATCGTGCAACTTCTTCTTTCCTTTTGAGAATACTCAATATATGTGCAGTATTAAAATTTTCACAATCGTTTTCCTTTAAAATTATCGAATTTTCTGGTGGGAAGCCAAAACTATATGCTTTTCCGAAAGATTCTGTAGATAATGAAGAAGCAACATGTTAATGACACTGTAATCGACCTGGTTCCTTTATGTTGAATGCGATCCATTTATAACTGAGGATTTTAACTCTGCTCATACACAAAAATTGGACAAATTTTAGGCAGATATTGCACAGTCGTATTCTTGAAAAAAATTGTTTTTTGAGTCAAGCTCGAGACCTTCAATTGAGTAACGTTCCATCGTTTGGAAAACGACAAAATGTCAATTACCCCGGCTCACAGTGGATCAAGTCAATAGGAGAGGGCGGACAAAATTTGGAAACTTTAAATGCTTATAACTCCGTCTCTAAAAAACTTTAAGGTTCTATAAGCGATTCCATTGGTTTCCTCGTGAAATTTTTCTCCTACAGCACCCCTTGAAATGCATAATGTGACGAATTAAACACCAAAAATTGCAGTTTTAGTCAGAAATTTTACGTACGACCGCTCTGATTGACTCAATCCACTGTGCGGCAATGCAAAAAATTGTCCGTTTGGTAGAATGTTGAATTGAATTGGGAACATTTTTGACGGTGCAGGATGCGGGATGCCAAACCGGAACAAGACCCGAATCGTGGGAGGGGTGGAGACGGTGGCTCACGAGTTCCCGTGGATGGCCGAGCTCCAAATCCGCGGACGCTTCTTCTGCGGTGGCGCCCTCATCAACGACCGATACATCCTCACTGCCGGACACTGCCTCAGGTGAGTTCATCATCGCCAGCAGAGACAATCAGTCATGGCGTAATCCATTACTCGGAACTCAGCAGTTATAAAAGAGGTCGTCAACAGCCAATCTGAAGGTTCGACTGCTTCGCATACTGCTGCTCGGAAAAGATGCTCGCGCCTCGGTGTCGATTTTCGGAGGTTGGCAACGTTATTTTTCCTCTATTTAAGTCCAGTTTAAAGGATCGCTTCTTGGTAAGTAGCCGGCCTTATCTAGGATTCACAGATTTCGATTATCTTATCAAAATTACAAACATTTAAATGAGCGAACCCAAACGAGGCCAACTTTCGAGAGTCGTCTCTCCCAAGGCGCCTTCACTTCATTGAGTATGCAGCACGGATATCCCTCAAACACGATTAGTTGCATGAAGGCGTTTTTTATCCCTCTTGTTTTTATCTAATTGTTTTGAGCAGTTATTGTGAACATATAATGCATATCATACAATGTAGTCGACTATTTTTGGGTACACTAATAAAACCTGCCTGAATTGTTAAGTTTTCTTCGCAAAGATAAGAAGTTAATCAATCTTATAGTTGAACGATCTAAACTCATTATTGCAACAAGCAGCCTTCTCCGTGCCTGTCTTGGACGGAAGCCTGAATTAGTATTGAGTATACATTTATGAGGAACCTATTGACGCTGGGTCCCACGGAAATCCTTGGGCATTATTGCCGACCCTTGACGACTGTTATCCTTTGCGGAACTTTTCCTAGCCTTTATTGTTTCAAGAAAAAATGTTTATTAATTTTCCACTTATAAAAAGACAGCGTTTAGCAGAAAGGAACAGCCACATCAGCTGTTTCCGAATTAAACTGGGCAATTAATTTTTTTTAAAGAGAACGATTTTGCGGATTCTTTTGAAATTTTCACGGAATTTGCTTCGTACTCTACAGAAAATTTAATGAAATGTGCACAAAAATCTACACAACCGTTCTCATGTAAAAAAATTGAATTGTACGGTTAAAAGCAATAGCTGATGTGGCTTGGTTCCTTTCTGCTTGACACAGTCCATATCAGCTCAAAAAGCCCCTCTCCGTCCTACTGTACCTGAAAGTCGTTTAAAAATGAAATTAAAAAATGAGTCCATACGAAAAGAAAATGCATACATGGTGGAGCACAAATGGATAGCATTTTGCCAAAGGGATTCCAATGTCGCTAAGACTGTGCAACTTTTGTCACCTTGCAAACATAAACTGATCTTCCAAACAAGTTTTACCTTGACTATTAATAAAATATGAATTCAGGACGATAATTTCCTTTGAAAAATTAATTTTCTGCTTAATACGGTCCAAAATAAAGTATAGCAGGAACGTCGTAAAAAGAAATACGCATTTTTGCAGTTTTACCATAGATTTGAAGTTAAAGGAAAACAAGTTGGGATTTAAAACCATTGGCCGATTTTTTTTTACAGGGGTGACTTTAACCTTCAAGAGTTGACGGTTGTCCTGGGAGAGCATGACCGAAATGACCCAAAAGACTCGAAAGTACTCGTCAAGAGTGTGTCGGAAGTCATAATCCATCCAAAGTATGACCCAACGACTCCAAAAATGCACGACAACGATCTTGCACTCCTAAAACTCTCCAGCCCTGTCATGCTCAATAGCAACATCAAGCCTGTATGCTTGCCACCACAAGGTATGTATATTTCACCCGTCTCGAATTCTACACAGAGGAAATTATCTCATCATGATATTGTAAAATATACTTATTTTTTGGAAATATTTTGAATATGGTAAAGTTCGTAAAATGAGAAAATAAAATGAATCGTTCAAAGAGGGAAAAATTACACTAACGCTGCTTTATCACAGTGGGCTTGACGCAAAAAAAAAAAAAAAAAAAAAAAAAAATGCGACGAAAATGTACCTAAAAACGATTTGCTATGATACGTGTGGACTTAAATTTGCGCAAAATCAAAATCTTGGCTGATCCTAATTTCGAGGTATCGCAATTTGAAATTTTCATAGTGAATACAAGTTTTATACTGATTTTAATCAGCTTTTTTTTATGTGCCCATTATCGGTTTGTCGATCGGTTCACGTTTTCATTTTTCGTTCGCTTCATTTCGATCGAGTACATACCCTCTCGTTACATGCAGACTACCTATCATACTCTTTTTTTCTAACTGAACAATGCGCCTTCTGCTGCATCTGTAGCAATTGTTGTTACGAATATGTTATACGTACTATGATTTCAGCTCATTACATACTTGACTCTCTGAAGGCGTTTAATGTGTGAAAGTAGATCACCTTGTTAAAGAACAACATAATTGAGATTGAATGAATCGCTCAATCCCTTCTTCGTTCATTCTTCGACAGATTGCGCTACTTGCGCACATAAAACGCCTTCAGAGAGTTGTATATGTAATGAGCTGAAATCAGCACGCACAACATATTCCTAACAACAATTGCTGTAGGCGCAGCTGAAGGCGAATTGTTCAGTTGAAAAAAAAAGAGAGTATGATAGGTAGTCTGCATATAACGAGAGGATACGTATTCGATCGACATGAATCGACCGAAAAATAAAAACGTGAACCGATCAACACCGATTCAATAGATAATTCATTATGAAAATTTCAAATTGCGATATCTCGAAATTAGGATCAGCCAAAATTTTGATTTTTCGTGATTTTAAGTCTACACGCACCATAGACTCAACCCCTGTAACACGTTTTTGGTTACATTTTTGTCGAATTTCCTTTTGCTTCGAAACCACCGTTTTTAGTTCGCCTTCAATTTAGATGTAGGCAACACGAGTGTCCACGTGGTCGGAAAGTGGTATCATCGTAAAATGGCAAATTCCCCTGAGACTCACACAATTATGATCTTTTAATCAAACGGGTGGATCGAGATAGCATCAGATCGACAAGAATCGACGGAAATAGATAAACGTGAACCGATCGACTTGATTCGATCGATAAATAATAAGTGCGAATAATTAATGGAGAATAAAAAGAAATAATAGTAGTTTTTCTTTTTCAGTCGAATTTTTTCGATCGGATCAATACCCGTCTATTGCCCGCGTAAATTCTAGAAAATTACCCAATAAAGAAGTGAGCAAATATTACAATAATAATTTACGTGGCGAAGCATCTAGACGCATGACTTCAGTCACGGGTTTTTCGCCGAAATGAACATAAAAACCTAGAAATTGGCAGATTTGTGGCGAAGATACCAGTTTTTTGGCGCACACCAGTTTTTTGGCGCTCCATTTAGTTTTTTCCTCACGCACACTATTTGCTCATTATCAAAACCTACCCTGGAAATATATAAGAAGAAAATCATACCCCAGTTTTGTATATTTACTACACTGAAAAAAAATTCTCGGCGTTTTTACCAAGGATCGTTGGTACCTTTACCATCTCACTTTTTTACCAATTATTGGTAATTTTACCAAGACAGACTGGTAAGCATACCTAAAAACCGGTATTTTTACTGTTTTTTTCAGGTAAGAATACCACTTTTATTGGTAATCAATTCCTGGTAACTTTGCCATTTTATCTCGGTAATTTTACCACAGTCGATAAAAAATATTGACGTTTTTACCGAGGTTCGGTAAAATTACCAATTCCATAAATGTTAATTTTACCAAAAAAAAATTGGGATCAAATAGAACCCTGAATCCTTGGTAATTTTACCCTTTTCTTAGTAAATAAACCGAGATTTTTTTTTTCAGTGTAGCTCTCGCTCGATTTCACCCTTAGATTAAAGTGTAAATACAAGAACTCATGAGCCCTAGCGTCCTACATGATCAACGAAAGCCAGGGCTCATGATTTTTTTTTGACTTACGCCCGTCTAACAGAAAGTTCAGCTGTGTGCACGGATAAAATGTTTTGATTTATGGCATTTCTAGGGATCTCGTTCAACGGTAAAAGAGGTACAGTGGCCGGATGGGGGAAAACCAGCGAGACAGGGAGCACCTCGCCGACCCTGCGCAAGGTCCAGGTCCCAGTGCTCAGCAACGAGGGATGCGCAAAACTACCCGGTTTCGACAAGAGTCTCACAAAAAATATGATGTGCGCCGGATTGATCAACGGTGGAAAAGACTCATGTCAGGTAAAATAAGCCATTTCAAACTACTTATTTTGAATCTTATAAATCTTTGATTTTACAAAAAAAAAAAGCAAACCGACAATGGAGGCGATTGTTGTAAAATGGCTCCATTTTGACACCCCCCCCCCCCCCAACGTGGCATCACATTTCCAAAATTTCAAAATTTTCAAAATGTTTTATTCTACTTAGTGATCCCCGTCATTCTGCAGATTTTAACCCCTTCTATTATATTTAGGGGTGGAGCGGGGGAACGGAGTTGTCATTTCAAATATATTTCAAAATGGAAACTTTGGCACCCGACCAGAGTTCAAATTAGTAGAATAGGTAGGTATTTTTAATTCGAGATAACGCAGAGTCTGGAAGGTTCATTTCACAACAACCTCTGTTGTCCTCCTCGTCAATATGACAGGATGAACCCTACTAGTCCTGACGTCACCATTGGTACTCTCTGACATACCGAACTGATCCAAACTATAGCAATATGGCGTAACATCTCAATGCTGCTAATGAGCTTAAATCGGTTCATCGATGGCCAAAATTTATAATCACGTATCTTTGTCTCTGACGTTGCAGACTCTATGTATTAAATACATACACTTTTTTCCAGTATGTTCTGTATACATTCAAAATCACAAAATTAGCTTGTAGCTCTTCGGAAAAATATGATAAGAGCAAAAAAGTTGTAACACCGTGATAGAGATAGGTGCTTTCGCACTCCGTCCATTAATTATCATTGATTCTGTAATTTATTTTCAGGGTGACAGTGGGGGTGCTCTATTAGCGGAAAGCAAGACACAACAAAGGGCGGTTGTAGCGGGCATAGTTTCCTGGGGCGTAGGCTGCGCCAGAGCGAAAAAGCCGGGTGTCTACACGCGCGTGAACCGGTACCTCAAATGGATCGCTGGTCATACTCAGGATGCTTGTTATTGTCTTTGAATGAAGCTTGTCTTCAACAATAAGCTTGCTCAATCAACCTGAAGTCCCCCCCCCCTCTGAAATGAGATATCTTTCGAATGAAATTATCAAAAATCTGCTGTGATCATTAGTTTTTACCCATACACTTTTAACACTTACTTTTGTAAATTTTTACACCTCAAACGTTCTCTCATTAAAGTGTCGGTCTCGCTCAAAAATGTGTGAGGTACTAATACTTCTTCGAGGCCCCTTTTTTCGAAATGGACCCCCCCTATAACTAATGAATGATCCTCCTTATGTGAGATTTTCAAGTTTTGGGGGCCCCTACAGGAGTCTTGCTGGGGCCCCGTGAGCCATCCGTCAGAATTTCTGGGGTGCTGGAACACCCGCGCATCCCTGGCCAGGTCGCTCTACCTTATTTTACAGCAGCCTTTTGGACCTTGTGGACCAAACTGAGAAGCTTCTACCAAGCTCCCTACGATAAACCCCTCCTTTTACGCACATCATTTAATATTTAACATATTTCGAGGTGCCTGAAATATCATGGTTGGCCCTTTTGTGCATGAGTTTTTCACCTGAAATCAACGATTTTCACCTACGAATCAGTTACGCTATTCCAAAATGTTGCGTATAAATCACGTTCCATTTATTGAGTTCTGTTGTTATTTTCTTTCTATTTTTGTAAAAATAACCGATGAGTATATTTCTTACTCTTGTAAATAAACTAATTTATTTTCTCACTCGTGTTAAGAGTTTTCCTTGTGTATTCTTTAGTTTTTGTAGGGGCAAATTATTTTAATTTCTTACAAAGATTCATTTGAAGGCTTCTGCGGATAACATAGGTGCCTACAAATAAGATTTTTTAACAAATTTCTGATAGCACTCATACCAAAAGGTGAAATTTTTTATTTGAAAAATTCCTGTCAGTAGCGTATAGGTAAGTACGCTAGGTAAAAAAAAATTACCCTAGAGTTCTCTTTATACCTCAATTTTTCAATTAAAATTTAATTTCTATCTTGAGCTGTTAAAGGAATTCTCAAGTTAAGTTCTCAAAATTACAGATATGCCACGACTTAACTTCAACACACACACACAGGTAACTTTTAAACCCCATACCACATTATTACAAACTTATACGGTTGGACGTCACTCGATGTTTTGTTGTTAATTGTCTCTTTCCTTAATTTCTTTTAAAAAATGTCATTTTTCCAATTTTATGCTGCATGCCTCCTCAAACATTCCGCAGCCAGAGTAGTCACGACATGGATCGTTTATAGTGTACCAGATTATTAATTACATTGCGTTTTTTCGGAGTAAGACTGATCATTAATAATATTGAATAAAACAAAAGATGTAATGTGATTTAATCTTACCTTTTTAAGCATATTCATACCTAAGGAGGTAGATCAAATAGCATCACCGGCAGATTTTAGGTACGCACCACCCCTGTGCAGAGCTGCGGAGTGGCGTGCTTCGCGATTTATCGATTGAGCTGCCATTTAAACCTATGGAAAAGAATCGATAAACAAGGTGTTCGCAATTAGCACCTTAATAATCGATTCTTTACAATGGCTTCAAATGGGGAAATATCGATAATCGATCATCCACGCTTCGCCACTGGTACCCGCAATGCAGAATTGGACTGCATTTTGCAATTTGGACCTATAAATCCTGGCTCATCTGAAAAAAACACTTATGTGCATAGGGGAACTAATGGCACATACGTTGTTTTTAAACCAGGCTAGAATTTATAGTTCCAAATTGCAAAATGCAGTCCAATTAGAATACAGTCACTAATCCGAGCAAGGCTGGCTCCGAAAATCTAGTACCGTAAAATCTAAATGATGCCATCTGATTCATTCTGTTAGGCATGAGCAATAAACCGCATTTTTCGTGTAGTAGTAATAACTGAAGTTTGAGTATTTGCCGACCATGGTCCATCTCCTCGTAAGTATTTTGAACCAAAAAATAAACCGTTATCCCGCGGATGTAGGAGGAATAAACATTTCATAGATTTTTCACTTACCACGCTGAAACAATCTAAAAAACTGCATTCCGAGTGACTGAAAGATAGTATTACAATATGACTGCATGTGTCTGAGCAGTGAACTCTTACCGTCTTTATAAATGTCAATGAGGAATTTTTAGATTGATAAAAATCGAATTACTGCATTTTCTAAGTTCCTCACAACCGGGTAAAAACGTTCTCTTTCGATACGACACTATCGCAACACTTCAAAGTTATAGTAAGTTTTATTTTTCAAAAGTGCAGATGAACTTCAATCCCTCTACGTCAGAAGGGCATCGCACGACTTGAGTTGCACAATATTGTGTACGTTTATTTCCCCCTTAGATTTGTTTGATTAATCCCATTGCCCAGTTTTGCTCAGATAGTGGGTGTTGAACCCGAAAGGTACTTCATTGACATGTAAGAGATCATCTTCTAAATAAAATGTAATGACGACATCCTACTAATCATCTCTAATTTTACTGAATTTGTAATGTGCGCCTGAGTCTAAACACTGAAACGGTAATAGATAAACAGATGCGCCAAACTCTCAACCTCATTAAAGCTCCAGTGTGTTCCCGAGGATAATAGATAGTTTTTGCAGCTTCGTGTCTTAGCCTATCAACAATCTCTCAAAATGTATTCCTTCAAAGTTTTGGTAAGTTCTTACCGTAAACCGTATTATTTAGAGTCCCCTTACTATCTCTTTAATGCAACTTAATTTCATTTAAACGTCATTTTAGTACGCACAATATATTTTTTCTTGTGGAAATGCAAGCGTGAAAAATTTTCATAGCGACGGTGAAACTATCAGACCACGCATCTCGGTTTACAAAGACTTCCTGTCATAGGTACTTCATTTTTGAAATAAAAAACTCCTAAACGGTAATTCTTGAAAACTTCCTTGATTATTCTTCTCTGTGCGAGGAAAACTCTGCGAAAATTTTAAGGAATGGTACTGATTTGTTTTCCTTGAAAAATTAAATAAAATAGGAGTGGAGATTTTTAAACACCCCAAAAGAGGTAGGTGGTCTGGTAGTTTCACCATCACTTTTCCTCTCATTTCATTTAAACGATATTGAAAATTTTATTCCCTGTGCAAGGGTGTTTGTCCGTCTCGTGGTAGGGCTAATTTTTTAAAAAAAGCTCTAAACCTACTTTTATTACGAAGGAGAAGACGATTAAGGATACGCTGAGAAAAAAGAGTCGACTTTTCCTTGCAATTTTCACCATGGATTCCAGGTCTTGTTTTTTCCCCTAAGAGTGGTTACAATTGGACCGCGTTAAGTAGAATAGAACTAAGCCACATCAGCTATTGCGAAATTTAACTGAGCAATTTAATATTTTACATGAAAACGGTTGTTGCGGATTTTTGTGCAAATTTCGGTGAATTTTCTGCACAGCACGAAGCAAATTCTTTAATTTTTTCAAGGGAATCCGCACCAAAGTTCTCTTGTAAAAAATAAAATTGCGCAGATAAATTTATTGATTTAGTGAATTGATGCGGCTTGGTTCCTTTCTACTGTGCGCGGTCCAATTTATTTTATATGGTTGCAATTATTTTAGTGCGAGTAATAAAATCCGTCCCGATTAAAATTGTTACCTAGACTGAACTATTTGTCATCATAAAACTATAAGAATGTCATTACGACCAAAGAAGTCGGTATAGTATCAAGAATCCACAATGAACCATTGCCCCTCAATGATTCTTCGATTAGGAAAAAATTTTATGGCTGAAAGTTAAAAATTTAAATAAAAAGTCAATCAGTGCCAAATATAAAGATTTTGCACAAGGAAAAGGGTTCAATCCTCGCTGAGTATTAACATGAACCATACAATTGATTGTAATTTCAAGCTTCGACTATTTTCTCTCTTTTTTTTAAAAATCACCAAATCGACGTTGAAACTACCAGACCACGTATCTCGTTTCCGGTGTTTAAAAATGTCCGCTCCCATTTTATTTTTTCGAACAAATCAATATCACTCCTTGAAGTTTTGACAGAGTTTTCATCGCGCAAAGAGGAAAACTCATGGAGGTCTTAAAGAATTGACGTTGCGTGGTTTTTCCTTTGTCAAACTAAGTATGACAGAAAGTATGCAACCTCTCTAACCGAGATACGTGGTCCGGTAGTTTCACCATCGAAATGTTTCGCATCTCCTGTATTTCTAAGAGGGTTCATGAATCTTCTTGGAATATGAGAATAATGACAAGCAGATGTTCAGACATTTTCAAATATTTCATGGTGTAGTGCAATTTTATATGAAATTTTGCTAAATTTTCATAACTAGCGGTCCATGCCCCCTGACCGCTTCGAAGTGCAACCCTCCGAAGCGTTTTGCGACGCAATATGCGTTACGCGTTACTCTCATGATTTTAAAATACAGAGTACAATTTTGATCTTATTGAGTAAATTTGATATTAAAATATTGTAACGCAATTCCACGACTTAAAAAAAAGTATTACATTCTCGACTGTTACTTCCGTACTAAGGGAGAACGCCGTATGAACATTCGAGAGTTGCCAAATTTCCCCTGATAAAACATGTATTTTTGACGAAATTAATGCATAATTTTCCTTGGAATTTTCGGATATTTTAAATTAAATTGCGAACAAAATAGTCGGAAAAACTAGAAGAAAAATGTTTACAATTTCCTCAAGAAATTTGTATTTTATCAGAGGAAATTTGGCAACGCCTAAAGGCTCATACGGCGTTCTTCCTTAGCATGACAGTGTACTTCTAGCGGATTTTGGCGCCAGCCATAAGGGTGGTTGCACTAGCTAGACGTGTAAAGGTACCAGCCAGCGGTATCGTTAATTCGACCACACTCATGCTGACTGTGAGAGCACTAGCTGCAGGTATGGTTAAACCAACCGAACTTTTAGCTGACTTAACCATGCCTCTAGCTTGCGCAACTATACTTTAATTTCTGGCTCCAAAATAAGCTCGGAGTATAGTCCGTGCCTGCGCTAATGCGAGAGATAGGCTGGCCAATTTTGGGAATTCCATACCATGCTTTTACTTTCCTATGTCTTTTATTTACTTTATTACGTTGTTACTTCTTCTATTCCAGATCATCTTCGCTCTTGCCTCAATGGTCATCCTCGCTCACCTTGCGATTGGAAAACCATCGGTATCATCCAATGCTGGCTCTGACGAATCATCAGTAGAAACAGTTAACGATGAGGAACCATCATTGTCATTTACGGGCCATCATAATGAAACAGAAGAGGGAGCAACAGGACGTGGGTGTCCAAGAGATTCAGAAAACTTAACCAAAAAAAAATGTGGTAAACTGGGTGACTACTGCGACGTCGACTGCATAAAATGTTGCAAAGGTCTTCGTTGTTACGCCGATTATCGTAGCCGTGAGATTTGCCACTAAAGTTATAATCTATTCCTTATCCGCGCTTAATACTTATTAGTATCTCAAAATCTCTGTACTGACATATATGCAATGTGCACATATAATGGCAATGACATTGATAAAAAAATAATTGGGAGCATTTAAAAGCCATGGTTTTTCCTTTCTCTTCCTCCCTCATTCTCCTTTTACGGCCTTTTTGCAGATGGCCCATGTGTCATCCCTTTTACGTGTGATTTCTATCTATTGAAGGCATTACAACTGTGAAACTCCCAAACTACGCATCATGGTTTGCAACTTTGCAGACTTCGAATCCTGCTGATGACATGCCAAACGGCGATTTCCAGCAGCTATCCAAAAGTGTATGCACAATCTATAGTTATCTAGTTATAACTTACCTCTTGTAATTTTACTGTTTTCTATTGCGCTATCTCTCATTCGATTTGCTGTAATTTTATTCTGTATTTAAACCTTTTGGTGGCAAATAAAAAAATAAAAAATAAAAAAAGATGTTAGCGGACGAGAACTGGGTTTCGGAACCATGTTAGCGAACGAGCGTGGCTTTCGTCGCTATACTGGTTGTTGATGATTAAAAATGATTTCGCAAGATATTTTAGCGAGATTGTTCTTAATTTCGGCACCAGTTGATTTTGATGGAAGCAGAATCAACAAACTGCTGAGTGACGTAGGATAAGAACGAAACTGGAGTTTTTAGAGATGAAAACATCACTGTATTATTCATAAAATTGAGATCACAATAATTACACGAAAGTTCAATATTCACTTGAAGGAGAATGTGCGTGCAGCACAGGAAAAGACACAATATTTAATGTGAACACAATAAAGATCTCAGAACTAACTTAGAAAAAGAAATTGGATTTAGCATCACATCTCAAAATATCATTGAAATAATGACCTCCACAAAGAAGAACTGGAAAAGAACTCATCATTTTATTAAAGAAACCCTTAAAAGAAAACAACTACTTTTGAAAATTGACCAACCCACCAATTCTTCCCTCGAAGATAAACCCGAAGGAGATGCCGAGGACAACCAAACAAACCGATAATTCAAGGGACTGAGAACCTCAAAAACGCACTTTTAGACACTAAGTTTCCAAGGGACAGGGAGGAACCAATTGAAAATATAATGTACTTTTAGGATCTTTAAAATTAGTCTGTAAAAAGGCCTTTGGGCGAAACTCTGTCAAGTCTCGTTCCACCCTGTATTAAACTAAACTAAATAAATAAATGGTTAACATAAATAAAAAAAAAAAAAAAATAAAAAATTTAAGTGAGAGAATGTACGTTCCATGGACGGGTCTAGGTGTTGATAAATTTCACACGGGTATCAAGAGATGGAAGAAGTGACAGACCTAGATTTTAGGGCAACCCACGCTTATATAGTCTTGCTGACGTCACGGGCGGTAGGACAACAAGCCTACGCGTGATTGGTTGGCTATAATCTATGTAGTTATCAGTTGCAAGTCTAGTAATTAAAATTAATGTTGATATACAAGAGGATAGGGAGAAAAGGGCTAAAAAAATTGAAAAATGAACTTTTTGAGAGCTGGAAAAATATGAAGTAAAAATGTATTGAAATATGTTGACAAAAGACTTCGAATCGTATATCCTAATCGTGTATCCTAAATGGAAAAATGCTCAAAGGCAATTTTTAAAAACTGACGCGCGGTTTTTCTTTTCTCTGCGAAGAAAATTCTGTGAAAACTTCGAGGAACAATGTTGATTTAATAGGAGCGGGAAGTTTAATAGATTTAATAGATTAATAGATTTAATAGCAAACGAGATATTAAAACGTGTAGTTTAGGAGTTCCTTAGTCGATCGTTTTCTCCTTACATAGAACAAAGAAGGATAACACATGCTTTAAAGCGGCTGATATTGTAATATTAACCGGGCGAGAAAATCATGCATGTAGGTAAACCTAGGTTTTGACTTGATATGCTCAGGAGTTGAAAGGGGAAAAGATTCAACTCTGTACTTTGTAAAAAGTAAAAATACATTATTTATCCACGGAGATGTTTCTAGTATGCAATACATTAACAGCGTAAGGCGATTACCAATGAAGTAAACATTTAAAAGGGCTTTTAGAATTGAGATGTTACATGTGTGAGGAATTTGCAATCTACTATTGATTCATATCGACGGTGAAACTACCAAACCACGTATCTCGTGTGCGGTGTTTAAAAATCTACGCTCACATTTTATTTTTTTGAAGTAGATCAAATCAATATCATTCCTTGAAATTTTCACGGAATTTTCTCCGCACAAAGAGGAAAAATCACAGAAATTTTCAAGACTGGGTGTTAAGTAGTTTTTCATTTAAAAAATAAAGTATGACAGGAAGTCTGCGACGTCGCAAACCGAGATACGTGGTTTGGTAGTTTCACCGTCGATATGTAAAAGTTCGCAAGAAATACCATGGCGCCACTGATTTTCTCTGAAATCAACTCCCGAGCTCAAAAAAGCTCTCAAGTTGAGGCCAAAATGGAGGGGATATCCCACGCTATCCTGAGAGTCCTCCTCTACATCAAGGCAAACTCTCCATACAAAGATAGGGAGCAAATACATTAGCACGGTTGCCGTGTTTTCAGTTTTAGAGTCCCCAAATGATGTGGCAGCCCTGTCAATGTATTTGCTCTCTATTAGAGTCCCTTTATACTGAGAGTCAAGACAATTCGGCTCATGGATGTCACAAACAGGAATAAAGATTACAGAAATTGAACGTTTTTCGTAATCTTTGATCGGCCCATTCTCAAATGCCTTTATCCGTTTCTCCTCTCATTCCGTTTGTTCCTTGCCGAACCCGTAATTCCCTGGTCCATTCCAGATTATAATCTTTGCAATTGCTGAAAATGTAATCTTTATTCCCGTTTGTGACACTCTGGAGGCCTAAAATACGGGAACCAATCAGAAATGGATTCAAATTGTCTTGACTCTCAGAATAAAAGGACTCTATACTCTCTATCTTTGCATGGAGAGTTTGTCTTGATGTAGAGGTGGACCAGAGACAAGAGACCCTCCACTGGCCTCCTAACGACAGGTGGAAGATTTTACTTTCGGGGATTCAACAGTTCCTTATGGACAATTATTAGGGAGCAACAGTCATCACCTCAATTTCGGCTGTTGACCTACCTACATGGTCCATGATGAGCTTCGAGTGACGTCATGAGCCAAACAAGTCTCGCAAACTTCGGCCATTTTCGACTTGTTTGCAAAACGAAACTGCCAACACGTTGTTAAACATCAACCATGTAGGTAAGTCAACAGTAGAATGCTGAAGTCCTGAAAGTAAAAGCTTCCACAATGGCCAAGATACTAGTGGAGGGTCTCTTGTCTCTGAGGTGGACTCTCAGGATAGCGTGGAATATCCCCTCTATCTTGGCCTCAATTTGAGAGCTTTTTCTGAGCTTGGGAGTTGATTTCAGAGAAATCCAGTGGCACCATCGGGTTTATTGCGAACTTTTACATAAAAATTAAAAGTCAAATCGCAAATTCCTCATTCATGCATCATCTCCATTGTTTATATTTTAAAATTCAAAAACATATTTAAGTGGCTAAGATATTTCCACAGTGACAACCTGCCAGGCTCATTTTCCCTCGGAGAACCGCTATCCTGTCAAACCTTGGTCTGCGTGAAGAAGCAGTCAGACCTAGGTTTATACACACATAAATTTCTATTCAGTCAGCGGGCTGATTGTTGAAATTTATAGACAAAACAATAGACAAAGAAGACATAGGGAGTATGGAGCGATCCTATTGGTTGAAATGGGGGTTCCTATAGGCACAAGGAGAAAATTATGGAAAATTATAGGTACTCTTATGAGTTGCCGTTAGTTTGTCTATTTCTACCTCATTTGTCTATTGCAACCACCACATCCATCAATAGGATCCCTCCAAATCTCTTTTATCTTCTTTGTCAACAGCTTTGTCCATAAATTTCAACAATCAGCCCGCAGACGTAAGTTTATATACACATACTTTTCTATTCAGTCAGACCGAATAAAGTTTGACTACATTCATAATTTTCGATCCTCGTCAAACGTAAGTCTGATTACGGGCCCATTTCAGACCTAGGTTTGACCAGCCCTTGGGGCTCTACTACTCCGTGGTGAGAACCCTTTATTTGGTTAAACCTAAGTTTTAAAAAAAGGGCCCTGATCAAACCTAGGTTTATAGCCGATAAACGGAGTTTGACCAAAATCTTTATTATTCAAGTTTTTTCAAATCTCTTTCTAAGAGAAACCTGTCTGCCAACGATGAAGAGAGAGTGCCCGGGAATGCGGGAAATCGGAAATTTTTTTGCACGAACTACACAACTTGTGTGATCACTTGCTACCGTATAAAAGTGCTGTGTATGTTGCCTATCTAGTAATTGAAGGGGCTTCCCTGATTGACATTATTGCACAATCATTGAAACTATTTGCATTGAGAATTGCATAACTCTCTGATACATACCGCACATTTTATTGATCGTTTAAAATGGTCTTTAACCAAATGATGCAAAAATATTATATTTTTAAGGTAATTTGGAAAAATAAATGTGTTGCCTTGCGCTTCTGGGATAGCTCCTAGAGAACTCCTTGGAGAAAATTCAATAAGTACTTAAATGTGATACTCACTTTCAATCGAGCAATATACTTGCGGATGCCTTACCAAATGAGGGTCACACGTATTTATGTAAATAAAAAGTGCAAAAGAAAAGATAAATCGTTTTTCTGTAAGCAGAAACTGCCCCCTCGTCGAGTGTGTGCTCAAGTTTGCTAGGTTGTGCCATTAAATGTGAATATTTAACATGGGTTAAAATGGGAAATACTGCTGATTCATCAGCACAATTTGGCAACAATTAATGCTCTGGAGGAGGATCGTATACACCTTGAACTGCACTTCAAAGTGTACAGCGCACATGAATTTTCAATAAAAATTGTTTGATTGGTTTAAAACAGTTTAATTACTTAGTAACTCCAAAGAAACTATCTTAATTAGAACATGAGCCCTGTTATGCATACATTTTTATAGATATTAGGGCCTAGGTCACAATTAAGGTTGTTCCTTTTGATTTACAAACATCCAATTGTCATAGGCTCTCGCGTAGATAGCTGTAGACTTAGGTGTTGTACCCAAAAGTACTTCAGTGACAAGTACCTTCTCACGGGTCTAAATAAAATGTATGGCGTCATGATACTCATTGAAATTTGTTGTTCAATGGAAATTAAATGAGGGTCTTCAATTTTATCGAGAGAACTCAAACTTAAATTTATAAACAGATGGACAAGTGCTTCAAATCCATCAAAGCCCTTATGCGCGTCCGAGAACAATAGCCAGGTGCTTCAGTTTTATAATAGTGTCTCAGCCAATCAACAGTCTCTTAAAATGTGTTCTTTCAAAGTATTCGTAAGTTATTGCCTTGTCACTAATTGTTGCCTCATTAAAACCATTTCAATCACCTAAGATTTTAGCAGGAAGGCGGGAATGGGAAAGTCTTATTTCTTTTAATTTTATTTTTTGTTTTTTACTCTAATAACTTTAATTTTCAAACGAGGAGTTTTGTCCTCAATATGACATTTTTCAAAAATACGATTTTTGTCGAGTTGGGTTAGAAAAATTATGTGTTGCGAGAGTTTTAAACAGAAAATGATCTGTAGTATCTTAAAAAACGAAGGAAAAACACTAGAATGGTGGCCTGAATACTTTGTGTAACTCTAATTGTTTTATTTTTTCTGTCCTTGATTTCTTCACATTACAGTGAGGACTCCCCTATCGGCAAAATGACCCTGGTACAATGTTGGTAGCGCTTCGGGACAACCGTGTCACTAAGCTTGTCACATGCTTGAGGCAAGCTTCGGACAAGTACTAAATGACCGAAGCTGGGAGATTGAACAGCCAAGATTATCCAAAGCTTGGAGGGCCAACATTATGGCATGTATGTTTTATCAAGGTCAGACCATTTTTAAGCAACAACTGCCCAGCTTCTATCATCCTTGGCTCAAGCTTGCCCGAATGGTGGGCGGACCTTGAAGAAGCAAGCTTGATCCGAACTTGCTTTTTCAATCTCCCTGCCTAGGTCCTTTAATGCTTGTCTAAAGGTTGGTTAAAGCTTGTGACAAGGTTGCTGTGACCTTTCCGCAAGCATGGTAAAGCATTGCCATGATCTTGAGGAAGCAAGCTTGTTTCAAGTTTGCTTTTTAAAACTTCCTCCCTAGGTCATCCTTCAAAGCTTGTCCTAAGCTTGGTTACAGCTTGTAGCAAAATTGCCTCAACCTCCCCACAAGCACGCTCAAGCATGGACATCCCGGAGCGCATTCACTCCAGAGCTTTTCCGACGAGGTTCCGCTGGTTTTTTAGCACTGAACATACGTTATTATCATCTGCAGTACTTTAATTCTTGAGTTACATCGTATCTTATTCCGGGCTCTTCCGTACTAAATGATCTCAATGAAAGAGAGGCAAGGCTGGAGCTCAGCTGAACACAACCTTGGCCAAGAAATCGGGAAATGTACTTCAAATGAGAAAATACAGGAAAGTAGAGGACACATATGAAAATTCCCTACACTCGGAAAAAAAAACTCCGGCTCCACGAGCCGTAATTACGGGCTATATGGACGTATTTCTGTCAAATGGAACTATGTGCATTGAGACATGAGCCCTGAGACCCATAAGAATATGTGCATAACAGAGCTCACGTCATAATGCACATAGTTCTGTTTGATAGAATTACGTCCATATAGCACTACCGTGTGTTGCGGGTGAGGTTACCGTAAGTCCCCCATTTAGGAGCTGGAGCATCGGCCTCAGAGCCCGGAGCTTTTTTGCTACGGTTTTTGAGGCCGTTGCTCCGGCTCCTGAATGCAGGACTTACGGTCTCCTCACCCGCATCGGACGGTAGTGCTATACAGCCCGTGATTCCGGTTCCTGGAGCCGGATTTTTTTTTCAGTGATAACTTTAACCTTTTTTCCGTTTATAATAACAGATACTAAAATTTCATTTTATAACTTTCTCGTGTTCAGGTCTTCTTTGCCCTTGCCTCCATGCTAGTTCTCTCACATTTTGCAACTGCAATACCATCACTCCCATCTGAGGTTGATCTTGATGAAACACCAGAAGAGATAGTTGATGATCAGAGACCGCCAGAGTCACTTGCAAACAGTCTCGATGAAATGCCAGTAGAGGTGAGCAAAGCAAATCCGTTCGTAACAGAAGAGTTAGGAAAATGTGCCAAGTTGAATGAATATTGCGAAGATGGTCAAAAATGCTGCCGCCATCTCCGTTGCTGGGCCTATTACCGTATACTCGTCCAAAGTGTTACCGCGCCCGAAACTAACAGAATATTATTTCCTATTATCTTTTATATTTTCTATTTCTATGCCAGTAAGTACAAAATTTTGGATACGTATAACGTTTCATCTCATTAAGAAAAAAATGATTGTCAGAAGTTGTTGGTATAATTTTTTTTTTTTCCCCCTCATAATCTTATTTGTTGTGATTAACTCGCATATGGCCAATGCGCGAGGTGCCCCAAACTGACAAACTTTAACAAAGAATATTATGTCGATTGCTTTTTCTTTTCTTGATAAATTTTTCTCCGTTGCATCAAAAAGCGCCTGAACTCGAGGTTTTTTTTATGCACTGGGGGAAAACTGTGTGATTAAAATCACGAAATTAGTGGTACTCCATAAGAACTCTCATTTAATGGTTACCTTAACCAATGATCGTGGCATTGGTGCCATTAAGGATAATTTCATCACCACGTTGGCCCACCTGCACTATTACTATTAGTTATGCTTAATAATAGTTCATGTTGTTCATGTTGTACTGATTGGGAAATTTTCATTACAATTTTTCTCTGTTTAATATTATAGTCTTTTACATTTTGAATCGCTTTAATTTGCATCTATTAAAATAGGTGCATGAGGAGACGAGTGCATAGATGCATGCCTTAACTGCTTCATTGATAAAACTACCAGGTGTCATGAAAACAACCATCGTAATTTTAATTGTTTTATTTTGACACTTAATTGATGTTCGATTGATGATACTGTTCATTAAATATTTTTATAACTTTGATGACGAGATCTAAAGACATTAAATGCATAATTATTTCAATAAAGTATTTCCTTTCAGTATCCAGGAACTCATTTTTTTAGATACTTTACGAATGTCATGATAATATGGTGCAAACCTTTCAAATAACGTCGAAATATTCGCCTTTTTGGAATACAAATGAATTTATCTGATCGAAATTTATTTTAAAGGTTATTAGATAAAGTTTTTTGTCGAAATCATAAAGTACGATTCCTCGATTCCACTGAAGAAAACTCGCCTTACTGAATTGTGATTCCCTTGGACAAGGGCTCCTTTTTACGTGGACGGTCATATTTCAAAAAAGTGATTTAATAACTCAAAATATGATTTTTCAACCAAAAGCACCTTAAATATCTAAAGATTATATATTTTAAGGGGTTCACATGATTTCTGTACCAATGAGAGATGTAAAGATGCATTTTAAGCCAACAATTTTGAGGCCTTCACCGGAAATATTTCGCTACTTTGCCACCTAGAGAATGAAAAAATGTCTAAAAATATGATCTGATGATATTTAGAAGCTGGCTTAACTCCCACCTAATTCGAGTTTGCATTTCCAGCGAATGCATATTGTATAGTTGACTGCGAGGACAAGCAAGCTAGCATCTTGAGATCACCAGATACTTAGTTATGACATCCAGGAATTATCTTAGAATTATATTTGATTCTATACAAACACAGCAGGTTAAAACGTAAGCTGTTATCTGTTCCCATTAGAAAAGAAAGTATGCGTGGCTTGCAAAGAATTCAATAACTAGAACAAGGCGTGCTCAGTATACCGACCAGGTGGATAACAATGTTTGAAATTTGAATACAACTATTCGTGCTCGAGGGATGCGCGTGTTGCATGTACGAACGATTGAAGGCGCTTTGACTGCGTTCCTTTTAAAACAATGTACACAACGCGTTAAAATCCTTCATCAAGAAGTACAATCCTCCTATGAGGCATTAATTTTGAAACATTACCCCTCCCCTTGCCCCTAGGCCTGGTTATCCTCCTATCAGCGCATCAAATAAGACGGATTGCAGAAAAGTTTCAATTTGCGTTGGCCTCAAATTGAATAAGTCGTTGCGGAAGGGTTTTTAAAGCAGAACAAATTTCAAGTTTCCGAATTTCGGGAGGTGCATAAATAAAAATAACAATCGGACGTATTTCTGTCAACCGGAACTAAGCGCCAATTTGAGTTCCTTTTGAGGAATTTAGAATCCCGCATAGCGCGTTCTGTCAAACGGAACTAAGCGCCATGGAAAAGCATTGCGAGTATAGGACGGAACGAGCCCGACGCCCGTTTCCGCCGCCTATCCAAGCCCCCCTCTACCTTCCTCCTCCGATGGCGCTTAGTTCCGTTTGACAGAAATACGTCCAATTGTTCTTGATAAAACACACAAGTATTACTCTATATCATTTTATAAGTAAATAAAAATGATATTTCCAAAGTATTCTACAAATCTAAATTCTGCACCCAATTGATCGGAAATTAAACTATTTTCAAAGTAGTTTCAAATGGCTTAAGAATTATGTTTAATGTGCTTCAATGTGTTTAATGTGTTTTAATTGAGTGTAAGTAATGTGCTTGGAAATGTTTAAAAATTTATAAATCTATCTTTAAAAATGTCATACGAATATTGTTAAACAATATTTGTTTCATTATTTTTCAAAGAATAATTTTAAAAGCAGGTTGATAGTATTTTAAAAAAAATATTTTTTTAAACTTTCGCTGTCATCGACGTAAAAAAGATGTCACGCGTTTTGATTAGTAAATCTCATGATAGAGGAAAAGTTCAAACCTTCTCTCCGATTCCCACTTAACGGGGCTTTGGCCCTCATTGTTTATTGGTCTCATCAGTCCCATTTAACTGGTTGCTCACGATATTTTCACCGAATAACCCACGACACTTTCTGCCGCTGCATGAAGCACAAGCAGTGAGCAACTTGCCTTAGGTGTTACGATCCAATTGGACTCAGATAATTAAATAAAGTTACCAGCAACTCAAAAAAATTCATGTCAAGACGTAACCTCATGCAGAAAAAAAGACACCATGGAGTATCGAATGTTCGATTGAATACCAAGAAATGAAAGGTACTTCAAGACAGGTAAGTTGTCATATTCTAAATAAAATGTATACAGCCATAGTAAAATAATTTAGATTCGAGTGAATCAGCAATCCTATTCTCTATCTGAACTACTCAACCGTAAATATATAAACAACTGGACACTTGCATTTACAGAATCTTTGAGCTTTGCAGTGTTTCAGCCTCTTAGCCGATCGACTAAGTCTCTCGAAATGTGCCCGACAAAAGTTTTCGTAAGCCACTTTTTTGTTACTATAATTCTTTTCGTGTTTTATTCCATTTTATTTTATTTATCACATTTAATTAATAAGTTCAAAGCTGTTTATTCCACTTTCTTGCCAAAAGAGGCTGTATTAGTGTATTATGATATAACGATTTTGAGCTTTGAGTAAGATCAGTAAAAACGTCAATGACATTTTCTCAACTTATTGTTCTCAACCTCAAATATTCATCACTCTGGTTTGGTTTCATATATTTTTGAAGATTATTTTTCATTTGCTCCCAGGTGATTTTGAACCGTTTTTCACTGAGGTGCAACCGCATTTTTTTTCCATCACTAAGGTCCTCTTTCCCGTTTAAATGCTTGTACAGAAAAAGGATGGATCTAAATTTTCCTCGAAAAAGTTGGAAAAACATACAGGCACGAGAGATCAGTACAAGTATAAAATCCAATTTTTTGAAGGTGAATTGTTTCGCGCATGCTTTTATTTACCTTTTGAAAAATTTTTAGGGCATTTCAAACTGACTGTTTAGCGCTCTTCATATCGCGCAAACAGTCTCCCAAACACGCCATCACAAGATAATTCATGACTACATTCCAACAGTTTTGATTAATTACACACCCCCTGGTGAAATTTTACTCATATTTAATGAATTTCAAAATTGGCATATTTCATTTGCAAACCTGCTTCAGTGACAGAGGGAATCGTAGCGCAACTTTATACTTACTCGGTTTTTCTTCCCCTTCTTTTTTGTTCTCTTTTTTTACCTTAATTTTGTTTCTTATTTTTTGCTCAGGTCATCTTTTCCCTCGCCTTCATGGTCATTCTCGCTCACTTTGCAACAGCAAAACCGTCAGTGTCGTATGATGTTGGCCTCGATGAAATCTTGCCCGAAAAATTAGGCCAATGCGTCGATATATATGAATTCTGCACCAATCGTAAAAAGTGTTGTCCTCCTTACACTTGCAAACCATTTTATCGCAGTCCAGATCTTTGTCAAAGAAAATGATTAATTTCTCTGTCTATCTGTGTAGGACACTATTTTGGCATCACGAAAACCAATTTTATAAATAAACAAGGCAATTTAAAAAGTTTATGACTTGTAATTTTCGTTGCTGTTATTATCTTGTTTCCGTAACATACCTGTAAATAGAGATACGTAAGCTGTTTCGCGACTTATCAAGAGTCTTTAAGTATACGTTCCTAGTACGAAATTAGCACCCCGGTAAAAATTGGCAGTAGAATCTGTGTCCCAAAATACCATAGACCTACAGCCGGCTGTAAGATTTCCAATAGCTTCTATAGCCGGCTACACAATTTCTCATAGGCTTTTATAGCCGATGGCGATTAAGCAACAGCCAGGCGATAAAGTGTATGCTAAACGTTATACTAATTACGGATGCTAGGACTTAGTGAGTTTTTGGACTGCTGCTCTCTTTTCGGGCCGTAGTATCTTGATTTATTTTGCGAGGAAAGCTCCGTACTTTTGATGGATGCCTGCCATTCCTAATATATTAGAGCGCCTACAGTTTCGTATGATACTGTGCAATACCTCTGGTGTGAAATAGTTGCTTCAAGCGCCGTGGCACGCTGCGGCGCGGCAGGCGGGCAGCCAGCGCGAAACGCGCATTGGCGCCTACAAACCTAACAGGGATACTTCACGCGATGCGCAATGCGTGAAGTATCCCTGTTAGGTTTGTAGGCGTCAGTGCGTCGCCGCTCCGCTTTGTGTTAGGCTCTAATATTTAATCTGGCGGAGTCAGCGTTATTCAATTCATGATTTTGAAATGTTTGCACATCCTGTATGGATTATTCTCATTTTAATTGATGAAGAAAAATATGTATCAAAGGAAAATACAATGTGTGTTTTGTAAATATTAAGGTACGTGGTTCCGTATCAAACTTAATGATTTCCAAAGCACACAAATTTCTACACAATTTTTTGTAGCCTTTTATAATCGATGGCAAAAAAAGCAACAGCCAGGCGATAGGAACTATAGCCCGGCTGCATAATTTTTTATCGCCTCGTATAGCCCGGCCGTATGATTTTTACTTTCCACTTTCTACAGCCAGCTATATGATTTTCTGTAGCCTACTTTAGCCGGCTGTAATAATTTCTGTGGTATTTTGAAACGCAGCTCCTATCGCCAATTTTTACCAGGGCACATTTTTACCATAAATGCATCCATACGGTAGTATCTCTTCTAGAAATTGTTTTAACTCCCATTAGTTTCACTCTTATTACGACAATTCGTCACCTCCCAGCCAAAGTATCACAAGCGCCATATGCGACGTTTCAAAATTCCTGCCGCCATTTTATTTTTTACAGAAAAATGTGTCAACGAAGCTGTCCGAAAATTTCACGGAATTTCCTTTGTATGCTGCCTACAAAATTCAGTAAAATTTTCAAACAGATTCAACCTACAATTTCTCTGTAAAAAAATAAAATGCCGGCGGAAATTTTGAAACGTCGCATGGCGCTTGTTACACTTTGACCGAAAGGTGACGAATTGGTGATCAATTTTTTACTACTACTGATCTGACAATGCAGGATTTTCCAAATCCATGAACCAATCTCATAGAACTTCGAATGGCTATCCACTTTTCGCAAACAGTGCGTTTGTTAAGAAGAGCGTATATGACGTATTTACTCCCTCCGCACATCTGTCTCTCTTGAACCAAACCGTTCAATTAAGCAAAGTTATCCAAGAAACGGCGTTGCTTAACTTGCCAACTCCGGCTGTCAGGAACATGAGTTGCTCCGTGGGGGCCACTTGGGTGTCATGGACGATATCCCGCTTATTTCATGGCGGACGTTTGTGGTCAGCCGTGAGTCCGCAGCGGCCTTCGACGGTTCTGACAATCCACCCTTATTCCGACGATAAAACCAGGGCACGGTTTCGTAACCGACGCAACGACCACCAATTTTGCGGGGGAATGTTGTGGCAACGTTGCCGCAATGCTCCAAGCTGCCGTGTTACCAAAAGATGCCGTAAATACCTCCAAAAATGGACCGCGTTCAGCAGAAAGGAAGCAAGCCACATCAGCTATTGCCAAATTTAACCGGAAAATTCAATTTTTCATGCAAGAACGTTCGAGCGGATTTTTTTTTGAAAATATTAAGGAAGTTGCTTCGTACTATGCAGAAAATTCACTAAAAGCAGAAAAATCCGCACAACCGATTTCATGTAAAAAATTAAATTGCTTATTTAAATTTGGTGATAGCTGATGTGGCTTGGTTTCTTTCTGCTTAACGCGGTTCAAATGAAGTTTTGCGAAAATTGACTCAGTACTATTCGAGAAGCAGTGAATTGTATTAAATTATTCCTCACTTTATCTGTCAAAATTTGAAGAATCGGTATCATTAAATGGTTTTGGTAGTAGAGATTAGAGGATCTACGAATTTCACCTATGGTTGTGAAAAGAGGAATTAATTCGTCGATTCCCCGACGAAAAAACGTAACTCAATCCCGAGGTTGCAAAATTGACTCAAACGATTCGAGTTTTTACAATAATGTACCTTTGCAATTTTTCCCCAAAATTTTTATCGATTTTTGTATGAGTTTAGAAAAAAGCACCAGGGAAAAGAAACGCCAACAATTCTCTTGGTAAAATTGCGATTTGAGAGTGTGAATTTGGCAACATTGAAATGTAGTTACGTTCTTTCGTGGAGGAAGCGACGAATTGGACTGCATTTAGCAATTTGGACCTATAAATTCTGGCTCATCTGAAAAAACACTTATGTGCATAGGGAAATTAATGATAAATACGTTGTTTTTAACTGGGCCGGAATTAATAGGTCCAAATTACAAAATGCAGTCCAATTTATCTCCTGTTAGGCAAGACACCCAAAACGGCCGTAATGCAATCTACCACACGTTTGCTTGGAATTACGTTTTCAACGAATGACGTGCCACTTTTGAAGTTAGACATTAGCAGAAAAAGGCACCAGTTTACTCAAGCCAGCAGTATGTACAACTCTCTCGCGAGCTAATGTGGACTTTCTGCTATTTCGTCGAAAAAAAAAACCAACACCTTTTGCGTACTTTCTGCTCTTTGAAGACTCTCGTATTCTGTAAACTGGAAGAATTGTGCTATTTTAGTAAAATTATTTGGTCTATTTAAAGTCATTTTGTGGAATTTTGAAGATAACTCGATTTTGAACTTTTAGTAGTTGCTACTTTCTTCGGTAACATAATAACAGCACGGAAAAAAAAGTTGCTAAAGTCACATCCCAGATGTTAAAAATCTACGGCCCTTAGATATTGATTTGAACGCCATAGTTGTTAATTAAATGTGGCTAGGATGTTACTTTAACAGCCGCAGTGTCCATAACAACATTCAAGAGGTGTCGTGCAAACCTCCAGGAGGTTACTTCAGCAACTATTTTTTTCGTGAGGATGACCACTATCGTCGGAAAATAGTGCTGTATAGTAGGTGCAGTTGGGTAGGCACTAAGTAACACACCATAGAGATCAGGAAAATACCCCTTTCACTCATGTCTTTTGCTTTTTTCTTCTCCAATGCGCAAGTAACATGCATATCAGTGTCATCATACGATAAGAAAATACTTTCAATTGCGTTACGACCATTTTACGTTAATAATAAGGAAATCAATCGCACAAAAATGGAAATTCTATATTAAATATTTTATCATTTGTTCATAAATTATATAATTTACAAAGAAACATTTTGAGCAAAGTTATTTACAACTATTATACACTTTCAGTATATGTAATCATCAGGGGTTTTTTTTATCATTCTGCATGAAAAAAATTTAACGTTAATGGTAAACTGCGGCAAATTTAGATTTAAGCTCAAGGCGCTCTGGGAAATTTTGTGGTGTTTTTGTATGGAAAATTAAAAAGTTATGAAATTTAATGAATTCTTTTGATTCAGATGATACACTCGGCTGTTTTATAGTTGCACTGAAAAAAAGATGAAAATTGCTTTTGTGGAAAAACTAAGCCAACGGCTTCAGCAAATCCACGCACAGACGCAAACAGAGATCTCCCTTTCTTACTGCCCTTTCCCGCAACTCTTACTGTCAAATCCTTCGTGTTGTTCGTTCCAGTGTTTTTATCTTTTTTATCAAAACTAAGAGTGGTGAAAATTTGGATCAGATGAACCATTTTCCAATGACGGCGACATGAACTTGTGATCGGGTCATTGATTTAGACTCCTCCGCTTGTTACAGTCTCAAATGACGAAAAGGATCCTTTGAGACTCTCCACTTTCCATTTTTCATTTTTTTAATCTTGAGCTTTTTATAGGGGCTCCTGAAAATTGGAAGATGAAGTAAATTTGTATTATACGCTTAAAGCCATAATCGGGAGATCAAGATTACAATGATCTAAAGCAATAAAGTCGGTACATAATTAACATGTGATATATGTAAGAGGAAGAGACCTTGGCCCACAAATGTTTAAAATTGAGTCGTTGATACCAAAGTATAGAGAGATGATCTACAAGAAATTTTGGCGCATAACACACATAAAAATGTCCAGCCAATATGGAAGTATGGCAGCTTGAAGTTTAGTGTTCAGAGAAGGTAGTTTCGAGTAAAAACTACCTAAAAGATTAGTCTATACCATGTTTAGGGCACAAAATTTCTGGATTTTAATGCAACGTCAGTTACTATTTGAAACAAAAATAAACCGAGGAACTTGCAGCTTATTTCACTAGCGTGACACTAGAAATTGGTTTTCGTCGAAAGCTCAAAGTTCAATATTTTTATCCAATTTGAGAAAAAATGTTTGTACTCAAAATCTGCCTCCGGGAACCATGGTTGCTTAGCCCGTAGACAGTAAAACATATTTAAAATGAGAGAAAAAAAACAAACTACCTGCCATAAGAATAGAGTGATCCTTAGGATTCTTCATCATGATTGGGGGTCAACAATAGGAATTAGATCCCTGCTATCATCTATGGCGGTTTCAGGGTCACCCCAAACTTGCAGATCGTCCGGTTCCACGGTCTCCAAATCGGATTCCTTGTTCCAGAAAATAGGGTCGGGGGCGGTGTAATGTTGCGTCCTGAAATCATTGCCCATTCAAATATCGGTAACTTCGCTATAAAAGGAACACTCGTTATTAGAGGGTCTATTACTGCCAAGGAACAAGGTGGTAAAAAAATGCGGGGTCCACACTATTATGCGGGGAAAACGAAGCTAAAAAATTCAAAAATTTTAATTAGAGTCAATATTAATTAATGCCATGGTAAGACAAACTTAGAAAGTTCACATCACTGCCGTCCAAAATAAAAACTCTGTATCCCCTCTACGCTTTTCAATTATTTTCTGTGAAAACGCTGTTTTACAAGAGAATACAAATATTCATCACTCTTTTTTTACTTACAAACCTTTTTACTCTTTTTTTACAAACCTTATTACTCTTTTTTTGTTGTCGATTCTGGTATACCTAATGTTAGGAACTCAAAATGAAAAAAAATGAAACCTTATGGAAATTATATTTTCTTGTAGCAGAGCAATATGTGTGGAGAAAATTTAAAAATTAGGATGGAGTTATGGCGTTTTTGCTGTGTATGGTAAAATATGCCAGAGCTTCGATAAAATATTTAGTTTCTAGAAAAATTATGGATATATTTTCCTAAATACCTTCAGGTGTATTTGCGACTTAAATTCCCTGAAAAACTGGGGGAAAATAACATGATATTTTTTTGAAACTTTCGTATTACATGAGCTGAGACTTGGTGACAGCCAAATGCTCACAAGACATTTGGACGTGTTTCTGCCAAACGGAGCTATCTGCATTAAGACACGAGCCCTGAGACCTATAAGAATATATGCATAACAGGGCTCACGTCATTATGCACATAGTTCCGTTTGGCAGAGACACGTCCATTTTTATGAGCGTATGAACAACAGGACGTATTTATGCAAAGAGAAACCACTCAGAAGATGTCCATCATTCGTATACATATCTCCTGTTAGCATATATACGTCCACTTTTCTAGATTAGCTGTAGCAAAAAATACTGAAATGTCAGCAGCCAATTTTACAAGTTTATACAGCAAAGGTCCTTCATAGCATGTAAGAAAACAAGTTACGTTCCCAGTACAGCGAGAAGCGTCGACAATGGAGAAGGAGCAAGTTTCGGAAGACGTAACTTAAAAAGTTCCTCGAGAAAATTCGCCAACTTGCTCTGGAGAGGAACTTTTTTCACCTCCCTAAAATTTCATAATTGGCAATAATTTCATTAAACTCTCTAATGCACGCACACCTTCCTCTCGCCGGCGCCCTCGTGTGAGCACGCTTGCTTGAGCTGGCGAAATTGACTGACATCTGAGGCAGAAAAGGTTACGTAAGTTTCGCGCAACATACACACGTTCGCGAGTGCTGATCGATGTGTGTGTTACACCCTGCTCGAAAGTTAGCTGTCCCTCCAGCACCACTCTCATTGTATTTCATTGAGGATGATCCTCTTTCCTCTCCGGGAGAAAGGGATGAGGGGTTAAAACGTCGCTTGACTGACATAAGGGCGTAACCACTGATTGAGTTGAGCCCGGAATTGCATTGAGTTGCATAGACGACAGGGTTCATTGCAGAGTGCAGTTACGCCCTTATGTCAGGAAAGCGACGAAAAGAGTGATGGAGGGCGGGGAAAAGCGTAAGTACCAGTACGTAAGTCAAATTACGCCAATGGACCACTAGATAAGGTACGAATTTCAGCATTCTGATACATGTTTCTTAACCAAAATTTTACGTAGAATACGATACGCACAACAAAAATTACCGCAATTAACTCCTTACGAAGATATTTAATGATTCTTAATGCGTGAATTCAAACCACCCGCTCATGAAAACTCAATGCTCTACGTGATTCACATCGCGCGCTAAACGTTATCATGACAGTCTCTGCGATATAAAAATCTGGCAACCTCAATCTTGACGCTTTGGCTCAGTTATAGAAAATTGCTAATAGTTTGAACAACACATGATGGAAAATGAACATTGCTCGATTGAGAAGCTTGCTGAAACCGTTGTAGTGGGCGATTTGACTCACGTAGAGTTTTGAGTTTCTTGTGAGCGGACAGTTCAAATTCCTCGTAACCAATGTGAAATAAAAACGTTAATATCTTCGTTAGGAGCTGGTTTCCGTAATTTTCGTTGTGTGAATCGTTTTCTACGTGAAATTCTGGTTAAGAAACATGTATCAGATCGCTTAAATTCGTACCTTGTCTAGTGGTCCATTGGATCGAATTGTATACAAACGCATCAAGTCACATTTTGGCGGGAAAATGAGTTAGGAACAGTTACAAATGTAACTAGGTGTAAACTCCTGTTAAAAATTCTAAGTTGCGAGAATTTTTTTGAAATGTTAAAGCAGTCGTCAAGCTTTATTCTCAGCATTGCGTCATGAGAAGGAATGAAATTTTGACCCTCATTTTTCAGTTCTATCGTAATACGTTTCTCTTAAACTAGGTTTGATACCGAGAGAAGAATATTGCTCGGAAAATATTTTTGAAGGAAAGAAAAATAATTAAACAGAATTATGTGCAGAAAAGATGAAAATCAAAAAAATCAAAAATGAAATAAAATTTTTTTTTCTCAGCATTGCGTCCTGAGAAGGAATGAAATTTTGAACTTCATTTTCTCGGTTCATTTTTAATACGTTCCTCTTAAACTAGGCCCGATTCACTGAGAGGAGAATTTTGCTCGGAGAACATTCTTGAAAGAAGGAAGAAAAATAGGACAGAATTATTGTGCAGAGAGGATGAAAATAAAAAAAAATTTAAAAAAATCGGCTCAAGATTTGCAACGTAGCAAACCGGGGTACAGGTTTTGTACTTTCACCATCAATGCTCAGCTCCGGTTCCCACGTTGAAATAAATGCGCAAGATTTTGCTGAAGGAGACCGAAAAGTTTGACCTACATGGAGCACCGAACGTTCAACTCATACTACCAAACTTCTTCCCTCAGTACAGGGAGCTTCCGTGCTCGGAGGGTAGAAGCGAGGATTTTTGGAGCAAACTGTAGTTGAACTTAAGATCCGCAAAAATTGGGTCCCTGGATGAGACGTGGGTGAGATAAAAGTCAGGCGCGCTTGTGAGCTGCGGGAAAAAGCGAAGTATAAGTCTCGATAAGGAACTTACTTGGAAATTTGTCTATCAATCCAACTCCTGTAATAAGACACATCCGTGTAGACTCCGGGAACCTTGCGTCGGGCGCAGCCCTCTCCGAAGGAAACGATCCCTGCATAAAAATCAACGCATAAACATCCGGCATTTCGTAACGGGCCAACTTCGAGCCGAATCCCAAACTTAAATTAAGATCCCGGAAAGATAAGTTGTTTGCGCGGCTGGAAATTAGTCTGCTCTCTGCTCAGCCCCCGCCAATGAGTGGCAGGTAATTGAATCAACTGCAAACAAACTTCGCATTCGGCCTTTTCTTCTCCGGCCCCGGTTGCTAGCTTTGCGCCGTCATAAACGAATCCATTTGCGGTCTCTCCCTCTTCGAATTATTCGCCGAAAAACAAGGGTGCACCAGTGGCGTGGCGTGCTTTGCGATATATCGATTGATCTGCCATTTAAATCTATGTAAAAACATCGATCATCAAGGTGTTCGCAGCGAACACCTTGATAATCGATTCTTTACTACAGCTTCAAATGGAGGAATATCGATGGTGGATCATTCACGCCACGCCGCTAGGGTGCACTCAAAAAATCGGATTCACCATCAAACGGATGCTCATAGTTTCTCAGCTTCTCTCTTGTTGCTTTGAGAAATATAATCGAGGGGCTTGGAGGACAAGGCGCATAAGTGCAGTTTTTGCTATTCCGAGAAATACATTCTTGAAGTTTCGAAATTACACGGAGCCTTATGGCGGAAAGAAAGTTCAAACTGACTTTTTAGTGCTTAAAAAGTAGAGTTTGGGAGCGAATTTTTCACAGAATATGCATTAAGACTAGTTTTACTTGATATTATTGATATCTCGATTTTCTCAAAAACTGCACTTATGCGCCTTGTTCTCCAAGCCCCTCAAATAATATAATTGAACTAAGTAAATTGATTAAAAGGGCAAAAAGTAACTTCTGTAGCTCTCAGAGAACGGTAGTATAATACCGTATTTCTTTTCGGCATGATGAATTTTTGGTAGTCAAAGCCATAATTAAAACGTAGGACTAGTGTGATAAGACCTTAAAATTTCAGAGGTCATATTCTACATTACTCCGTGGATTTACTTTGGAACAGTTGGACTGCGTTTTGCAATTTGAACTATAAATTCTGGCTCACCTGAAAAAACACTCATGTGCACAGGGAAACTAATGGCGCATACGTTATTTTTAAACTGGGCCAGAATTCGTGGTTCCTAATTACAAAATGTAGTTCAATTGAGTTTAGCCTAATGGATCCTAACTTTTATCATCGTTATTAATTCCTTTTAAAAGCTCTTTTAGTTCCAAAACTTTGATGAAGTAACTTCTGAACTCGCTATGGAGGATTTAATTTTTGTGAAAGCGGGCAAATTCTGAAATTTTGAATGAAGATCTTTGGGTGGATTTAGTTTTCTCAGTTTTGAACAGTTATTTCAGAATATTATCAATATCTTGAGAGATAAATACTCCCTCCACTTAAATCAACTATGAATAATCGATTCTAAACAAATCTGTCTGTCCCGATAAATATTGATTGTTTCGCATACATTTTAAAGGACAAAATCCCATAATACCAACTTGCAAGAATCACCACTGTTGGATAATCAGTGCGAGGTTTTTAAAATTCTCCTTTGTAATTTTAATGTAAAACCAGTAGAAGTCACAAAGTGACCTTTAATTTGATTACATACCTTGCACGGTGAATAAGCCACCGTATTGCGTCTGCAGTGGTCCTCCACTGTCACCCTGAATCCAACAAAGAAAGGAGATTAGTTTTTGGGGCAAAACACATAATACAGAAAAAAACAAAGAGCTGAAAAAAAGTTGGATACTTCGTGTGCTTTGAAGAAGCTCTCATCAGTCAGCGAGGTTTAAAGATTCAAATTTTAATTTTTAAAAAAAAAAAAAAAAAAAAAAAAAAAAAAAAAAATCAATAGAAAATGAGAGAGAGGAGAGAAAGAATCGACGGATAGGCCACTTAAACATACAACGTTCAGCAATTAATACTGCCACTCTGAGGGAAACCCTTGTATAAACATTATATGAACAACGTGTTGAACGTTGCGAAATTTCAACATACAATGGAAAATAGTTGTAGTACTCTATGGCATGAACTAATTCTGTATTTTGAATTCTGAGGTACGTCAATCTATAACATTAAGTTCGAATTTTTCAATCAAAATCTCAAAATTTTGGTATTCATGTATATTCAAAAATATTCAAAAACGAAAACACTGATTTGCAGCATCATGCCACAGAGGAATGATCCAATTTTTAGAAAACAAACGAATCCGTAGTAACGAGATCGTTATACCATGTCATACAGGGATGAGACCAGTACCGCGTTTGAGTGCATAATAAGAAAGGAAAAAGGAAAGTGTGAAATTCCTTTCAAGGATTAATGGTAGAGGTGAACTTTGAGTTTGCTTACGGCTATACATTTCTTGTTAGAATAGCCTCAGAATACATTTTTGGTGAGAATAGCCTCAAAATACATTTTTGAGAGGTGCCTATTTTCCAAATTTTTTTCAAGGACACCTCGCCATGAAACCCCTCTCATCTACTGAATTTACTAGCCCCTCCTAAAAAAGTGAGGGCCCAGCTACCCGCCAAAAAATAACTCTGGCCACGTCCATGTGAACAGTGGAAAAACCAGGATGAAAAAACGGGAAACAAGGCTAAAAATACACTATTAATGAAACTCGAGACGTTTCGACTCAAAACTGAGTCATTTTCAGTCGGAAACAATAAAAATTTAAAAGAAAAAACGATAAAAAACCTGAGCCCAAATGGTGGCGTCCGTGATCTGAGAGAAAAAAAAGGTTTTTTTTCTTTTTTTCTTTTTTTCTTTTTTCTCTCAGATCCCGGCCGCCACCATGTAGGGCTCAGGTTTTTTTATCGTTTTTTCTTTTAAATTTTTATTGTTTTTGACTGAAAATGACTCAGTTTTGAGTCGAAACGTCTCGGGTTTCATTAATTGTGTATTTTTAGCCTTGTTTCCCGTCCATGTGAATGTTCCGAAAACCTGACGATAGCAAAGTCTCCCAGTCCCAAATATGACTCGGAATCACGTTTCCACCCCCAACCCAATTCACAAAAACGCTTAACGCTTACTGTCCAGCAATAAGCACTTCAAAGCTGCCCGGGAAATATTAATATCCACGTAACAGGGAAATGTTTACCCGCGAAAGACGACTGCAATAATGATTTATTATTAATTTTAACTATTCATAGTTTAATATTTGACGGAGACCCGGAGGTGGTGGGTATCATTTCGCAGTCGTTCATTTGCTCAAGTTGGCTCTCGAAATTAAACGCAGTGATGCCGGGGGAGAGCGAAAAATGTCCCGGTCGAGGCGGGGGGAGCGTGGTATTTCGTCGGGTTGGCGACACTGATTCATGCCCGCGGAAGTTTCCGCGGCGCAGTAGCGGTTGCTGCTCAGACCCCGGCTAATTACGCTTTGAACAAATAGTTTTTATAGGAATGACCGGCTTTATTTTGATTCGCCCTCCGCCCGCACAATTTGTCGCTCCTCTGACGTAAGGGCGTCCCTGTATTTTCACTTGAGACCCCGAAAGCATATAGTTTTACGGAATTTAGGGCTCACGAGAAAATTAGGATACTCCCTTTGCGTTAGAGGGACGACGAATTTCGGCACTCTGCGGTCCCCCGCCTTTGCTTACGGGTGGTTTGCTCTGTCGCTCGGAAATTTTGGCGGGTCCCTACCTACCCAACCACGAACGGCTTAAAATTCACTCGGAGGAAAGATTCATTAACATTAACTCAGATATTACACTGAAAAATGGTTAGAAACAGTTTTTTTTTTATAATTGAAACGAAATTCTCTTTGATTTTACTAGACATTTTGTGGTTAAGACATTTTGTTTTTATTTGATGTAGCATTTTTTTGGTGTATGGAATTTTCTTAAGGTAAATGTATCGACATTGTTCTCATGTATGAATAAACTTTAACATAATAATGCGCGTATTTTGATATGCTATCCCATTTTTATTCAGTATGTTTAATTCAAATTAGTTTTATTTTAACACAAAGAAATTATATATTGTCATCGGTGATGAATTTTAGTTTTTTTTTTTCTTTCAAATTAATCATAAAATCATGTGACTGACTTATGAACAAATTCTTTCGTTTAAAATGTTTTGAAATAAATTCAAAATTTCTTCACCTAAAAAAGTTTTATAACTCGGAGAGAATTTAGTTCAAATTTGAAAAAAGTTTTTTACTGACTACGGGGAAAGCGATCATACTGTGGAGACTATCGAAATCGGGAATGTGATTTCAGATAGAGAACTTGGAGTGAAATCCAAAGTGAATCTCACTTGCCAGAGCTATTCCTATCAAAAATAAAGGGAGAAAAAAGAAAGACAGAAAGGAAGAAAGATCCCCTTCCCCCGATTGATATGAATATGGGAATGAAATATACTCGTATATATGAGCGCAAAAAAAAAAAAAAAAAAAAAAAAAAAAAAAAAAAAAAAATCTAGACGTAGAAATTAATTTGAAATCCCGGATTTTTCGCAATATTGCACTTACGGTGATTCGATGGACGCCATATGTTGTGTCAGAACAGTATGCGATATATCGCATCAATTGGTTCCCATATTTTCAGAGAGCTATTCGTTATTTTTCTCCAATTTTGATATCGCAACTCTGTTGTCAGGACACTAAATCACTCACTTACCAATTTTAACAAAGAAATTCAACGTACTAAAGGCGTGGTTTATTTAGAGAGAAAAAATCACATTCGATACTGATATCGGAACTGCACTCGAATGCGATATTTTCTCTCTAAAAAAAAACCACGCCTTTCTTACGTTGAATTTCTTTGTTAAAATTGGTAAGTGAGTGCTTTAGTCTCCTGACAACAGAATTGCGATCTCAAAATTGGAGAAAAATGACGAGTAGCTGAAGAAATGGAACTAATGGATGCGATATATCGCACGCCTCTCTGGCACAAAAGATGGCGTCCATCGAATCACCTTAAAATTTCACCCCTTTGGACCAATATTCTTTTCCCTCAGTCATGATAATATACGATAGTGATGATTTGGTGATTATGGGTAAATTTTTCTTACATCGCAGGCATCGATGCCACCGTCGTAGACTCCCGCGCAGAGGGTGCCAGCCACATTCGAGTTCTTCGGTTGAAGTCGAGATGTGCGGCAGGCTCTTCGTGTGATGATGGTGACGTTGGCCTCCTGCAAAACGCACGGATACCTCGCGCGACGCACCTGCGTCGACCCGAACCCGATCACCGATGCTCTCTTCCCCGCGTTGTTAATGCCTGTAAAAATAAGATTGTTAGGTCCTTCGAAATAAAATCCCGGTAAGCTAAGGGGGAAAAAATCGTTTTTTGTCAAATTTACAAAACTTTGTATTGAATATTCATTCTGGATTCTTAGCCAAACAATTGCGATCTATGAATTCCATAGCATGGCAAAGTGAAATTGAAATAGAAAGTCTGTATATAAATCTGACTAAAAACAAAACGCTGTCATTATTTTATATTGTCTCAACGCAACTGAGTCATGACTGAACAATTTTCCTCTTTGGTGAGATCGTGAATTAAATTTTATTCTTATACACCGTCAAGACGTATTCTTATATGACGTCATACACCGTGTTTTTTCGACAGGCAATCATCGCAGTTAATATTGCACTCAGATATTTAGCGATAGGACAAATTTGATACGTTTTTTCCAATATAAGCTTAAGGTGATTCGATGGACGCCATATTTTGTGTCAGAACGACGTGCAATATATCGCATCGATTGGCTCTATAATTTTTCAGCTACTAATAATTTTTCTCGAGTTTTGAGATCGCAATTCTGTTGTCAGGAGACTAAAGCACTCACTTACCAATTTTTACAAAATTCACCCTAATAAAGGCGTGTTTTTTAGAGAAAAAATATCGCATTCGAGTGCAGTATCAGTATCGAATGCGATGTTTTCTCTCTAAAAAAAACCACGCCTTTATTACGTTGAATTTCTTTGTTAAAATTGGTAAGTGAGTGCTTTAGTCTCCTGACAACAGAATTGCGATCTCAAAATTGGAGAAAAATGACGAGTAGCTGAAAAAATGGAACCAATTGATGCGATATATCGCATGCCGTTCTGACACGAAATATGGCGTCCATCGAATCACCTTAAACCTAGCTTCTCTGTATAACCAATACAACTAACCCATTCCGCACAAAAAGTATACAGGGTGAGAGAAAAGTCCCCGACCCCCCCCCCTCTAACTTTTGAACGAATTGAGCTAAGGAAATGAAACTTTGGGAATGTTCCTATCTCAAAGGGAACCATCTTTTGAAGGGGTCAAAATTTTTGTCCCCCCTCAGGGGGGGACAGGGACCCCCCAACTTTTTTTTTCAAATAGCAACCCCTATCTTGTGATACCTCATTCGAAAGAGCATAAAAAACTAAGAATTTTGGCGCAAACCGCAGATCAATATCTCAATGTTTGACCGAGTCATGATAGGTCAAAGGTCAAATTTGACCTATTTTCAAAAAATCATAACTCCGGTTCAAATTATCGTAAAGAAAAAAATAAAACGGGAAAATTTACCAAATTGTGTTCGCTTTTACGTAAAAATTGCAGAAATCACTTCGATTTAATTTTAAGGGGGGGGGGCTCGGACCCCCAAATACGTCAATTCAAAGGTCATTCAATTTTCCTGCGAAATAAGCCAATTTCCTCTGGATTTGCCTCCACATTATCTCAGTAAGGCCAAAATCAGTTCAACATTACGTTGGCAAGTCCCCAAATTTCGGGAAAAGTTAAAAAAACGAAATTTAAGGGGTCAAATTTAATCACCTTAAATTTCGTTTTTTTAACTTTTCCCGAAATTTGGGGACTTGCCAACGTAATGTTGAACTGATTTTGACCTTACTGAGATAATGTGGAGGCAAATCCAGAGGAAATTGGCTTATTTCGCAGGAAAATTGAATGACCTTTGAATTGACGTATTTGGGGGTCCGAGCCCCCCCTTAAAATTAAATCGAAGTGATTTCTGCAATTTTTACGTAAAAGCGAACACAATTTGGTAAATTTTCCCGTTTTATTTTTTTCTTTACGATAATTTGAACCGGAGTTATGATTTTTTGAAAATAGGTCAAATTTGACCTTTGACCTATCATAACTCGGTCAAAAATTGAGATATTGATCTGCGGTTTGCGCCAAAATTCTTAGTTTTTTATGCTCTTTCGAATGAGGTATCACAAGATAGGGGTTGCTATTTGAAAAAAAAAGTTGGGGGGTCCCTGTCCCCCCCTGAGGGGGGACAAAAATTTTGACCCCCTCAAAAGATGGTTCCCTTTGAGATAGGAACATTCCCAAAGTTTCATTTCCTTAGCTCAATTCGTTCAAAAGTTAGAGGGGGGGTCGGGGACTTTTCGCTCACCCTGTATTCCAAAACTCTCAATGTCGTTCCGCTTAGTGGCATTCTTACCTACGACCCTCCTCCGGAGCGTGGCGTAGCTAGTTGATGATGTATTTAGAGTTATAGAGAGTAACTAGGGGGTACGCCCCCTGACCGTTTCGCCGTCCATCCCCCAGAGGCGCTTCGCGCCTTAGGCGTCATGCGTTACTCTCATGATTTCATATTGTAGAGTAGAATTGTTCCATTGTAGTCTTTTCAGACTTGACAAGTTTATTGGGTTAAAAGAACTTACTTTGGGGCGGGAGGCAGATAGGCATGAAGTGTGTGGGAGCGCTGAGCTCGATGACAGCGATGTCGTGGGCGGTGCTTCGCGGCGTATAGTTCTCGTGGATGAACACCCTCGACGTCAGCATCTCTATTCGTCGATGCTCCTTGGCTTCGCACCGATCCACCATCCCCAATACCACCCGGTACAACAGCTCAGGCCGGTCCGTCCTGTAATCAATATCCATAATGTCATTAACGCAGCAGCTCCACTAATTTTTGATGAGAGAAGGTAACGGTAAATGCATCAAGACTTTTTCGGATACCACTATTGCTGCTCGAGAGGTCTCGATTTGCCTAAGTATTTAAATGAAGGCCAAGGGTCTTGTTGTTGGATGCGGATTACTCAATAACTGAGTACAATTCGTATTATTGCACCTTTATGTTCTTCAGATACCACCTTTCCTGCTTGAAGGAGTTCGTCATGCCTACCTCATGAGTCGAAGGCGGAAGGTTCGATTAGTGGATCCGGATCACTCAATGTAACGATTCATGCTATCAAACTCATGTCATATTTTACTCCGAGAAACCTAGTTACTCAGAAACTTCATTCTATGCACAAATCAATAATGTTCTTTATAATAGCTTCATATTTAATTTATTATTCTCCTTGTCCTTTTTCTTTTATTTTTTGTAAATTTCTATTGATCTCTCTTCTCTGAAGTATTAATGACTGCGTGGTGTTAAGGTAACTGTAAATAAATGTATTGACCAACCAACCCTGGCCTAATCTAATTTTTTAAAAGTTGCGTTTTTTGCGTCAAAATACTTTCAATACCCACGTTTATCTCGGTTTTCCCGTTTACTTTGGATATTTTCAATTTCTGAGAGACACTCGACCTTTGTTTCAGATTTAATTTTCTCCAGAAGAACAATCTGTGTGAGTCTAAAACTTTAGTTGTTCGCTTTTTTCTTATTGATGCAAATAAAATACGCTCATTCCCTAGGAAGAACTTTTAACAAGACAGGGTACAAAACATTTAATTCCGATGATAGAATTTTATTTGAGGATCCTGAGCGAATACCACCTCAGTTACAAAAAAAGAAGCATGATTAGAGCAAGAAAAAGTTCATTCCTCTGTTGTGTATAATAATGTTCTACCTAACATTTGGATCTCTAGTCAAGCTTTATGGTTCAGATAATCAAGTTATGGAGTCTTTTTTGACAATTTTACCATTAGTCATTTCAGTTTTTTTAGCTTTTCCTTCTATCAGAATTTTATTCTTGATATAATGAAATAAAAAATCCTACTGTAACACGTACACTTTGTGATGTAGGTATATTTACATCTTTTCATCATATTTTGAGGAGGTATTAGCAGGACTTCGGCATAACTGGAACGACTAACGTAGATTCGAACTTGTAGGAATCACAGAGTGACGAGATTTCGCCTGAGAACGATTAAACCTAATTAAATCAATACGGTTGGTTGGGCGCTGCATTGAATGCAGCGTACAACTAACTGCTCGCTTCAGTGAATCCGATCTTGCCAGCTCCTGTGTTGCCTATGATGAATCCCGTCAATAAATATTGAATCAGAGGAGCCGTAGAGTATAGATATACCTAGTCCTGTGGGCTGCTTTAAAGCTTAAAATAACCGGGTAGCGGCTTTGGGTAAGCCATCAAAAGCCGACTTTTAGCGGTCACCACTTTCAGCTTTTGTTGTCATCATTGCCTCAAAAAGATATACGATATGCTGAAAAAATTGATCCTCAACTCGAATGCCAGAATCCGTCTTGGAATTGATTTGATAGTTATATTATGTATTCTTAGATAAAATAACCTCACTACCATAATTAAAATAACAAAACCGATCAATTATCGTGAGAGGTAATGCATGAAAACTTTTCCACTCACCTATAACTTTTAACTCTTTACCCAAAATATTTATCTGGAATAGTTTTCAGCAATTAAATGCACTAAAAAGTGAAAATCGAAAGTTAGCAAGTAAAACGAAATTTTTACTCATTCCAAAAATGCATTTACGAAAAGCTTCGACATTTCTCTCACTCTCAAATTTCCCGCCAAAACTCTAAAACGATAACTAATCATAGCTGAGTCAATCAGAAATGGACCCCAGATGTCCCACTGGATGTCTGACTCTATGAGGAAAGTCTTTGAAACCGCGACCACTCTCAATGTTTCTAGAAGGTCCGTTTGTCTGCTACCAGTCATCCCTTAAAGATATAAAATCCATTAGAAGAAAACGGACAACTGAAGGGACATGAAATAATTCAACTGAAAGTTGAGAAGAACTAAAGGCTTAAGTACTCCAAACATGAATATTGTAATTTTTTTTTCTTTTTTTCTTTAAATTTATCGCGAGGGTTACATGTTGTGCCTTATTTAGCGTAAACTCAACAGTGTGCCGGACAACGCAATTTGACGAGTGGTACTTAAATTTGCACGGAATTTGCACTGTTTGGGTAAGAAATTAAGATAACCACTATCTTAAAATGTATAGACTTTGAGGTCATTTCCAAAAATAAAATACGCTGCAATTCAAAGAAACCTTATCTCGTGTAGGCACTTATACTGCCAAAAATTAGAATCTGCGTTGCAGTGAAAATTTGACTCAGTGATGAATTAAGGATTCATTGCAGGTATGAGCTGCTAACTCACTGTAACCATGGTATTTTATTCATCGATAAGTTGTTTCCCGATAGCCGCGATATGAAGCTCCTACAAAGATTTAAGGAATACAATATTCAATATTAAAATTAAATAAATTATTATAAAAGAATTTAGCAAACATTGGTGAAGATGATTACATCTCCTGCTTTAGTGGGGCTAATTTTGGACCAAAGAGGCCTTAAGTTTATTTCCGTTTCGGGTTTGTAATGACTCTTAATCATATATGGATGAAATTTAGAAACTAGCTAAAATTGGATCGGTTTCCCTATCCCAGCCAGCGGACTGATTATTGAAATTGATGGACAAAGCTATAGACAAAGAAGACATAGGCAGTATGGAGCGATCCTATTGGTTGAAATGAGTGGTTCCTATAGACAAAGGGAGAAAATGATAGACTAACTGTCGGGTCTCTCGTGGGTTGCCGTTAGTTAGTCTATCACCTACCTCCTTTGTCCATTGCAACCACCCGCTTAATTCCACCAAAAGGATCTCCCCATATCTCTTTTGTCTCCTTTGCCTACAGCTTTGCCTATAAATTTCAATAATCGGCCCGCTGGGATGAGGACTGTAGCTGATTTTGGGACTGGATTCCCTCCTAACTCGTGAAGTATATTTGGAACCAGTTCTGCTTTCAGGCATGCTAGGCAATATCTTTGTAGGTTCAATCTTCTATAGGCTCGCTTGGTTACATTCTCGACAAATCGTTGCCCCTCTGACGTAAGGGCGTATCTCCTTTTTCACGGGAGCCCTGATATCCATATAACTCCAGGCTTCCCGGGGCTCACGTGGAATTGAACGTATTTCTATCAAACGGAACTATGTGCATTGAGACATGAGCCCTGAGACCCTTAAGAATATGTGCATAGCAAGGCTCACGTCATAATGCACATAGTTCCGTTTGATAGAAATACGTCCAATTAGAGATACGCCCTTGCGCCAGAGGAGCGACGAAATAACATACGAACTCTACGGCCAGACGTCGGCAAATGAGGGTCCGGTACACATTGCACACGACGGCTTCAAAGTACAGCTGTCTCCCGGGATGATACGAACTTACTGCTGATAAGTCAGAAATGACGTCAATGTTTGCATACTTCCACTACTTTCTACTACTCATAACTACTTTTATTCTTTAGGGAGAAATTGTTCATCGAAGTTGTTCGAAAATTTCACTGAATTTTATTTGTGCTGCCGATAAAATTCGATGAAATTTTCGATCAGATTCAACCAACAATTTCTCTGTATCGATCAATCAAGAAAATTATACGAGCAAACCAATGAGATCATTTATAAGACCTCAAAATTTTGTAAAAACGGAGGTATGAGCTTTTAAAGTTTCTAAATTTTGTCCGACCTCTCCCTTTGACTCTATCTATTGTGCGTCGCATAACGCTTCTAATAACTTGGCCGGAAGGTGACAGTACGACAAATTTTGCTGTTTTAGGAGCGTCTTCAGTTTATTTGATATGGCTTGTTGCAATCTTGAAGAAAATTCTTCCTGAAAAATTTGCTGGTCAATGCTCCTTTCGGTAACGCGGCAGTAGAGTTAAAAATAAATGAACATGGTACCTTCTGAAGCAGTGCGCAGCTGTGAGGACATGCCGATCGGTGATGAGGGAGCCAGCGCAAGTGACGTCGACACCTTGCTTGCCTCTTCTACTGAGGGCCACGAACCACGGGAATCGGAAGTAGCCCACCGATTCGCCACCCACCACCCGACTGTTGAGTCGGCTGAAATCCGCCGTCGCTACTCCACACTGGGCCCCAACTACATTCATTAAAATATTCATTATTAAAAATTACAGAAAAATAAAAAAAACGTGTAGAAAAGTAAACCAGGATACCTTGCACTGTGTTTGACGCAATGCGTGAAGTATTCATGCAGTCTTGTAAGCACTATGCGTTTCACGTCGACTGCTGCTGGCCGCACTGTGTTTGACGCAATGCGTGAAGTATTCATGCAGTCTTGTAGGCGCTAAAATGTGTTATATTCTGATCACCGCGCCGAGGGCTTCTCCTATTCATCTCATCAAGTCCTCATCATCATTGCTCTCGGCGCCGCGCCGCTCCAGGCCAAATTGCGTGTTTGGTTTCTCTTTTAACTCGACTTATTGAAGGTGCTGTATCACTGAAGGACGACAAAGAGCTCTCAGGAACAAATGGACGTATTTCTACCAAACGGAACCATGTGCATTGAGACATGAGCCCTGAGACCCATAAGCATATGAGCATAACAGGGCTCACGTCATGATGCACATAGTTCCGTTTTATATAAATACGTCCAAATAAAAACGGCGGACGTTGCATGCAGAAGATTCAAGATGGGAGGGAACAAGGCGCTATTTATTTGTATCATCGTCCAATTTGTTCAAACTACATATAGACGGTGCATAGGTCGGGTATCACGTAACTCACTTTGCGACGTCGCAGACTGCCTGTCACACTTTATTTTTAAACGGGAAACAACTCAACGGCAATTCCTTAAAACTGCCGGGATTTTTCCTCTCTGTGCGAAGAAAATTCTGCATACATTTAAAGGAATGATGTCAATTTGTTCTCCTTAAAAAAATCACACAGAGGCGGAGATTTTCAGACACCGAAAACGAGGTATGCATACGGTTGCGGACTTCCGTCGTCGATATAGCCAAGCGTACTCACTCATTTTTGAAACCAATTCGGTGCATTGATTCCAAAAATATATTTCTAACTTAAAACTCCACGATGGTAAGTTTGGTAAAAATTCAACAGGGAAAAACAGTCAAGGTTTGATTAGTAACAACGTGGCCCCTAAAAATCTGGATTTTCACAGGAAGTCACATAAAGAAAGAGAAAACAAATCTATTTGAATTGGAAAAACTCAGAATTTTCAGCACTACACGTGAAAGCTTGCTATTTTATTCTTCACGATTTCATTCTTAGTGCTTTTGTCCTCTCTATGTTATAGCTACTTACTAGTTCTGTTACGAAAACATCTTGCGTCTACTTTTTCACTAAATGCGCCGTAATATACAGGCAAAAAGTCAATTTGGCCCCTAAAAAATCCTCAGTGGCGCCTAAAAATCGGGCTTGATGCGCCACATGGCTCCTAAAACTCAAAGGTGAGTTTCGAACACTGCGTCTAAAAATAATTTTTGGTGACTCTATCAATCTTTGTCTAGTAGAAAATAGGCTTCGGTTCACGTACAACGATTGCTGAAACCGCAATCAAATCCATTAATTCGACCTTTCATAATTAAATGGTGGCCAATCATCCATATCGCAAGCTCAAATGAGCAAAAGAGATGTCAATAACCGGACCGGCCGAAATTTCATCAATTATTGGTGGTTCTCATGGGATCACTTTTCCAGCGCCCCCCCCCCCCCCCNACGAACAGCCCACACCTTTCTCATCCGTTCTTCGCATTATTAGAAATCTACTTCATCGAGTGGAAACATTATGATATATAATCAACCAGAGTACTGTCGTGCTGAGGAAAAACGCCGTATGAATATTCGAGAGTTGCCAAATTTACTTCGATAAAATGTTAATTTTTGAGGAAAGTCATGAATATTTTTCCTCGAAATTGTCAGAATCTTTAGGTAAAGTTGCGAACAGAATTATCTAAAAAGATGAGAGGAAAATATTCATAAGTTTACCCGAATTTTCGCGATTTATGAAAGGAAATTTGGCAATGCCTGATGGTTCATACGGCGCTTTTCCTTAGCACGGCAGAGCACCTCCCAGGTCGTCATAAGGTTCAGCCCCCTATCAACGCTCGCCGTCCCTAGAGATTAGCTTTACGACGATCTAAAATCTGAGTCAAAATTTACCTGCCGATTGCAAGCACGAGACTTAGCGAGCTGATTATTAAAATGATAGACAATAGCTATAGACAAAGAGGACAAAAAGGAAATTGAGTAACCCTATTGGTTGAAACGGGTGGTTGTTATTAAGGGGAAAAATTATGGACCAAATATAGGGTCCCTCGTGGGTTTCCGCACAGTGGATCGAGTCAATAGGAGAAGTCGGACAAAATCTGGAAACTTCGAAAGCTTATATTTTCGATAATATAGAACAAAAAAGTTTAAGGGTGGTTTCGTTGGTTTTATCGTGAAATTTCCTCTTAAAAACACCGTTAGAAATTGAATTTGTGACGAAGTAAACAAGAAAATTTGAAATTTTAGCCAAAAATCTCGTGTCCGACCACTTCCATTAGTTCGTTCTACTGTGTGCCGTTAGTTAGACTATTACTTACCTCCTTTGTCCATTGCAATGCAACCACCCGCTTCCACCAATAGGATCGCTCCATTTTCTTTTCGTCTTCTTGGTCCGTCACTTTGTCTATTAATTCCAATGATCAACTAGCTACTCGGTAGATATTTCGGGATAATTATGGCAAAAAATACAGGAAGTTCGAGCAAAAAATCAACGTTAATAATTTTGGAATGCATTTTACTCCGGGAGTCTGTGTTGTCCCAAAAGCGCCAGAGTGATAATAGGGCGTAGCGGAATCTACTCTTTTGGCCAAATATATACCTCTTTGCAGTATGCGCCCTTGAAGGAGCTTTTTGCTCCTCTCAAATTTCGTCCTAATCTTCGAATGTTGGAGGAGAAAAACTTTTTATGAAGTCTTTTTGTGGAGTTAGTGCCGCCCTCACGCAGCGGATTTCACTCCTTTTCACTTCCATTTTTGGGGGCAATATAGGCTACTGACAAAAGTATAGTCTGAGTTTTAGTGTGAAGTATAATGATGAAAAATTGATTGGAAAAATTTGCGTCGTTGTATAATAATAAAAAAAAAAAATTAAAATAAAAAATAAACAAAATAAATGGTACGGCAGTTGAAAGTGGAATTCTTACTTGTATTATATTATTTAAAAAAATGAATTAACCCTATGCATGCACATTTTGAATAAATATTCATAATAATTCATATAATTATATTATATTTAGAGTTGAGGACGTAAAAGTCTTGACTACATATTTTTCATCACTGTATGTGGCGGTATTGATAAACGAAGACAATGTGGGTCAAATTATTTTAATTGAAAGTTGTGACATCGGTCAACTAATTGATACGGTCGTGGAAAGGAACACATTATTTACCTCACAAATTTTACTTTTATACTATAGGAGGTACTTCAACCTAAAATTTCTAAGTGACTAAACAACTTAGGAGTTATTTCTCCTGCAACATCTAAAGATTTGGAAGAGAGCGACTGCTACTCCAAAACACCTTTGCTTTGAAGCGCCTTCAAAGACACAAACAGCAAAGAGGCATACACTGTATACCCACAGATAGTAAACATTTTTACCTCTTATCGTATTCTGTGATTTAAGAGAGTACTCTTTGTTTTAATCAAACTTATGACGTCATAAATAGCCGCACATGAGAAATAAACCTGTTTTTAGTTACTTACCGACTGCAAAACTAAACAAAATAGGTGCAAAAACACAGTTTCTTTGACTCGACGAAATATTGCATGGTCGCGGGACAATTCTCGCAATGGTTCTATTCTTAAACTCGCATACGAAATTTAAACTTATCGCTAATTGCTTACCGATTGTAGAACTGAGCATAGTGCGTGCAAAAATACTTTCCTCCAAAGTTGACACTGTGGGCGGAATCTTAAGTATAATCGCATACTTACTTCACGTACACATAATATATTCTCTGAAAAAATGTCGCGAATTTCAGCTTTTTAACTCGAGCACGGTTTCACATATTCACCCAAGAAAATTCCAAACATGGATAATAGCATAGCACTGACAGAACGAACAAGCAATTCGGAAGTAGAACATTTTCGAACACTGCCAGAGAAGACTTAGAATGAGGGGAAAAATCAACGACGAACAAACTGAATACGCACTTTCACCCAGTTGGCGACACCTGCCACACAAGACGGTAATGCACTTTCAAAAAAAAAACCAAAAAAAATCATTCCATTTTCGTGTACTTTTAGTATTTTTCAACGATAGTTAGAAAAAAAATATGTACCTGCAGGTTTAGGTAGGCCCCAGACGACGGACAAAATCAAGAGGAGAGGCCGCATCACTCACGAGGAAGTCACTCGCTCCGGGCGAGAGTGGCGTCTCTGTCGTCGCGACGTCGCGTGGCGCCGTGGGCCCCGGGTCCATTTCCACGCCTAGGGGCAGCCTTGGGGCCCCAGCGGCCCAAATCCCCCTCCTCGCCATTGCCTTCGCCCCCACTCGGTCACATTATTCAAATTTCGGGGTCTCTGCTTTCTGCTGCCCTCTTGAGTCATCTTCTGAAGGGGATTGCATGGAGCAGAAAGGAACTGAGTCACATTTGGTTGCCTCTCGGACAAAAGGGTGAGTATGGCTTCGATCGACATGAATCGATCGAAGTATAGGACCGATCGACCACCGATTCAATTGACAAATTATCAAAAATCCAGTGTCGATTCGATCGAAACATAAAAACGTGAACCGCTCAACAAGATTCGATCGACAAACCCGTGAATCGATCGACAAATCCGTTAAATCGATCGAATTTGGTCGATTGAATCAGTGTCGATCGGTTCACGTTTTTATTTTTCGATCGATTCATGTTGATCGAATCCATACCCTCCGGACAAAACAACGTAGTTCTTGTGGGGATCCAAAAGGTCTATACCCCTACAACTAGAACATTTTCTCGTGAAAACTTCATTTTTTTGTGATTTTCTGGGATTTTTTTTCTTCGGGTGGATTCCTTGGGCTTTGATGAAGCTTAGTTGATGTTTTGAAGCTTAGTTGTTGTTGTTAGTTTGATGTTCCATGACTTGGTCAATGTCTATGTTGTTTCGAACTCTCCATTCCCCATTCATGTTCATGGCCGGATTTACCTACTTGCCGCCCTCTTCTCATTCATTTTGAAACATCAATAAAAACCATCAAGTGAACGTGCCGGAGGGAGAAGGGTGCATAAGACGCGTTCACTCGTGTTGGACACATTTTTTGCGTGAGCCCTATCAACACTACTAGCAAAAGTTCACGGAACTTCACGCGAAAGTTCAGTTCCGTAAACTTATCTCTGTGGGGACGAGGCCTTTCATTTGTAAGAAATGAACTAAAAAATTAAGAAAGAACAAACATAAATGTGGTTTAATAATTTTAACTTCCGCCGCCGTGCCGCGCTGACCACACTGTGTTTGGCGCAATGCGTGAAGTATTCATGTAGTCTCGTAGGCACTGTGCGTTTCACGCCGCGCCGCGCCGACCGCTGTTGACCGTACTGTGTTTGACGCAATGCGTGAAGTATTCATGCAGTCTCGTAGGCGCTAATAAGTGTTAGATGCCGACCGCCGCGTCGAGGGCTTCTCCTTTTCATCTCAAGTCCTCGTCATCTTAACTCTTTGCGCCACGCCGCTCAAGGCCGAACTACGTGCGTGGTTTCTCTCTTAACTCAACTAATTTAAGGTGCGCAGTCTTTTGTACCACCGAAATACGACAAAATTATAAATTAATGAACCCTCAGGAAATTGGAGATTTTGTCACCTTTTCTTGTTTGTAACTTTTTCCTGAATCCAATTTTTTGTATACCTGCATTTAAAAAAATTGCAAAATTTGCCGCTCCCTAATTTTGCCGCCATGGGCCGCGGCCCATGTGGCCACCCCCTTAATCCGGCCCTGTTCATGTTCATCCTCACAGATTTGATCCGATATCCTTCGTGCACAAACCTGCAACGTATTCCAATCTTTTTCTATTAGGGTCCAAGCTTTCTTGGACCATACGTACATACATATTTTTCGACTTATATCGCTCCCCGGTACTGTGGAATCCTTCCGCCACTACTCTCTATTCAACAACAACCCTTCGGGCATCTCCCACTCAATCTGATCCATGGTCTTGACTTCAATGCAGCAATTCAAGCAGGCCGATTATTGAAATTGATAGACATAGCTACACACAAAGAAGACAAAATGGATATGGAGGGATCCTATTGTAGTGGTATCGGCTAAAGACCTGCGAGGTCTTTACCGATCCACTTGGAGGAAGTGACAGGGTCAGACGTGTTAGATGCGAGTTTTTGAGACGCGATTGTTTATGTCCGCGCGCGGAGCTTGCGGCAAGAGTGACCCCGGCTTCCGGCGATTCGGAAGTCGGAGTTGGGCACGGAAGCTTCGGGCGTTGGCATAAAAGCTCGCGGAAGCCGCTCGTGCGGGGTTAGTCGGTGTGAGGTTTCAAGACCCGAGACATAACCCGGTCCAGCCCCTGTAAGAGCAGCTTGTCAAGAATATAGTGTACATCATAAGATATAAAGTGTGGTTCCATTTCCCCCCCCCCCATAGGGTTCCCACTACACTATTGCTGGAAGCGAGTGGTTGCAATGGACAAGGTAATGGGCTAATAAACGGCACCCCACGAGAGTCCCTATAGTTAGTTCATCATGTCCTCCCTTAGTCTACAGGAGCCACTCATTTCAACCAATGGGAGTGCATGCTCCCTGTGTCTTCTGTATCTAACTCTTTGTCCATCGATTGAAATAATCAGCCCACGACAGGCCGATTATTGAAATTGATAGACAAAGCTATAGACAAAGAAGACAAAAAGGATATGTAGGGATCCGATTGGTGGAAACGGCACCCCACGAGTCCCTGTAGTTAGTCCATCATTTTCTCCCTCAGTCTACAGTACCCGTCATTTCAACCAATAGGGTCGCTCCTTACTCCCTGTGTCTTCTTTTTCTAACTCATTGTCCATCAATTTCAATTCTCCGCCCGCATACCTTTTAGTATCATTAGATAATACATTCATAGTATTATTACCACGTAATTTTTCGGAATTCCGGCAAGGATGGAGCCTCAGGGGCAATATCGATGGAGCCGGAGGGGGGTAGGAGGAAGGGGGAGGGGGAGGGGGGCCGAGCCCCGAAGAGTGCTCGTGATAATGGGGAGTCGATGATTTGATTGCCTGTGACGGTGGCCTCTGGGCGCTCGGCGCGGTTGACAAGCCAAGGCGCGGGCAGGAGCGCGGCCGAAATTGGCCGAAGAATTATTGAAATTCCTGGATTGCGAAGTGCCGTAATCGTGTCAAGGACGCCCGGCGACCCAGCACACTTCATCGGCGACAGCATCGCTGATCCACGATGACATCCTTCCCGTCCGCGGTTCGCACTCCGCGGGCGATGCCTGAGGCCTTATGCCTGATGCCTGACGCTCGCCGCGCGGGAAACAAAGAGAACGCATCGCCGCGCTTCATCGCTCTCCGCGCGCGCATAAGAAAGTCCTCCGCCCAGGGATCCGGAGAATGCGCAAGCGTGGGAGCCTCGGCGCGCGCGTCGCCTCAGGAAATTAGTCCATGAAAATATGCGTTTTTCTTTGATGGCATGCTGTCCTCTGAGAAAAAGCAATGGCTTATGGCCTGGTTACACGCTCAAATTTCCGTCAAATTCCAATCAAAATGATGTCCAAGATGGCGGTCGAGAGTTATCATAGATTGACGAGTAAAATTAATTAAAACAGTTTGTTGATTGAAATAAGCATGAAATATAAGCACGGTTGTGTGGAAATCAGATGAAGGGTGAGCCCCACAGCTCCATCATCTACCATCAAATTTTTGCAGGCCGTAGTTTGATGATAGATGGTGCGCACCAGTCACCATTTGATCGGAAATTGATGGAAATTTGAGCGTGTAACCAGCACATTATAAACAAATTAGTGGTTCATATGGCACCAATAGTGGTAAGGCAACATATAATTATAGCACATATACCCTAGTGATGGTACGAGACACCTTAGTATGGTTCACAGACCGAGAATCAATAGCTATTATTTACGACTATTAGTGGTATTTCATATGAACCACTGAGTGGTTTATAAAGCCCTAGATAAGCTCTGTGTATAATCCTTTCGAAGTAAAAATTAGATGAAAACCATGAGAATCAAGCGTATTTTTTTGAGAATTTTTGACTCAACTTGTGTTCAAATTTGTGACCATTTTTTGAAGTACGGAAATTGTGCCCAAGGAATATCTGAGATATTCTTACCTTTAAGAAATCGTAAAAGCAATGAAGGTTTCAGGACATTTTGTCGACGATTTTTTGTCCGTGCACCTTTTTTTGTCCAGTATTTTACGCCCACACGTAAAATAAGCAACAGTGACCAGAAAAAATGAAATGTTATTACTCTCTCCTTTTGAACCATCTTTTCAAATTGTCATCAGTGAATATTTGATTTCATTTCCATCCTTAAAATATTGAATGTACAATATACCTCACATATGTATAGGTACTTTTATCTATTTTTTTTTTATTTTTTCTTTACGAAATCATTACTTCATTTTGAAAACATTTATACTTTTAAAAGGTGGCAAATATTTGTAAGACCTTTTCCAAGCGATACTAATCTCAATTAGCCGCAGTTGTGCCGACAGAAACTGCAAAAATGAATAAAAGAGGGGAAAAAAGCAAGAAGCACGCAATCTTTAGTTTCAACCCATTTGTACATCGATCATTTAGAGTCAAATACGTCAAATTTTGAGCGTTTCGTTGCGCGTACAACTCGCTGCAGCTCTATAAAAGCACAAAATGTAAAAGAAAAAATTAAAGTGCTTTGGAAATCATTAAATTTGACATGGAACCACCAATATTTAAAAAACACGCATTATATTATTATTCTCCTTTGATAAATTGATACGTATTTTTTTCCCATCAATTTAAATGAGAATAACCAATGCAGAGTGAGCAAACATTTCAAAACATGAGTTCAAATAAAACGCTGACTATGCGAGTATAAATATTAAAGTCTAACAGAGCGGAGCGGCGTGCTGCCAGCGCGAGAGGCTCACTGGCGCCTACAAACCTAAGTGGATACTTCACGCATTGCACAATGCTTGAAGTATCCACTTAGGTTTGTAGGCGCCACTCCTTGTTCATATCACTCGGGTTTTTAAGGAGCAAAATGGGCTCCAGGATCACCCCAGATTTCACTTCGAGATCTCTAGCAGTGCAGCCAGTCGTCAACCTCTCTGAATCCGCCACTGACTATACCCATGGTTTGAAAATTCTAAAATGAATTCGCGATGCCCATCAATAATGATTACGGAACGACGGCGATTCAGAATCGGCACAGGCTAAATATGTTTCCGCACGCATATTTGAATGCATTAACACTTGTGTGCATTTACATAATATTATTATCGGTGAGCGATTAAGAGCTTTGTGGACGTGGCGAGTGACTACAGGCCGGTGAAGTTAAGCCCTGTGCCCTCGCATGGGTCCATTAAAAATCTTATGCTCCAATGAGCATTCGCCTTTTTTTCAGCCAACGCGCCGCCTCTTGAGCGTTCAGGCGTGCGTAAGGGCGTAAAACTTTTTATTCCTATTTTTTTTCTCTCGTTCATTTGTAATTTATTTGTTTGAATTTGTTAGATAAAGCGAGCGTGGTCGGGCCATTGCACTGAAAAAAATCTCGGTGTATTTACTAAGAAAAGGGTAAAATTACCAAGAATTCAGGGTTCTATTTGATCCCAGTTTTTTCTTGGTAAAATTACCATTTATGGAATTGGTAATTTTACCGAGAAATCTCGGTAAAATTATTGAACTTTCTCGGTAATTTTACTGGACCTAAAAACGCCAATATTTTTTATCGACTGTGGTAAAATTACCGAGATAAAATGGCAAAGTTACCGGGAATTGATGACCAATAAAAGTGGTATTCTTACCTGAAGAAAACAGTAAAAATACCAATTTTTAGGTAATCTTACTAGTCTGTCTTGGTAAAATTACCAATAATTTGTAAAAAAAGTGAGATGGTAAAGGTACCAACGGACCTTGGTAAAAACGCCGAGAATTTTTTTTCAGTGGCATTGAGTGAGTGGTGCTGTCAAATGGATGGCCAGTTGAACCGGTCTTACAATAATACACATCGATCTTTCTTCAAAACTTTGAATGTAGATATAACTAATTTTACGGCTGCTACCCATACCGTATTCTAACGTAAACTACAAACATTCGTTTTTCACTCATAACTTACTGCCGAAAATTTCCAAGGAGTTGAACGCGTTGGTGGAAATAGCAGGGGATTAGAGGGGACTGCCTCCGCCTCCCCCAGAAATCAACTTAGCCCCTCCGACGGAATGTGAGAGATTTTGCGAAATAGTGCGTAGCGTATCTTCCATCTTAGAACTCGTAATTTGATCAAGTTTTCAGTGATAACAACCAACTATTGCCCCTAGAGTGGCTAAATTTTGCATTTAAGCCACCCCCCGCTTCTCAGCCAAGGACTTCCCACGAACCTTTCCTTGGAACTGAAGGAGTCCTAGAGATCCCTCTTGGTGAGATGTCTTCTAGTGCCCCCCTCCAGACCCCCTCCCCCCTTGATGAGGTTTTCTCCTGGCCCATCACATAAATTTCTGAGATAGTTCAGTCCATGGCTCGTCTTGCGTGAAATTCTTAAAAATTAACACGGCTTGTGAATGTTTAATTGAACTGAATTCTGCAATAAGCTTTAACCTCATTTTAGAAATAACATTCGAGTCATCAGTCTCCCTATGCAGATACACGGAGAAAAAACTTCGTGCGTGGGACCCGAAGTTGAGGTCATATGGATCTCTGAAGTTTTAGGATCACGTATCTAAGAACTTGAGGTCCAACTGCCGAAGTTCGGGTCAGACATCGAGGCACTTCAGTATGTACCGGGGAGTACTTCAGATATGTGACCCGAACCCTTCGGTATGTATCGAAGTACTTCAGATGTCTGACCCGAACTTCGGCAATTGGACCTCAAGTTTTTAGATACGTGATCCGCAAACTTCAGAGATCCATATATGACCTCAACATCGGGTCCCGAGCACGAAGTTTTTTTCTCCGTGTAGGAGGTTTTGTGGATGAGCCAGAATATTGCAAAATGTAGTCAAATATATAGTCTAGTCATATCCAGAGTGGGTTTAGTGGGGTTTGATATCACCCCTAATCATCTACCGGACAGTGCGAAACGCGAACGTATGGCTTTGATGAATACGGCTGGGGGTGAGCAGTGAATTCGGCGCCGATTATGAGGGCCCGCGAGGATATTCGGGTCAGTGATTTGGGCGACAGTGTTCTGCCTCGAAGGGCGGACGTAAAGAACGCATTACGAAACGGACCGTTCAATGGTCAATCATTATGCCTCGGAGTAGGAGTAAGCCGCTGTCACACTTACATTCCCGACTCAGCATTCTGACAGTGTGCGCATGCGCGCAGACTGTCCATTTTCTCCGCGAATGTTGTACAGGCAGACTGCAAGTGTGACGATGGCTTCGGCGTCGAGCAATGTCTCTTCAGCATTATTTTTCATGGAAAATAGGCCGAATTCTCTGACCAACGTGGCATATGCGAGGCTAATAGCTGCTACCTTCGGCGCGAGTATCTTCGTAAGTTTTTCAAGCAGCAAGGCCGCTATGGTCTCGACTGTTACAGCGAATTTTGGCTGTCTGCTCCCATGATGCAAGGAGAAAGGTGAGATTATTAGAATGGAATTAAGTGGGAGGGTCGGAGGGAAGTGTCTGCGTTTTCACATGATGTCGTTTCCCTCAACTCTAACTGGACCGCGTTTAACAGAAAGGAACCAAGCCACATCAGCTATTGCCAAATTTAACTGGGCAATTTAATTTTTTACTGGAAAACCTTTGTGCGGATCCCTTTAAAAATGTTAAGGAATTTGCTTCGTACTATGGAGAAAATTCACTGAAATTTGCACGAAAATCCGTTCAACTGTTTTCATGTAAAAAATTAAATTAGCCAATTAAATTTGGCAATAGCTGATGTGACTTGGTTCCTTTCCGTATAACGCGGTCCAACTGTCCCATGATGGGCTACCGTTTTAATTTTTTTAAAAAAAAATCTCAAAATTGTGGTTTGTGCAAAGAATGTCGAAGGTTTGCCCAAACAAGTATTGGAATTGGGTATCACCTGGGAAAGGCGACGTGGACGTCCTATGAAGGGATGGCGGCAGGGCATTGACGAAGAGATTTTGCGCTCTCAGTTTCCCAATAACCTTTGAGAATAAGATAGGCACATAAGCCTGTGTCACACTATCAAAGCTAGTCATCAAAATGACGATGTCAGGTGTTATGATTGGCTTATTCGATGACTTGGACCAATCACAGAACTTGACCTTTACATTTTGAGGGAATATTTTGATAGTGTGACACGGGCTGATTAGGTGTTGCAGAGCGCTGGAGTGCGTTGAGGGAGCGACTTTTGTGTATGTATGTGTGTGTGTATCTTAAGATGGTCGAGATATCCGTGACAATATTATTTCGAGAATTTTTTAAACTAAAGAAACATCTTTATGACAGTATAATTATCAGGAGACGAATTTGAAAATGTTTTGAAATCCTTTCTGGCCGTGTTTTGGTCAAAATTTTGTTGGTGGATATTAAAGGAATATTTCTAAAATTTTATGACGATTCAACCTATGTCAAGAATAAAGAGCAACCTCATAACATATTTAAAATATCTCGGAAATATATGGGTAAAATTGGGAAAGAATTCAACTTCAAGAAATTCAAGAGCATCTTTATTTACGAGTATAAACAACAAAACATTGGATTTCGATACGTAAAAAAACAGGTTTATAATAAAACAATCACGGTTCAATAACGCAAAATCGCATGCGGGCACTTATTCAAATGGCTTCAAAAGCCAACGGACACACACGGGCGGCGTAAATCGTAGTACTTTACGTGTGTGAGAGTGTGAAGCAACTAAATAAATTGTCCCATACACAACTTCATTTCTCAATATTCCGAGGGTTCATCTGAATGTCAAAATCAATGTCTTTCAATTCATCCAAGAGACCTGATTGTTCAAAGGATATCAAGTTTTTTTTTTTTTTTTTTTTTTAAAAAAAATGCACTCCACGCATTGTAAAAGTGAAAGAATGTAAATCTCCTCGTAGAAAGTACAAATGAAAAAAATTGTACATTTCTTATTTTGATTATCAACATTTTTGCCCTTTCACTTCATGGCTTCATAGGAGGATCGCACTTTAGGACCATAAATAAAAAATAAAAAGTTGCATTTACTGTACATCAATGAAAAAGGGGCTAGAGATTGCTGTCACGACAGGTAAAACGAGGTGAGGCGTATTTTTGCCACTTTTTGGAAGATCGCTGTACGTGCAAAGAGTAAGACTTTGTAACTTCCCGAGAAAATCGTAAAAGCTTAATGATAATTATATGCATATGGTTTTCTTGAGGGAAGAAAGGGGTATTGCCACCTTTACTGCATTAACCTACGTACCTACGTGGATATCCAACATGCGGCTTTTGAACTACATCTTTATCAATAATCAGGATGGAAAAATGCATACCCACATTGCAATATTTTCGAAATCTCTCTGCTTTATTTTTTCAAGTAGAAATAAACAATGTGAATCAATCAACACAAATCTCCGGATATTTATCTATTGCTGCACGGAGAACGTTTTCTGGCCTAACCCGAAAATTGAAGGCGAAGTATCATGTACATAATTCCCAAACCCCCTCTCCCTCTGTGTTAATTCTGTTTCCTCGAATGCAGTCTGAAACTATTACTGAACAGTCTCTAAAGTATAAGAGTAATAATTTAAAATGTCTACACATAGGTACGTCCATCTTTCACATACTGGCTGTCTTCCGTAGCAGGGCAACTTTACGTGACGTCACACTTGGATGCAATACGACGTTTCTGAGGAATCGAAAACGCGTGTTCGATGAAGGAGGTGTCGGATGATTTGGTTGCTTCTGGTCACTTCCGGTTGAACACGGGGATGTTGGTCGGATGGTGGGCATTCTGAGATCCCGTCCCGGGGGATGAACGAGGGATTCAGGCTGGTGCGAAGTTGGAGTTGATGTTCATCCTTCCTCTTTGGCCGCGCGATCTCCGTTTCCGGCGGGAGGAACGTGTCTGGAGCACCTGCGTGTTTCCGGTCCGCTCTCGGTTCTCATCCAGTCTGCTCGACAAAATTAAATTATTAAGTAGACAAAGTAAACTTAAGTTTGGGATAACGAAAGAAAAGAGGAGCCAATACGCTGTGCTCATGATTATTTTACTTACTTAATTTTTTAGCCGTGGCCTCGCGGTCACACACAACCATCATCCAGGACACAAATTAGAATTACACAAATTACATAAATAAGCCAAAACTACAAACGTGCAAGAAAAAAACCAAGCTGTGTTCGAAACTCACAGGCGCTAATGCGCCAAATGCGCCTAAAAAATCGGCCATGGCGCCTAAGAAATGAAGATTCTACGCCAACGTGGCCCCTCAAAATTGCCTCCTAAAAATCTGAATTTTCATATCAGGATATTATTCGATATTTTCAGCACTACAAGTGGAAGCTTTTTCTATTCTTCACGATTTCATCCTTTGTGCTTTTGTCTTTCCCAAGTCACAGCTACTTACTAGTTCTGTTACGAAAACATCTTGCATCTACCTTTTCACTAAATAATGCGCCGTAATATATAGGCAAAAAGTCAATTTGGCCCCTAAAAAATCTTCAATGGCGCCTAAAAATCGGGCTTGATGTGCCACTTGGCTCCTAAAAGTCAAAGGTGAGTTTCGAACACTGCTTACGACTACATTCTGAAAGGAGACCAAGAACAAAGAGACAAGGAGACATTTTCTCCCTTCAGAATGTAGTCGTAAGCTGGTTTTGTTTTGCACGTTTGTAGTTTTGGCTTATTTATGTAGTTTGTATAATTCTAATTTGTGCCCTGGATGATGGTTGTGTGTGACCGAAAGGCCTCAGCTAAAAAAGTATGTAAGTTAAATAATCATGAACACAGCGTATTGGCTCCTCTTTTCTTTTGTTATCTTTAGAAACGCTGTTCGCCCTAGCATGTTTCGATAAGTTTGGAAGGATAGGGGACTTCACGCCCGTTGAAGGCAACAGTGAATGCCTCATGGAAGTACAAGATTTCATAGTTGCACATATTCTCCCTATTCAGGTACTCTAGTTCCGGCTTGACTAAAGTGAAAGGAAAATTGGTGAACGTAGGTTTAAACCAATTTTAAAACCTCTGTAGAGGTGAGGTAACCATAAAGTAACAAAACAATAGAGGTAGAAAAAGATATAAGAATGGAAAGTGCCAAAAACTAAAAAGATGAAAAGAAAAACTGAAAACCAAAAGATTCGCAAAGCGACAAAGTTGCGGAGAAAGATGGGAAACAAAAATTAAACAAGAGCTATATGCTGCATTTTAAGGCTTCAAAGAAGATGCAATTCCGTCTGCATGAGAGCATCTAAAAAAAACTAATAGAAAATAGTAGTTTTCAGACAATCCACTCATAACATGGCACGTCTGCAAAGCATTCTTGATTCATGAAAGTTCAAACGCTTGGCTTTTAATCTCATAATTTCAAGTATTATAACACAGATTGGGAATAAAAAACAAACTTCGGGAGTCTAAAACCTTCCATCCTTTATTTTTAGTGCTGAGTCCAAAAATGACGTTCGTTTCTTCCCTGCACTCACAAATTTTCCAAAAAAATTAGGTTTTCTTCAAAAAACGACATTTTCTGAGAAAACATTAATTTTCTAGGAATTTGGCTCATTGAACTGAAAAACCAAGGTCATTTTCGAATCAAGCAGTCAAAGATAAATGCGGCGAGTACCGCAAGGTCGGAATATGTCTTATATTGTGTCTGTTAAAAAGATGCTTCTGATCACATAGCATAATCCGCCCAAATATCACGATGAAAACTATTCTAACTTATTCGGAAACTTATTCTACACAGGTGTCTAGTGGATCTTTATTTACCACATATGATACACAAATTTCCCGGCAAATGAACGTTTCCTCGGGAGAGCCCGTTCATCAGGAAAATATCAAGCTTCCAGAAAATCGGTGAGCTCGAGGCGAAGGTCGTTTACGGACTTGGTGCTAAAAATGACTTTGAAATCTACTATGAAATCCCCCATTTTTTTTTCCAGTTCAGACCAGTGTTACCAATTATAAAATTGATTTTCATATTTTGCGTCTTACCAATGGCGAATATTCGGTAAAAGTAAGCTGAAAGTTCAATAACGCACATGCACAAACACGCCACCAAATTGATGGTGTTGACTAGAGGCAACTATGTTGGGGGGCTGTCCGCGTTGCATACGCAACTAATTGAAGGCGTTTCTTACTACTGTGAGAAACTATGTGCTACTGCAAAAGAGTGGAACGATTCCCGTGATGCGGTTGTCATTGTTGCGTACACAATAACACTCACGGATTTTCTAATAACAACGCTTGGATGTAACTGTGTATGGTTCATAACTTTTTCTGTTAGAAGCAGCAAATTTAAAGCGATTCCTGAAACGATGCAGGAATATCATATGAAACTGCCCCGGTGCCCCTACTCTAAAACTGTTCGTGTTGTAGTATGAGCGACAAAAGGGAAGGAGATTTCCCTGAGAAAGGTTTTGTTACAATTATCCTTGCTCTACACCTACACGTGTTGCCTAATTTAAAAATTAAAGATGCAAAATCCTAGAAAGGCAGGCTGTTGCGATGTTAAATGGAGTCCTCTGATAATTGAACTTTGAAAAAGAACAAGAGGAATTTCTAGTGAAGACCGGCCCGTCCCTAATATCAAAGTGCGTCAGATCATGGAGGTCACAGATGACATCATATTTGACATCTTATGTAGGAAAAGTTTTATCTTCATTAAAAATATCCATTAAAATTGTTCATATCATAACTTATTTGAGACGTAGATGTTGAAGTTTGAACAATTTTGTATTGTCTAGAATTCTGTTACCATCTTGTCTGTTTACTTTTGGTACCAGAAACTCCATGAAAGTCTAAAATTCGCATACCAATCAAAAAAGGGCACAGTTTCTCGATTGGTATTCTCTCAATTGATGACAGTGACTCACTTTTGAGTCACTGGCCTTTAAGTCTCCTCTTCTTTAAACAAGCAAAAGTATTTCATTTTCTCAAATGCATGGACGCCAAAGAGCAAAGCCTATGTACAGTACTGGGCATGCGTTGACTACGAAACCGGAAGCCCCTTCAAACCTGAGGTTATGTAGCTCCTCGATCACGGTGCAGCTTTCTTGTTCCGGATCACTCGATATTAAGGAAGAGGAGAGAGGGACCGTGCTGCTAAAAAGCCAAAAAGACCGACATCACCGAGAGAATTGTCTATTCTATTTCCATTGAATATTTTCCTAAAAGGTATTCCAGTTGATTCAAAGAGAATCGATTTTATAAAATGAGTTCACTTATTTGAAAATAAATAGGTCTGTTGCACACATACTATCTAGCTAATTTTGTATAGTTTACATTATGTGTAAACGTTGAGCACATCAGGACTGTCTAAAATAGAGTATAAAACCTACAATTTGTGCAGTCCATGGCACTTTTTGCTCAGTACCTAGCGATCAGCTTTACTCAGAGAGAGATGTAAAAAAAAAATTAAAGAAACAAACAATCATGCAAACCTTTATGACGATCTCTCACTCGTAATATCGATCAATGAATGTAAATCACTTGATATTGCTATTCTATCTATACAAGGTTGCTTTATTGGAACAATCTAGAATATATGTGAGAGAAGCTGACAAAATTTTACGAGATTATTTGTTCATTTAGGTATACTTAAGGTTTTTTTACATCTGAGCACTAGCAACAGCGGGGAAAAAAGCTTGCCAGGGCTGCAGTGAATTTGAAAATTGGTCAAATTATGCATTTAGAGCATATTTTATACATTTCTGGTGTAGTTCACTTAATTTTCGTGTACCTTCACCACCAGAAGGCAATTGCCTAAATCTTTTGTGTACAACAGACTCATTACAATTTTTCAAAGAAGAATACATTTCTGGAAATCATTAAATGGAACAATTTCTCGGTGTTCTAACTCCTATTTGATGCAAACCATTTAACCTCCTCTAATACTACTTACTGAGCGTATAGGATGGCTGACAAAAGAGCGGAGCTGACGTCATCTTCCCTGACGTCATCATCCCTGAAGCGAGGCAAATAAGAAGACTGGAGGGCAGCACAGTCCCGGATGCAACCCTCCTCTGCTGCACTAAATTTTTTATCCTTCCACTTGCTGCGCAGTTGCATCGAGTGATAGGGCGGGCCCAGAGGCCGAAACGAAAAAGAAAACAAACCTGTCGTTAGCTAAGCTCCCGTTAATTTCACACGTAGATCTACCTACCGCTATCATTTCCTCTGGCATTGTTAATGCAAGCATGCTTTCGATAAGTTTGGCTTCAATTTTAGAGAATGTCTGGCAGTGATCTCCTCATAATCATAGATTACACAAGCAACAGATAGTTACAAGAGTCACCAACAGTAATACTTGCCTCCCCCATACTAACTCAGGAAGATAGGGAGGTGGAAACTAGAGTACTTTCATAGGGCAATAATTACTAATTTGACCCTAGGTAGGTTTTCCTCTGGTACTGAAAATTCAGAGTTTCAACTATGAGGACGTTTTTGCCCAACTCCATCACGACCTGAAGCCTCCGTTGTTTTCTTGTCGCTAAGATCAACTAGGACGGAGATTGGCACACATTTTTCTGTCCCTTTAGGCTACCTAGCAAGATGTCCTTTGGAAAATCCCGATTTGCGCTGCTCCGTTGAATATTTTCTCCCCGATCTGCATAATTAGACCAATGTCATCGGATCGGGAGCAATATCCCTAACGTTCTTTGGGCAGATTTCTATGGGAATTGCCTCCTAGTTCCACCAATGGAGATAACACATATCACACCTCCCATAAATGGGGTGGAAGACTCAGCCGAGGGGTGGTGAGTACATACTGACCTCTTATTTGTTTCGACCTGTTGGGGTAGAGGTGCCACTTGGTCTTCTTCTTCTTGAGACTGGAGACAACTGAATTCGTCGTCGGAAGCCTGGACCATCCCTCGTATGCACCCTTCATCTGTCGTCGAACTCTCGGAGGTTATCGAGAGCTCCTGATGAAGGCGCATCAGTGAATCCTGTAATTCAAGGCCAGAACATTAGTGGATCTGCTGCATAATTATGTTAGAGCTTAAAGACAAGTCTGATTACTCTGCACGGAGGCTAAAGCAGCTGGTATCACTTAAAGTCGAAAATATTAGGTATTACATATGCAAGGCATCCGCCCAGCCGATAGCAGACCAAAGTAGATGTCTGGAGGTAGGGGCTCGTCCAGCCCCCCCCCCCCCCCGACATCTACTTTGGTCTGCTACCGGCTGGATGGATGCCTTGCATGTGTACTTCTTCGTTACCATTTCTTTGTTTTATCCAAATACGACGATTGGAAGTACGAGGGTCATCCAAAAAGTAAGGTTCCCTACCTTGTATCTTCCGAACGAAAAGAGATAAATCAAATCGGTAAAAACGTACATATTAGACATACTCTAAGCTTTAAAACAAGCTCAAGTTTTTGAAAATCGGTTGAGAACTTTGCGAGAAAACTCAATTTTACTGAGACGACCTCCCGTCGTCGCGTGCCCACCTCCGAGTTCAGGATGCGCGGAGAGTCCCTTACTTCAGACTCGGCTTATCGCCTCTAAACATCAAATCGAAAGGAAATTCAAAAGATTTTATCAAGTAGGCCTTACCTTACTTTTTGAGATAGTCTCCGCATCTTTTCTGCCATTTCTTGTATCATTACAGCAGCTCTTTCATGCCTTCCGCGTAAAAGGTCTCGTCTTGGCTCCAAAACTAGTCATTGCCAGCGATCTGCGCCTCTAAATCAGTTGCTTACCGTGGTAAAAGTTTTCCCCAATCCTCCGTACTCTCTTAATTTAGCCTCAGGTGACTTTCGTCTATTCCTGAGATGAAAAACTTCCACTGTGGAAAGCCATTTCCAACCGATTTAGAGGTGCAGATCTCTGGCAATGACTAGTTTTGGAGTCAAGACGAGACCTTTTACGCGGAAGGCATGAAAGAGCTGCTTTAATGATACCAGAAATGTCAAAAAAGATGCGGAGACCATCTCAAAAAGTAAGGTAAGGCCTACTTGATAAAATCTTTTGAATTCCCTTTCGATTTGATGTTTAGAGGCGATAAGCCGAGTCTGAAGGAAGGGACTCTCCGTGCATCCTGACCTCGGAGGTGGGCACGCGACGACGGGAGGTCGTCTCAGTGAAATTGAGTTTTCTCGCCAAGTTCTCAACCGATTTTCAAAAACTTGAGCTTGTTATAAAGCTTAGAGTATGTCTAATATGTACTTTTTTACTGATTTCATTTATCTCTTTTCGTTCGGAAGAAACAAGGTCGGGAACCTTACTTTTTGGATGACCCTCGTATTTATGCTAAAAGGAACCACTAATTTGGATGTATTTCAATCAAATGGAACTATGTACATTGTGACGTGAGGCATGTAATGCATACGTTCTTATGGGTTTTAGGGCTCATGTCTTAATGCATATAGTTCCGTTTGGCAGAAATCCGTCCATTTGTATTAGGTTCATGTGCATGTGCAACAGAGTCCCTTTTAGCATAAATACGTTAAGACGCTGCTTGTTGTGTCTACCTTCTCAGACGAGGTTGATCCACTTACACATGATTTTGATAATTTTTCTCGTTACCAGTTCGTCCAGGCAAATAGTCTATAAGAAGGACCACAGTCTACAGATATCCTGGGTAGGTATGCTCTTAGTGATTACTATGTATAATCAGGCGCTGAATCCGAATTTTAACTTTGACCCCAAAAAATGCGGACAGAAAAATTGCCAAGTTTGGCAAGAATGACCTAAAATAGGTTTTTTTACGGACTATGTGTGGATTTTTTGGCGCAGGGTTAAAATTCAGATTCGGCGTCAAAAAATACAAAGAAATCACTGAAAAAATATACCCGGGAATTTGGAAAGCTCCTTTCCCTATTTGCCTGGACTAGGAGGGCAGTGCCTTCACTTACATACATACATTAAGCCGCTTTTATAGCGCAGCCTCGCGCTCTGCGACGCCCAATCGCCATTGCCCCCTATCCTCCCAGAGACCATCAGGCAATTGGCACCTCCTGATCTCCTCCTCCACTCCCTGTCACCAACCTTTCACAGGACGTCCACACCGTCGCCATCTGGGAGGAACCAAATCGAAAACTTGCTCGGGCAACAGGTGTCTTTACTTATCTCATCAAATATAGGTGATTCTTCATGGACGTTTTTTAAATACCACTATTACCGCTCGTGAGGCCTCGTATTGCCTACCTCATGAAATGAAGGCGAAATGGATATCGTATTACCTGTTGCGGGGAATCGGTGTGACGACGGGATCTGTAAATGCTGTCGAGCTGGTTGCGGAGGTTGTCGATGGCGACGCCGTGTCTCTGTTCGGCGGCGGCCAGGGCCTCCTCCCGCTCCCGGAGGAGCTCCTCTCTTTGCTCCCGGAGCTGCTCCTCGAACTTGGCCCTGCTCTCGGCCAATCGCTCCTCCAGTTCCTCAGCCCGCGACGACTCCAACTCCTCCAGCTCTGCTCGCACCGATCGCACCTCCTCTTCCCGCTCGCTTAATCGCTTCTCACGCTCGCAATTTATTCGCTCTGTCAACAATTACACACGGCAAAGAAAAAAATGAGAATGGACCTTTAGACGAGGTATACAAAGCTAAGCATTCTGGGACGTAATTCCTAACCAAATTTTCACGCAATTTCCTGACACTTGAAGATATGCTACATGGTAAAAAGACATTATTAGAAATAGTTTTCAGGAAAAATTTGTCGTTCAGAACGTCAAAGCCAATATAAAAAGCAAATGAAGGTGACTTGGTGATTTTTCCCTGTCATTTTCATCATTTTTCCTGAAATTTCCCGGTTTTCCCTGACTTTCAAAAATGTCCTAACATTTTCCGGTATTCCCTGACTGGGGTAACCCTGCAGGTTACGTCTGATTCCCTCATTTCATGATATTTCCCGGATGTAACTTTCTTATTCTTGCACATGTCAGGGAGCACCAAGGCTGCAGAAAGTCCTTGGCCTTTACATTTTCCGAACACGATTTGCGCAACAAAAATTACTGAGGGTAACTCCTAACTAAGATATTCAATGTTTCGTGACGCGTGAATTCAAACTTCCGGCTTATGAAAACACAAAAGTCTACGTGAGTCAAGCTGCACACTAAACTTTACCACACAGCGCAAAATTTATGGCTTTATAAACTAATTCATGCAGTATTGTAGGCGCTAGCATGCGATTGACGCCGATCGCACTGTTTGGCGCAATGCGTGAAGTATTCATGCAGTCTTGCAGGCGCTGATATTTGAGTTTGACGCCGACCGCACCGTGTTTGGCGCGATTATTAGAACTCGCGTTCGGATAATCGCACCATCGAACAGTGGGGCTTAGTGGGCCTATATGTGTGTTTTGTCGCCGCCGTATGAGAGTTCCAGTGTTGCCTCGGTTCTCCAGATAAAATATTTTGTCTAAGAAACGTCAGGAAAGTTCTCTACGTTCGCTTTTTTACATTGAATGAACCATTAAATTAGGTACGAATTTATGCACTCTGATACATGATTCTTCACCAGATTTTCACGGAAAACACGATTCGCGCGACTAAAACCACTGAAATCAACTTCTAGCTAAGATATTAACCTTTTTATTGTTCATTGGTTACGGGAACTTTGAATTGGCCGGTCAGGAAAAACAAAACCCTGCGCGAGTCAAATTGCGCACTACAACGGCTTCAGCAGACTACTCAAACGAGCATTGTTTCTTTCCCATACTGTGTTGCTCAAAGTGTGTACAGCTTGATCTGAGCGTCAAGCTTGAATTTGCCATATTTTCATAGTACTGAGACTATCATCTTGACGTTTGGCGTGCAATTTAACCCGAGTAAATTATTTTCCCTTCCATGAGCGGAAAAGTTGAATTTATCAATAAATACGTTATTACCACGGTTAAGAGTTAATCTAGGGTTACGATCTCAATCCCTCGAGCTCGACGTCAAGCGATCGATATCTTCGTTGCCTATTGGTGCTCATACCGCGAACTTGCAATCGTGGGATTGAAGGATTGTAAACATTTTCTTGCTTTTTGGTTACTCATTTTTTCAATTTTTATTAGATTGATCGATTGAAATTCAAATAGATTACAAAGCAATCAGTCTATATCAATCTTTCTTTTTGCCTTAAAATTATTATTATATGCCCAAATGTCACCAAAGAAAAATTCCAAGTTGATCAGTTTCGTGGCCGACTAGGTACGGCGGATTTTCTAACCTTAAAATGGTCAAAAATCAGGTGCTGAAACGGCCGTTTTTGGAGAGTTTGCATTTTCTTTAAGTAGTAAAATAATGATTGTGACCGTCCACGGAAGGAAGTTCTGAGAGTGGAAAATACAAAAAAAAATTATAATTATCACTTAAAAAGTCTTGAAAGTATTTTGGCGTCAAAAACTCTTAAAATGTCGAGCTAATTAAAACGGAACTCGTATTCATTTGACATTAGGAGTTCAAAAACCGTAATTTTGAGAAATAGCAACTTACTCATTAAATAATTCATGTTCGGGAGCGCGCAATTTGCCTTTCGTGAAAATTGACTTTATTCAGACACGCTGTAAACACACGGGTGCGGCGCTACAGCGCTGCAGCCTTAGAACGTGTAAAAACGCCTTCAATTCCATAGCCGAGCCACTTATTCGACTGCAAAGTAACTTCTGGTCGTAGTTATCAACTTTTTGCTTACGTAGGTACATGCATGTAAAACTTTTGAGAAGTTGTAACATCAAATTGACAACTTCACTTCTAACATTTCTTAATTATCAACAACTTTCTTCTTCAAGATAAGGAAAACACTCACCTATTTCTTTGTCGCACTTTTCTTGAACTTTTTCTAATTTCTCTTGATAGGACATTTCCGTTTTGTCTAATTTCCGTCTGAGTTCCATCATGTCCCTATCGGACATAGTTTGAATTTTCTCTAACTCTTGTTTATACTCTTTATCCTTATTTGCTAATTTCTTTTGTAAAAGTTCCAGCTGTAAACAAAGAGGGCCGAAAAATAAAGATTACTTTAAAAATTAAACTTTATGAAAATATGTTACATGGGGTGATAAATCTTACTTTTGAAACCTTCACTGACCAAAAAGTATCAGTAACATTTTTGAAGAGACTCAGATATAAAAATTTTGAACAGAGTTACTTCAAAATACATTCTTTGTAAAGAAAAAACCTCAAATAATTCAATTTTCAGTCCCCATTATACCAGGCTAAACTTTTCAGGGCAAGTAAACTAACTCCGTGAAGAAGCGTAGAGTATCACAAAAAATGAAGGCGCTCCAAGCGAAGATCGTGCTATGGAATTCATGCCGGTACGCATTAATCCATCTATCGAAACAAAGCCACTTGCACATTTCCAGCAATTGCTAATTGCTTTCGACATAAATGAGACTAGTTTTCTTATCGCTATCCAATGATATTCGTGAAATACTCGTCAATTTCGAAAGAGCGAGACTTTTTTCATAAAGTTGAGAAAAATGTTTATCTAGGACATTTCGTCAACGATTTTCTGTCCGCGCACCTGTTTTTTCCAGTAATTTACGTCCCCGCGTTTTTTCGGCACGAACGTTTTGGTCTATGTGGCAGTTGAGACCCAAAGTTAATTGGTCCACATGTAAATACAAACGATAATTGTTCACGACGTTTTTGGATGAAAATGTATACTGTCTTGAAAGAATGAGGGTTTGCTTGTTTGTTTTTGTTTTTTTTTTTGGTTGTTTGATCCAACGGAGAATAATATTATAATTGAGATTTTTGGTAAAAATGAGGGAGCGTCGATTCCATTAGACAAAATTCACTAAAACTCTCTACACCTCTTTGGTACAACAGGACTTAATTATCTTTCAAGAAATTCCCACCTTGTTTTACCTGAACCGGATGAACCTCTTGATTTGCCTCGGCTAAAGGCTCTCAGATTTTTCCTGTGTACGGTAAGTATCTTGATTTATTTTGCGAGGAGACATCGGTACTTTTGAAGGATGTCTGTCATCCTTAACACGTTCAATTTCTTATACGTAATACTGTGCAACAGCTCTGTTGTGAAATAGTTGCTTCAGGCGCCGCCGCACGGCGGGCGGGCGGTCAGCGCGAAACGCGCATTGGCGCCTACAAACCTAAGTGGATACTTCAAGCATTGGGCAATGCGTGAAGTATCCACTCAGGTTTGTAGGCGCCCGTGAGCCTCTCACGCTGTGTTAGGCTCTAATATTTATACTCGCATAGTCAGCGCTTTTAAACTGATGATTTTTAAATGTTTGCACACTTTGCATAGATTATTCTCATTTAAATTGATGAAAAAAAAATATTAATCAAGTTATCAAAGGAGAGTAATAACATAATGTGTTTTTTTAAATATTGGTGGTTCTGTGTCAAATTTAATGATTCCCAAGGCACTTTAATTTTTTAGTTTACATTTTGTGCTTTTACTGTGCTGCAGCGAGGTGTGCGCGCAACCTAACGCTCAAAATTTGACGTATTTGACTCTAAAAGATCATTGTACAAATGGGTTAAAAGTAAAGATTGCGTGCTCCTTGGTTTTTTTCCCTCTTTTATTCATTTTTGCAATTTCTTTTGGCACAACTGCGGCTCATTGAGATTAATATCGATGCCATCGCTTGGAAAAGGTTTTAAAAATATTTGTCACGTTTTAAAAATATAAATAATTACAAAATGAAGTAATAATTTCGTAAAAAAAAAAGTTTAAAAAGTACTTAAACATATTTAAGGTATATTGTACATCGATTATTTAAAGGATAGAAATAAAACCATATATTCACCAATGACAATTCAAAAAGATGAGTCAAAAGGAGAAAGTAACATTTCATTTAGAAAATGAGCAACCACAACAACACCTCCTTCTCTCTCAATTTCATTTTGTCAATAAAATTTTACATACCGACTTAAATATGACGCTTGGACCAAGTCACTGTTGCTTATTTTACGTGTGGGCGTAAACTACTGGACAAAAAAGGTGCGCGGACAAAAAATCGTTGACAAAATGTCCTGAAACCGGGAAAAATCGTGCCATTCCTAACTGGCTATTCCCCTTCTGCCCTATTATTTGGGCATTTCAATTACATTACCTCTTGTATGCACTCTTGCATCCTCCTATCCCAGTTTTGTTTTTTCAGATGGAATTCTTTCTCCATCTCTTGTTTGGCCGCTTCCACGTTCGCCCGCCTTTCTTCTTTATAGTTCCGCTCTAGTTCTATCCGAAGCCGCGCGCATTCACGCTGAACTTTTTCGTCTACCTGGATAAAATCAAATGAACTGTATAAATAAAATACATTGCACATAACACAATGAGATGATCAATCTTGCATTTTATTCTAAATGTTATTTAAATGATCTTTATACAATAATAGAAGATGAATCCCTTCCGAAACATAGGTAAGAATTTGATGTTTGAGATCATAAATTTGAAGTTATATTGAATTTAATGGACTTATCATGCTATATAAGGAACTACATATCGACGGTGAAACTGCAAAAATGCGTATCTTGGTTGCAGTGTATCAAAATATCTGCCCATACTTTATTTTTTAAAAGGAGACCCACCCAACATTATGGTGTGTTTTCAAGGAATATTTATCACACAGAGAATAAAAGTTGCCAAAGGTTTCAAGAAATGACTTTCGATAGTTTTCCATGTGGAAAATAAAGTATGACTAGAAGTCTGCAACGCCAAAAACCGAGTTACGCATTTTTGTAGTTTCACCATCGATATAATTGACTTAAATTATGAGAAACCAAGAAGCATATAAGTAAGAGAACATATGAGTGGTACCGTTTGATTAATTACTAGACCCTTGAAGATGAGGGACAATGAATGTAAGTAAAAGAAGCAGTGAAAAGTCCTTACCTGAGAATTGACCTCAGTTTTATATTGATCTAATTTAAACTGGAATTTCCTTTCCTTTTCGGCTATTTCTCGATTATGAATACCCTATAAGCAAAATAAGACAAGATATGGTTATTTAAAGGTGTTCAGGTCATCCATTCCAGAAATAATTAATGGCTCCTCAGAAACCCTGTGAACTGGCTACATGTAAATATGTCTGTCATTGATCTATTTTTTTTCTCAAAGCGGCATGTTAAGCAACTCAATTCAGATCAACCATATTTTTCAACTCAACGGTAACGTATTTTATGATTTAAGTGAAGCATACGCATAATTATTTTAAATCTAACTTAAGCTGTTTCATTTCCGGTCTGCAACTTCTCAGTTCAAAATTTTATCACAGAATGACGTAACGGAGGAGAAAAAAGAAAATAGATACCGCAACATCGTGAAACACGTATTTTGAACGATAGCCACTGTTCAGTCTCAAATTTTGAAGAACTGTATAATTTTTAGGTCTATAAGAAGCGATAGGTGTGAAAAGTGTCTTCAGATCTAAAATATCTACCGTCTAACTTGAATTGTGGCTCTGAAAAGCAGAGGGGGGCTGGCTTTTTCTTGGAATAACGTTATTCGGCGGTTTAGCGTTCTTGAATTTGCTTGGATAAATGCAAATTTTTGTCCAATGAAAATCAATTAGCCATCGGTAGAAAAACAATTGGAACACATTTTAGAATTAGGAACTGTCATTTCAAGTTCATCCATAAAAGCCCTTTTCTGCAAAGAGTACATCAGCCTTCAAATATGCAGGCTCATTTTTTATATATTCTCGACTCTTCAAATTGCACCCTCGTCTAATTAAATTGTATTGGTCACCGAGAGTGCGCTTCACAAAAATTAGCGCTTAAGTCCAACAAAATCGTTCACTCTTTAAACAGTAATTTCCGCGGGATTTTTAAGTACTTACTAAGATCCAAGAGAGAGTAAAAGTCACAGTTGTTACCTGCATTGTTGCTAAGTGTGTTTTCTCTTTCTGTAGTAAGGCCTTAAGCTTATCTATTTCCTCCTTGAGAAGTTTCTCTGAATTCTGGAGCTGTTCGACTTGCCTCGTTGCGACTTTCAGAGACCTTTGCTGTTCATTTGAGAGACCTCTCAATTGACTAAGCTCTGCTTCGTGAGAATGATGCTGAGGAATAAAGAAAAATCGTTTAGTATACAGTCAGATTTTGCTGATTCGAACGTTTTTAATTATTAAAAGACCTGTACAATTAAAAGTAATGCCCGGTTCTCAATCTTTCTATGACATGAGAATCAATGTGTATGTTTTATTCCTCTGCGTGAAACTAAAGGTTGGACCCCTTGGCTGCTTGGGGCCTATATCCCGAAGGGCTGCTCGTGGCTCTTTTTTCAGACGGTCAGAGAGCTTATAGTAATGTTAACGACGGAGGGGAAAATTTGCCCTGTATTATGGAAGCTTGAGCATTGAAACTCCCTTAAATTGGAATCTCCTCGATTTATTCTTATACATATTGAAATTCCTCTACTTAGGACATTTTCCAGGGGATTTCAAGTGTGGTAGGTCCGAGGGCTTCTCAAAATGTTGCTCTTAATGAAAATAAAAATATTAATAAAAAATACTAAACACCGATATCTGTACCTAAGCTTTCTATGTGTCGCAGGCAATCAACAATCGCCGGAAATTTACAAGCCACTTGTGAATAGTTAGAAAAGCATAACTTTCAGAAATAAAGAATTAATATTATCCAGAGAACTAATTATTAAATTTTTAATGTAGAAAGACACTTTCTCCTCCGTAAAAATACGGACAGCCATACTCAGGAGACCTCGTGGTGAAATTCGTTGTCTTTTACTTAGGTTCAGATCAGACAGGCAACTTAATTAGCTCCTTGGCAAAGCGTAGAGTATCACAAAAAATGAAGGCGCTCGCAGCCGAGATCGTGATTTTGAGGACCATTACCCATTAAACCTTCACTATGCAGATGCGGATTAATGCGTTTTATCTGAAACACGTTTATACCGCTCGCAAATTGCCACCGATTGCCAATTGTCTGCGACAAGTATAATATAGCAACCTATATCTAGGATGAAAGGTAAGCTTTCCCCTGTGGAAAAAGTTCCAACTGACCAGTTTGATTTTGGTCTGGAGCTCTTGGATCTGATCTTTGAGTTGGATCTGTTGGTCGAGGCACTGGTTCCTGACGGCCTCTTCGCGGGCCTGAAGTCGTTTCTTGGAGGCCTGTTCTACCTCGCGAAGTTTCCACTCGAAGTCGTCCAACAGATGCTGCTCCCGATCCGTGTTCACCGTCCGCAGGGATTCGAACTCCTTCTCAAACCGCTTCCGAAGCTCCTCCTTTTCGCGCTGGGCGTCCGCCAAAGTCTGGAAAATCAAACCACAAAATTACAATTTTGGAAAGCCTGTTGGCTTGATTAAGACCCTGAAAAAAAACTCCAGCCGTGGAAGCCGAACTTAAGGGCTATATGGACATACCGTCCGCATTCCGGGCTCAGAGGCCGAGAGTTCCCAGCGTAGCACCCGGAACAATCTAAGCTACGGCTCCTGCACCCAGAACTTCCACCTTCTTAGCCTCTTGGCCCGGAAATAACGGTATGTCAATATAGCCCTAACTTTTTTTTTCAGTGAACTTGGATAACTTCAGTAGCGTTTACGGAGAAAATTGATAGACAGTAGAACCTTTGGACTTATTTTCACAAGGATGAATTCATTTCTACAAAGATTACATAAATACAGGGTGAACCAAAAGTCTTGCACCATTCCTTTGTAATTAATTTGAAATGAATTGAAATAATTGTGTACATAAAATTTTGGAAGATTCATGTGCGAAAGTGAATTAAAAACGAAACTTCTTAGCAAAAAACAGAGGTTGCCAACTTAAAGAAAAAAAGAAGAAAAAAGAAACTCGTCGATCGAAAATGGAAGCCCAATAATGATAAATGTTGTAACACTTAGATTGTACGACATTTTGAAGTCAGAAACTTGCGATTTGGATAAAAAATCCGAAATTTGTGCGTTCTTTTAAATGGTTTTTCGTCAAAAGTTATAGCCCATGCCTTCCCTGAGCGAGGTCATCCCAATATATTGATGGATTCGATAGGCAGTTTCCCTTCACTCATGGCCATTGCCACTCTCTCAAATTTCAAGTTTTTCCATACCTCAATCTGTTCAAAAAATACAGGGATGTTGCGGGACAATTGAACTATCCTGTGGGATATGTTTGTGTTTGACATATACCTATGTAGAGTCTCTTAAACGTAGATTTATTTTTGAACATGTTCAATACGTTTAACGCTTTTTGCATGAGCTTTTGGTGAGACAAAACATGGTCTGCGATGCTTCAATTCTTAGCTAGTACCTGTCCATTATGTAAGTTGATTTAGGACACTCAGAAACGTGTTTACCTGCTGCATTATTTTGATTTCTTGCTCTCGTTCCACTTCCCAGCTGTTGCCCTCCTCCTCCAATTTATCCCTTTCTCGTTTCACCGTGGCCAGTTCTTCTTCCAATTCTCTTACTTTTCTATTTAGGGCGTCTATACTTCTCTCGAACTTCTCGCAATTCGGGCACGGATACAGCTCCCCATTCTCATTCCCTGAAACAATTCAACATGAATAGAATGTATTTCTGCCAAACAGAACTACGTGCATTAAGACATGAGCCCTGGGATCCATAAAGATACATACATAACAGGGTTCACGTCTTAATGCACCGCCTTAATGCTTTGAATTACCTTTTTAGGTCATTCCATTTGGAAACGTATTGTAAGAAAATTATCATAGTTGTTCATTAATAAAATGAAAACAGGGTTGTCAAAATAAGACATGACTCACTCTTCAAGTGCTTAGCAACATTGAACAGCTTTTCCGACGTTTATGTAATATATGTATATTTTTTTTTAGCTAAACGCTTTCTTCTCCTCCTACAAAATTTACAATTGTTGTACATCTACGTTTTTAGCATCGACAAATTTAAATATTCAAAGAGAAATCGAAAAGCAAGGTAACGTAATGCGACCATTGATATGAAAAAACTACTACGCATGGTCTAATTACCTCTTTCTTTGCGATATGCATCTTCATTGGAATCTTTTCGATTATAGTTGCGGTCGTTTTCTACGCCTTTCAGTCTTTCTTTCACACCCTCGGAGTCATGATGTGATGACAATAAATCGTTTTTACAACCTGCAAATGTAAAATAAAGTAAGCTATTTAAAATAATGGCACCTATGACTATATGAACAATGACAATAATTGTAATATTGGTTATGTTTGATTTCATTCTTTTATGATGGACAGCTCGCTGTGCTGAAGAAAAACACCGTATATATGAACATTCGGGTGTTGCCACTCCCCCCTCTTCCCCCTCTATGAAAGATAAGAGTCATATTCTTAAAAATTTTCAGAAACTTTAGATTGAATAGCAAATTAAAGCCGCTGAAAAATTGGAATAAAAATATCCACAAGTTCGCGGAAAAATTCTTACTTTATAATTAATTAGAGGAATGGCAACGTCTGACGGCTCATTGGGCGCTCTTCTTTAGCACGTCAGAACTAGACTGGGTCATAAATCAAACACCATGATGGGTGCCCGTTACTTCTCTCATCAAAAAATCATGTATCTATAAAACACCGGTCACACTGAAAAATTCAAAGTTCAACTCATACGTAAGAAATAAACGGCGTTCCCTTTCCGACAGCTAGTCCCAACTGCCCACCCATCAAAAAACCGTAAGTGCACTCGACTCACATTGGGCCAAATACTAGCACTCGACGACAAACATCGAGACGACCTAGAAATAGGAAAAATCTTTGACTCTAACCAAAGCTGACACTTAAAAATCTCGTCGAGGGTCATAGCAGCATATATTTACCGAAGGCAGAAAAAAGTAACAAGATGAAAAAGAAATGAGGGAGAACGCAATAGTGTATTTTTTCTTCGGAAAATACACTAAAAAATGAGTTCACTCAATGGGAGAGGGAGTCCCAAGAATCCTCAGTTAAAAAATTATTTAGAGTGTCCGAATAAAATCACATCAAGTACACTTCGGACCTTCAGTTGACGTCATTGTAAACATTTTAGGTTACAAAAGCTAAACTCATAAGGTCTCAGAATTGTTTAGACGTACGTATCGGTCAGGGGTGGATTGGCATCAAAAAGGTTGGGAGGCGATGATGATTCGAGGCCCCTCATGCCATTTGGGGACTAATACTGAACTTACATTGTTTCTAACTTATTCCAACCAGTTCGCCTTCAATATCTTGATAGGCAACGTGGGTGGCTCCGGAGCAGTAATAGTTGCTTGGTTTACTCATAGCCATAGCAACTTGATGCTTCACTCCCATTGTTTCTAACTTTTCCCGACCCGTTCGCCTTCAAAATCTCGTTAGGCAATTTGAGTGGCTTAGGAGCAGCAGTACTTACTGGTTTGTCGCATGTTCGTTTCTATTAGTGAAGCAACTTGTTTGGAAAAATGATCTCAACAAACATGTTCGCACAATTTGTTTAGTTCGCCCCTACTTTTCCTTAGTGCCTTTATTCTTGATGATAATTAAACACATTTAACATGTGTGCAGACCAGACGATGTTTAAAAAGAGGAAAGTCGTTCATTCACTTAACGTGTGTTGTTCTGTGGAATTGATGAATGCAACACTCATATCATTATCATTAAGGAATTCATGGCAATAAGGAGCAGTAACGCGAGATATTTTGGGCCATGGAATGAGAGAGGTTTATTTTCCAGCAGCCATCTCATTTCAACGGGCGTCTAAAAAAATTTAACGACTTAGACCATCTCTTAATGCCGCTGAATTATATCTTTCGGTAGACACACGTTGAACTAAGAACATTCAATTACTTATTCAAAAATTGCGCGGTGGTTTGGCCTTAAAACCATTTATCTCCATTGCAACGCTTCACAATTTCCGCGCGTGTTCCATTTTTTGTACGAAACATACAAATCAACATTGTGACTAAAAAATGATTCGGGGTTTTTTTTTTTGTCATACTGTAAAAATTTCAAGCCAAATTGTCCATTTGCTCTCCTTCTTTGAAAAAATAATGTGTTCAAGAAAATTTTAAAAAATTACAACAGAGATACTTGATTTTGGAGGCTTGCCATCAAGTTGTGTTGGTCTAGTGCGAGGCTGAGAGAAGGCTGGGGTTTGAAATATGTCAGTTAAAATATGACTCATTTTAACAGACTTCCCTGAAGATAAGATTGCATTTTTTTTAAGCTGTCATTTATGAGAGACTTTAGAAAGACAGACTGCCGGCTCAAAAGTGTCAAAAAAACTGTTGCAATATCTTCTTCCGGCCTTATTGAGGGTTGCGTGAAAAAGGCGATGTTCCGGGGCTTTAGCGCGTGACAACTCCACGGCAAGATGCTTATCGTCTCATTGTCTGACAAGCTTCAAGCCATTTGTCACAATGGCGTTATCAAAATGCCCAGTTGTTGACATACCGATAGTGTCACAATCCCAAATCTCCGACGGATTTATATTTACTCTCCTCGTCGCGTTAAAATATTAAATGAAATATTAACAAAACGAAAAACGGATAAAGTGATAGGGACTAAATAAAAAGAAGGCTTCTAGTTTGTAAGTGCTCGATAGAATACTTGTTATAGTTGAGGGGTTTAATGCATGATTATGTTGAGTGACTTTTTTGGAAAAAGTGACTTAAAGCCGTCTTTAGCATCAGGATGGAGAACTCCATCGCAGTAAAAATGGAAAATTGAAGGAAGAAACGTAAAAATGACGTCCAATAAACTACTGATGATACATAAAAAATGTACATTTCGCGAAAAAAGTATTATTAACATGTTACCTCTGTTCTCAATCTCTCAAAACCACAAAAAGTGCTCCCAAGAGATTGGTGAAACTTGTTGCTAAATTTCATATTCAAATTTGCGATAAACTACTTATTAAAGGAAGACCAAGATTTAGCAACGTCTGAAACCTCATGAGACATTTCTCCTTATCAAGACAGAGGTTTCGTCAACATTATTGCCAAATTCAACAAAAAATTGCGTGAATAATGCTCTTGATTTGCAGTGTCCGCAAATTGAGTTTTTTTTTTTTTTTTTTTTTTTTTTTTTTTTTTTTATGGCAAGAATCGAAATTACATAAGTGGATGTTGTTAACAATTTGAACGAAATCCAACGTGTAATTTAGTTTTGGGCGTCTTCCATCATTGTTGCATCCATCCACTTTCGTGAACAAGTTCTTGGAGTAACTTGGGTCCAAGGGTACAATGTAGGACCGTAGGAAGCTTAAGAGAGGGATTAACATTTGGATTCGTCCCAAAACGCTATAACCGCATGTCCCGTCTTAAAAATTCTACCAAGCCATGATCCTCCCATAAATCCTCAAAAATTAATAATTAGTGATCAAATGACTCTAGTGAAAACTCTTGTAGCAGTTCACTAATGAAAGAACTCTCATAAAAAAATTATGCTGAACTCTACTGAAGTATTGATATGAAGACAAAAGAAACAGCAATAATTGCTGAGCAAAGATGACTACCGGTAGGCTATGATTCTAAACTAATAAAGTGGGAACCAAACTATTATGGATGGGGGTGCAAGGGGATACAAAATACCCCTAAACAAAATTAAATCACTGGCGTAGGAGCCACAAAATAACAATGTTTAAAGAAAGAGGGGGAATGGAGTCGTTCCTTGTAAAAACGACGTATCGATGGTAAAACTACGATCCGAATGCAATGCATACTAATTTCCGGTCCTTTTTAATTTTTCAAAAGAATATCACCGTCTATTTCCACGGGAGGTTTTCAAGAAATATTCTTTAAAAAAGGGAAGAAAATCATCTCACATTTTGTACAGTAACCATGATCAGTTGGGCGTATTTTAAAACAAAAGGAAATATATCCATCCTGACTTTGGCCCTGAGATCCATGAGAATATAATGAGTGCAAAACATAGGACTCATGTCATAATGGATATAGTCCGTTTTGATTTAAATCTGTCCAGTTATTATTTTAATAAATAGAATAGGAATAGAAATCTGCAACGTCGTGAACCGAAATTTTCTCCCTTCTTCTTTATCTGTTTCATCTTCCTCTTCTTCTTTCTCATTTCTCTCCTTTCTAATCATCCATCCCTCTTCTTTTTTTTCTTTGCCCATGCACTGCTGATTTCGTCTTTATCTGACGTACGCGGAGAGTCCTATACAATCTATTGGTGCCCCTAGGAGCTCCTTTTGCCTATATCGTTAAATGAAGGGGAATAAAACTTATTCTAATCTGAAACTCTCTCGAAACAGTCCACTCCACACGTTCCCAACTGCCACCCTCGCCTCAAGCCGATGATAAAAAAACTGTAATTCCTCCTCTCTCTCTCAAAAATTAGTTTAAATTACTGCCGTGCTAAGGAAGAACGCCTTATGAACATTCAAGAGTTGCCAAATTTTCTTCGATAAAATGTTTATTTTTTAGGAAAGTTGTGAATATTTTCCCTTGAAGTGTTCAGGAACTTTAGGTGAAATTGCATACAACAATATTTGAAAATTTAAAAGAAAAATATTCATATTTTTATCAGGAAATTCGTGTTTTATAAATGGAAATTTGGCAACGCCTGAATGTTCATGCGGCGTTTTTCCTTAGCACGACAGAATAGTGGTAATCCACAGTTGTTTGGTGGTACTCCACAGTTATATACTAATCTCATTTGCCAGTACTTATCTTACTTTACATTGTTGCTTTATTGTAATCGATGTCATGTACAATTATTGTACGAAGGGGAATCCGTTAAGACGAATAGTTTCTCTTGTCTGTGGATGTATCCCACACGCTCGCGGACAGTGAGTGAGTTGAGGTTGGGAGCTTGAGGTGGGCCTGAAAATAAGACGAACCAAATTGGAGCAATAAGCCCCGGCCCCGGCTGTTGAACTTGAAGCCTCTAAGCTCCGCCGCGGACGCGCTATCACTGCTGGCAAGTTCCCAAGCCCGAGACAACATTGCACTTGCCACGCTGCAGACGGCTTAACGCGCCCAGAAACGCTCCTTCCGCATGCTTTCATCCGTTCAACCCTCTTTGCACTGTGAACCGGACAATTTTTCCGAAACAATACAGGCGTTGTACCGAAGAGAGCAATACCACGGAGAAAAAAACCTCGTGCGTGGGACCCGAAGTTTAGGTCATATGGATCTCTGAAGTTTTCAGATTGAGCATCTGAACACTATAGATCTAGCTGTTGAGGCTCGGACTACAAATCTGAAACTTCAGTTCTTACATCTGAAATACTTCAGATGTAAGAACCAAAGTTTTTCGGGTTTCAGATGTGTGATCCGAACCTCGACAGCTAGATCTAAAGTGTTCAGATGCTCAATCGCAAAGTTCTGTGAATTTTTGCTAGTGTTGACAGGGCTTTCACAAAAAATGTGCCAAACACGAGTAAACGCGTCTTATGCACCCCATTAACACACACGGATGCGTCATCAGAAAACTCCAGAGATCCATATGACCTCAACTGCGGGTCCCATGCACGAAATGTAGGTCATATGGATCTCTGAAGTTTTCAGATTCAGCATCTGAACACTTTAGATCTAGCCGTCGAGGTTCGGATCACACATCTGAAACCCGAAAAACTTCAGAGATACATATGACCTAAACTTCGTGCATGGGACCCGAAGTTGAGGTCACATGGATCTCTGGAGTTTTCTGATGACGCATCCGTGTGTGTTAATGGGGTGCATAAGACGCGTTTACTCGTGTTTGGCAAATTTTTTGTGAGAGCCCTGTCAACACTAGCAAAAGTTCACGGAACTTTGCGCGAAAGTTAAGTCCCGTAAACCTATCCCTGTGTGGACAGGCCTGTCATTTACAAGAAACGAGCGAAAAAATTATGAAAGAATAAACATGAATATGGTTTAATAATTTTAATTTCCGCCACCGCGCCAACCGCACTGTGTTTGGCGCAATGCGTGAAGTATCCCTACAGTCTTGTAGACGCTATGCGTTTCACGCCGACCGCACTGTTTTTGACACAATGCGTGAAGTATTCATGCAGTCTTGAAGGCGCTATGCGTTTCACGCTGACCGCACTACGTTTCATGCAATGCGTAAGGTATTCATGGAGTCTTGTAGGCGCTAATAAGTGTTTCATGCTGACCGGCGCGCCGAGGGCTTCTTCTTTCCATCTCAAGTCCTCGTCATTATTGCTCTCTGCGCCGCGCCGCTCCAGGCCAAATGGCGTGTTTGGTTTCTCTCTCAACTAGACTAATGAATGGCGCTGTATTTTGTATCACCGAAATACGAACAAATTCGAAATCACTGTACTGTAACTCTTAGGAACTGAGAGATTTTGTCGCCTTTTCTCGTTTGTAATTTTTTTTCTGGGTCTGATTTTGTTTACACCTACATTTAAAAAAATTGCAACATTCGCCGCCCCCTAAAGCCGCCATGGGCTGCGGCCCATATTGCCACCCCCTAAATCCGGCCCTGGAGGACAGGGTTCATTGCAGAGTGCAGTTACGCCCTAATGTCAAGCAGACGACGAATAAATCACGGACCTTTCTTAATTTCAAAGAAGGAATTCTTCAATGTTTGGGGGGAAAAAAATGAGGTCATTACTGAACATTTTCCAAAAAAACGGAGGACTTGATTATTTATTGAATACAACTTTTCGGTTGATACGTGCTAGTTCTCAAAAGTTTTTTGAGCAGTCGTCGCTACGAGAGAGCCACTTTAACAATGAAAAGAGTCAAACAATTACAGCACACTTTCAAATCCTCGCTTTTAATCCGCATGTTTATTTTTTAATCTATATATAATCATGTCGTGACATTAACCCAATTGGCAAAAATTGACCTCGTTCAACGCGCCCAGATTCGCGGTCCCCTTTCAAAGGGATTATGAGTCATCAAGCTTCAATTTTGACGGCTTTCAAAGCGCGGTTGCGACATGTCCTTAAAAAAACAATCTTCAAGCTGTCGGATACATTTAAGTTGGCATCGATTTTTTCCCAGCGTGATTTCAGTCACGGTCAATTGCTAGCGTAACGCGCCGTGAGGCTGATGCAAAAATGACCCCGATGACTTAAACTTGGAACTTGCCATTGAGTGGAGCTCGAAGGTAACGAATTTGGTTGGAGACGTCACCAGGAGCGACCCATTGGGTCAAATATTGATTGTATCGAATTGAAACCGAGCAATGGACCACTAGACAAGGTAGGTACGAATTTCAGCATTCTGATACATGTTTCTCAACCAAAATTTCACGATACGCACAACGAAAATTACCAAAATCAATTCCTGACGAAGATATTTAATGATTCTTGATGCGTGAATTCAAACCACCCGCTCATGAAAACTCGATGCTCTACGTGATTCACATCGCGCGCTAAATGTTTATCATGACAGTCTCTGCGATGTAAAAATCTTCAACTTCAATCTTGACACTTTGGCTCAGCTATAGCAAATTACCAATAGTTTGAAAAACACATGGTGGAAAATGAACATTGCTCGATTGAGAAGCTTGCTGAAACCGTTGTAGTGCGCGATTTGACTCACGTAGAGCTTTGAGTTTCTTGTGAGCGGGCAGTTCAAATTCCTCGTAATCAGTGCGAAATAAAAACGTTAATATCTTCGTTAGAAGCTGATTTTGGTAATTTTCGTAGTGTGAATCGTATTCTACGTGAAATTTTGGTTAAGAAACATGTATCAGATTGCTTAAATTCGTACCTTATCTAGTGGTCCATCATTCACTTCTCGGAGGTACCGAATGCACTTATTCGAAATAAATGTTCATATTCTTGAAATCAAAAAGATAGAAATAAAACTAACTCACCGAAAAAAAAATGATGCTGACTTAACATTCTGGATGTAAAAAAGTATGCGACAACTTACAAAATCGCTGAGTTAACCTCCACGACAGTTACTATGGCAATGTCAAGATGTAAATCTAACTGCTGTGGCGGTTAATTCAGCTTTTTGTGAGTTGTCGCACACTTTTTTACATCCAGAATGTTGAGTCAGCATCCTTTTTTCTTATCCGGTGTTTACACATCATTGTGCGATATTTTTTAAGAATGATATTTACAAGGAATAGGAACAATAATCCGATGTTACAGACTATACCGTTGATTTTCTGGGGAAAGATTGGATCTCAAGAAGCCTCGATGGCGCCTTCGATAAGCCTTCGATATGATGAAGGCCTCATTTCTTTAGGAAAAGGCTACTAAATTTAAGGCTTGTTAACTAAGACAGTCAATGAAAAGATCAACGAAAGAACTTACGATCCATTCCCCAAGTTTGATTGAGGAGTTGTTTCTGAGCCTCCTCGAGCTGGTACCGCAGTTGGATCGTTTCGGCCTCCCTATTGGCCAGTTCTGTCGTCAACTCATGAAGTCTATCGTGTACACTTGCATCTTTGTTTACCAGATTCAGCCTGAAACAGTCAAACCCACAATCTTGAATTCTACTCTATCCATTTCAAAATATTGTAAACCGTAACACTGTCACGACTGAAAATTATCTGGTATTTTGTGAAATACCTTGATGAGTGGTTAATAAATATCTCTGAAATTGAAATTCTGAAAATTTTCCACATTAGACGACTCATGGTAAAATACACTTCAAAATCCACATACTCGCAAAATATTCACAGACTTTGATTGCGTAGAATCTGTTTCAGCAGACCCATTCGTCAGTTCCATGAAAATAAGTCGTCTTTGCAGGGATTCGAAACGTGGACCTTATCTATCTAGAGCTCGACCTACCGACTATTCGGCCAACTTAGCCTTGCACCGAGATTGATAGCTGCACGTAAATTACTGACTCCTGGTTTAATGATGGACAGATGGGAGTCAAAGTTGAAGATACCAACGTAAAAACTGGAAATCAATCTCGTCAAACTACCCCCTTCTCCCTTAATTGGTGCTCCAGTAGCGATAGATCATGGCGCTTTTTCATTACAGGGCAGCGACGGATCCAGCAATTTGGCAACACCGGATTTCCTTTATTTAAACCTATGTTAAATAATCGATTCTTGTCAGAGCACCTGGCCCCTACAAGAATCGATACATTTCCGTAGGTTTAAATGGGGAGGGGGGGGGTAATGTTGCCAATTTGCTGGATCCGCTAATGTCACAGGGTAGGTGGAACGATTCGTCGCTTGGCTGACATAAGGGCGTAACTGCACATTGAGATGAGCCCGGAAAAGCATTGAAATGTATGGAGGATAGGGCTCATTGTAGAGTGTAGTTATGCCCTTATGTCAGGTAGGCGACGGATGAACCCGAGGGCGACTTAACGCAACTTTGGGAGTAACGTGACTACTACGTTACCACGTTTTTGACATTTTGCAACTTTATGGGAGAACATTTTCATACGGGCTGAAAATAGACTTGGAGGGGCGGGGAATGAGTCCGATAAGTGAAAGCCCAGGGTCATGCGAGAAAGTGTCGGGTGTACCAGTGTCCAGTGTAATAATATAACGTGTTTATGATGAGATTGCTGCCAGAGACAACGAGTTATGAAGTCAATTTTATTTTGAAGTTAGAAACTAGCTTTTACGCTCGAATCTCGTAGTTGTGAATTTTAAATTCAAGTTCTGAACCTCCATTTCAGCAACGTTGAGTCGCAGCATTTCAAGTTCCTGATAGATTATTTTGAGCACGCCTTGCGAGGTGCACAGATACAATTTAAATGGTTTAGCATTTGTACCGTTAAAAAAATGTGCGACAATTATCAAATGCTGATTTTACATTTAAAAAATTGCTAACTCAGCATTGAATTTGTTCATTAAACCGTGAACGTAGGTAACCTGGCATTTTTCTTAAAATTTTAAAATCAGCATTTATACTTGTCGCACATTTTTTTAACACTATAAATGCTAAAACAACATTCATTTTTTTCTATGTGGCTCTAAATAAGTTCCATGCCTGGCACCAGCATTTAATGTCATCATTTTAAGGCTAAATTTTAGTTAATGGCTGACGAGATAGAATCTGACAGAATGTCCAGTGAAACTCCATGCCTGATTGGAATAAAATTCACCTGGCGAGACTCTGCGCTATTCAATCGAATATGATGCACCAGGGCAAGGCAGAAGGTAAGTTCAGCAGAGAGCAGTGCTATTCTTCGCCTGATAACTCTCGATGAGCAACTGTTCTATACGAGCATAAAATTGGCCTGAAATGCCAGATAAATGTCGCCTGAAGAAATTTGCAGAGCAGTTCGTCAAACTAGACCATTTTGCGAGACCGAACGCTCGCCACTTCGGTCATCAGTCATCATCAAGCAAATCTGAACAGCTTCTAAAAATAACGTTTGTGCTACACGGAAGATAGCAGTGGAAAGTCTTTACATTTCTATTATAAGCTGTCTCTGGTTGCCTCTTGCCCGAGATCGAATCTAACGCTCGAGCAGTTTTTTTCTCTTTCTTCTTACATGGTTAAATTTATGAACTTAGATTCTGAGTACGAAACATTCTTGAAATCAAGTTGCCATTGAGATCAAAGTAATCTCGATTTATTAGTTGAAAATTTTGACTGCAGAATCATCAGTTTTACTTCGCAATTAGCCATTTTCGATGTATTGTCTTCGTCCTCCAGACGTAGGACGCTTCTGGTTAAAATTTTGCTGATTTTTGCGTGTGGTCAGAAAAAAAAATCCTAGAAATTTATAGATATGCGTGCCTCATAGTTTTTTAGTAAAAGTGAAGCTTCGAAAATGGCATTAAGCTCCTCCGTCCGGGAAAGAACGAATAACGGTGGAAAAATAATTTTAGAACATATTTTTTCAAACAATCATGATGTCAGCATACATTAGTGATAGCTAAAATGACGTCATTTCCCATGATTGGATGGTGGGGACGAAGAAAACTATGCTCACCACCAGCACTCCCGGAAAAGTCCATCAAGGAAATCCTAGCTGGTGGAAATGTCTTTTCCTATCAACGTTACAAATAAAAAGTGATTCAACACTTCTCTTATTGACGTCATAATATGGTTTTTCTCATTCGTTTATTAAACATCAATAACAGATTATATTGATTTTATCTTTTATTTTTCAGATAAACAGATTTCGTAGACGAGTCTTTTGACAAAGTTTGTGGATGCCAACTGACGAAAACGCTGACATGCCAAGGCTAAATGACGCAAGAAATTCAAATCGATTTGTATTAGAACAACTGTCAACCCTGATCAATATTACGGAAACTTTCAACACTATGTAGCCTCTCACGCTTACTATAAGCAATGGCGTTGAGACGATACGCCACACTCTTGCTCTTTAAAATTGAATCGATAGCCAAATTACGAGGCCGTTAATCTCAATTTTTGACGTTGAGAATGTTGTGACGTATTTACTTCTACTACGAAAGGGTTACTGCTCATCTGTATCGCACAAAATTTTACGTGATTTATCCTCTTTCGCACTCCCTGGGTTATTCAAAGGATACAAACTTAAAGTGTAAAAAATTCAGGTATGCAGTTTCCTGCCATATTACCGAAGAGTCTAGGGTAGTAACGACCAAATTTTTCAAAATCGAGTTTTCTTCAAAATTCCCGGGCATTCCCGGCGATTGTTTACTACTGTGAATTTTTTTTTAAGATTTTACTAGTTTCTTGAAAATTTAACGGGAGTTTAGTACCAAGGGCAAAATTTCAATTGATATCATATTATTTTCCTTCTTTCTTAAATCATTTTTCCTACAGACAAAGATGTGAACCTATTATTCTTATTCTTCATTTTCTTCCTCTTCTTTCTTCCTTTAATTATACTCTCCTTTCTATCTTTCTTCCTTCTTTAATTTTCCTTCTCTTTTTTCTTCCGATCCCTTTCTCTCCCTTATTTCCCTCCTACAAACAAAAAAGTAAACCTAAGTTCAAGTCTAATTTTCAGTTTAACATTACATAAATTGTTACAAACATCAAAATAATTGAGGGGCTCGGAGGACAAGACGCATAAGTGCAGTGTTTGAAAAAATTGAGATACTGATGATTTCAATTAAAATTAGTCTGAATGCATATTATGCAAAAAATTCGCTGTTAAATTCCAATTTTTAAGCATGAAAAATTGGTTCAAACTTCTTTTCCGCCGCGTATCCATGTAATTTTGACACTTCGAACACGTACTTCTTGAAATAGCAAAAATTGCACTTATGCGCCTTGTCCTCCGTGCCCCTTAATTGGACCGCGTTAAACAGAAAGGAACCAAGCCACATCAGCTATTGCCAAATTTAATAGGACAATTTAATTTTCTACATGAAAATGGTTGTACAGATTTTCGTCCAAATTTCAGTGAATTTTCTCCATATTACGAAGTGAATTCCTTAAAATTTTCAAAGGTATACGCACAAACGCTCTCTCATAAAAAATTAAATTGATTAGTTAAATTTGACAATAGCTGATGTGGCTTGGTTCCTTTCTGTTAAACGCGGTCCAATTGTAATTAATAGCCCATAAAGGAGCTAGTGGTAAATTTAAAAAAAAAAAAAAAAAAAAAAAAAAAAAAAATATGCTCTTTGCCTCTCATCTTCCTTCTCCTACCCCCGAGTTTGTATAACTTCCCGTGTGACATATAACTTTGAAACTCCTATCTCATTTTTCAAATCTCTCGATGTAAATATGCCTCATTCACTTAATGCTGTCCATAGTGTAATGCTGTCCATTTTTCATAATAGGCAGCTTTGAGTATAACGGCGCGGACCCCAGCCGTAAAATTAGTCGCTGACCGTAGTTGAGGAGTTGCGACGTGACGAAGAGAAGCCGTCATGTCAACGGGACGAAACCCGGGGCCTATCAGCAGCCCCCGTTTCCTTTCTCGATAGGGGCAAGGAGCTGACGCGATAAGCCATGATGAGTTTTTCCGCTCAAATCTGCCCAGCAGATAATGAGATGACCAGTCATTCCAAAGGGGTCGCCAAGAGTCAGTTCTGTCAAGAGAGGGTCCAGTGTCGCTTCAATGGTCTGTTTTTCGGGAGCGAGCTCATTTTGGTTGCAACAGCGGAAAAAAGTGGATTTTTTAATTTGTGCGGTTTTTCAAAAACGGAGCTTTCGGAGTTAAAGCTGAGTGTGTGCGCGCAAAGAATTTGCAGGTGTCTTAAATTTTGTGAATTTCATCTTTAAAATGATACTGCTAGGATAACTGAGTACAGTATATCCTTTGGTTTCTAAATTGGACAATTATTGAAGAAAATATGACAGAATAACCTAATCTGCTTGAATACATGTGTTTAAATGCAAAATGCCACCAGATGACGTCATATTTCAGGCGGCACATTTTCTCACTTTAAAATCTATTTTTCTCCTATTTTGCACGCCAGAAAAAAATTATGGAAAATACAGCGAACTCAGCTCATTAGGCACTCTCAGATGAAGCAATAAAATTTGTGTGTGCAAATTCTCCATCGTGTTTCTTTTTGTCAGGGACTTAAGTGACTCGAGCGTTAAACGGCGATGTCCAAAAGCGCTAAATCTGCTAACGCTGAAAGCAAAAGCGCTTAAGTGATCGTCTACTTCCTTCGCTTAAGTCTTTTCGATATTAAATTTACGACGCGAGAGGGTTATTTTTTGATATCGCGAGCGAGGTGAGGGCCGTTGGAAAGTACCTGCGTGGAGCCCTAATTTAGTTACACTTAATCGTGGGAGATAAGCGGTTCTATTTTCAAGTCGTATAGAATTTGCGCATTTGGATTATTGCCCGTGTGAAAGGTGTTGCTAATAATTTACGGTACGCGGGAGTGGAGCTTTGGACAAGGTGCGAGCTAAAGTACCTTGTTACGTTTTTCCCCCATTAAAATTTTACGCAAAAAAACAATTTGTCGCACGACAGAAAGTTTGCGGATATTAATTCCTGAGGAAGATACAAGTATTGATCAAACGGTAAACATACAAACGACGTCATATTTACGTTTTCTGATCCTTTTGATCATTGATCACATTAATGTCTCCCTAAGGGTTTGACATCCAAAATTCCCGTTGTGTAAATCCCTTTTTATGTAAACGTTCATGGAGGAAACCTAATGTAACTTGAGTGATACTTTTAATTCAGACTTTGAGTGGCTGCTTATTGGTTCAAAATCAGATTAAATTTCCATCTTTCCTGTCCAAGGAAAATTACCAGTTTTAATTTTTTTTTCTTTCAATGTTTTGCTGATTTTTCCAAAATTCATAGCTGTTTTAATTTTACGAGAAATTTCATCGGTTTATTGACGATTGCTGAATTTCGACTATTAATGTTCCTGTATTATTAAGGGTTTAATTGATAGCAGTTAACTATTATGGGGAGCAAGGTATTTTTATATGTAAGTGTGTAGTCATAACATAGCATTTTGATAACGCTTACTAAAAATATTGCTTCTAAGTGCACTTTTCTTATCGACTTTTTTCCAAAAATCATAAAGCTTGTAAATAAAAACGAGGATAAAGTTGTTGAGGCCCTGACGATGATATGAAGAAATGGAGTGTGAAGCGTTGAGTTCATAAAAGAAGATTTTTCTTAAAGTTCTAGTGAAAAATCCCTGCGCAGCAACATATTTGATAAACAACAGATAAAAAGTGTGAAATTCTCTTGTACATCGTGATCATCCCTCATTTTTCTCTGACAAATTTGGAACAGGACATCAAGGACTGTCAAACAATCAATTTCATTCGCACAGAAGCTGGATCGCTTTTCAAAGCGCTCCATGGTTTGAATTTGAAACCAGCTGCACTTTGAAAAGCGTCTCTATCGAAGTGCTTGCATCGTGTAAGAACAACATCGTAAAACGTCGATATAATAAAGAATATCCGTCCCATGGTGAGTAAATCCAAATGTTTTAAAATTCGATCCTTTATTTTTTTGTAACTAAGGATTGTAGAGAACACAGTTTTTTATTTGACTTTTTTGCCCTGAGGGGTTACATAAATGCACAGCTCTTTTTTTGAAGAAAAGTTTCAGGTCTCGATTCAGGTTTCGTCATAGCGTACAGCAATATGCGTAACATTTACTTCTTACTAATGAGGCGTGTTTATAACTTTATACGTGTAGTAAAATTCATTTTTTGGGAGTTTTTCCACCCTTCCATCCCCTAGAGAGAGCCGTAAGTGTGCAAATGACGTAGTTTCAGGCAAGACAGCAGTAAGTGACATTATTCCTACAGAGAGCCAATGAAAACAGTGCTGCCCTCTTCTGTCAATTTTTAACCTGAAAATGTGTATTCGTTGTGTGTCCAAAACGCAACCACAAAAGCATGCAGAAGATAGCACTTACGGCTGTCTTGCCTAACAATAGACTAGTATGAAAATAAAAATACCTTTTATATGTAATTGAAAAAAATTGGTCGATTTTTAATCATCCTAAGGATTTCTAGGGATCTTTCGGATGGTTGGTGGCACTTTAACATAGAACGGAGGTTTTTTTTTTTTTTTTTTTTTTTTTTTTTTTTCAATATTTTCCGGTCAGACGCTTCCGAGCCCGTTTACTTTAAGCTTCGTTTTTGCACTTACTGCTCTCTTCGCTATCACGACAGCACAACACTCTGTAAGGGTGCGCTGAAGACCCCCTCAAACTCATCAATAAAGTTGGCTTTGCCTGAGGAGTAGAGAAAGGGCAATCTTCTGAAGTCATTGAGAGTGCTAAATTGGCGAAACGTGCTTTTTAACGTGGAAAGTGAAGAAATGAAAGTATCGCTGAAAATCAAGGAAAAATTGTAGAAAACTATTAATTTCTCGTTTCATTTATAAAAAATTACGTGAAATTATATCCAATGACGGCTCTATAAGCTTTTTTGCATCCCGCGACGCTGCATGTAAATGCAGTGGAAACAGCCACTCGTACCAACATTACGGACGGCCTCTCAGCGGAAAGCACGGCGCTTACTACAAGAAATTCATAGAAAAGTCGAGAATCAAAACACAACCGAACCTAATTTTGCACGTAATTAATGAGTATAAGACGACTGGGTGTCTTCAAACTAAAGTATCCAATAAAATGAGTCGCGAGGTATCAAAAAAGAAACAAACGAAGCTTCGAAAAGTGATGCGCCTTCATTTGGTAGGTAGGCTAAACTGCCATCTTAGGAGTCGAAATAGTTGCATGCTCCAGTGACTTTAACACATCGATGATGGAACTGTGCGAAATAAACAATCTCGATTCTCGACATTGTAATATCATTTTGCATTTCGTTGAGACTTTCGAGTTGAACTTGGTTATTTTTGGAGGTATCCAATATCCATCATGTTTTACGTAGAATTTTGCGAACTTTTTACGATTGCTTCTCTGAAGTAGGGGCGTATTTCAATTTATCCGTAAGCCCTGTACTTCATAAAACTGTATGCTTTCAGAGACTCAAGTGGAAAAGGAAATACGCCCTTACGATAGACGAGCGACGATTTTGGTCTTATATTTAAGGAATATTCGCTGAAGCGAAGCCTTACAGCCTCACAAGTATTGAAGATACACATCTCTCGATTTCAGTCATTGATATAATATTGAAAATAAAGCTCTACAACGCAATGGCAGCCCAACAAATACATATGACACCAAAAAGAAAAAGAAAAAACAAATTAGCAGAAAACAAGGCTAGAATTATGCACACAACTTTAGACGCTTTCTTCTACGTACTTGATCATCCTGATCACGCTCGGATTTTATTACGTCATTATTTCTTCACCTTCCGGCCGAAGTATCACAACCGCCGTGCAACGTTTAAAAATTTCCGCCGCCATTTTATTTCCTTACAGAAAAATCGTTGGTCGAATCTGTTTGAAAATTTCGCTGAATTTAATCGGCAGCACAAAGAAAATTCAGGAAAATTTTTGGACAGCTTTGTTGAATAATTTCACTGTAAAAAAATGAAACTGCGGCGGAAATTTTGAAACGTCGCATGGCGCTTGTGATACTTTGGCCGGAAGGTGCTGATTTTAGCTTTATTTATTTTTTTAAAATTGTCTTTTAGTTTTTCGGTTGATAATGATCTGGGAAACCAAGTCGAAACGTCCCGCATTGTTTGTGTAATTTCATCCTTGTTTCCCACTAATTATTGTTTTCTTTCGTTGTTTTTCATTATGTTAAACTTTTGTATCGAAATACTTCAATGCGCAGACCCTTTTATAGCCTCAAGAAATTCCTCCTTTCCGCACTGTAAAAAAAAATGACGGGCTATATAGACATACCGTCCGCTCCGGACTTAGAGACCGAAAGTTCCGGGTGCTGGAGCCGTACCTTCAATTGCTCCGGGCACTAAGCCCGGAACTTTCGGCCTCTGAGCCTGAAACGGCCGGTATGTCTACATAGCCCGTAAGTACGGCTTCCACGGCCGGAGTTTTTTTCAGTGCGTTGAAAATCACCCGATCATTTCTTACCTCTGTTCTTCCGTCGAGGCCTGACTTTTCTCATCCCTGTCATCACTCCGGCAGGTTCCTACTTTATCCTCCTTCTCCTCATCCTCGCCACTGAGGAAATCCTCAGTCCGCGATTCGCTCTCACTTTTCTCGTCACTGGTATCACTTCCATCACTCCCGTCACAATCCACACCTCCCTCGCTTTTAGCACCACCACTTTCCTCAAATTTCTGATCCCTCTCGGTCGAGTCAAAACTTTCGCACTTTCCACTTCCACTCTTAACTTCCTCGGTGCCGCACTCCCCGCCCATCGTGGGATCCCAATCGCACCGCGTCTGAGCGCCCGGCGGATCCGTCTCACTGCAGCGCTCTCTGTCGGTCGTCTCGGGAACACTGCTCGGGGTGATTCCCATGTCGTCCGGACATTCGATCAAAATGGTTGGAATGCGTTTATCACAGGGTTTTCCGGTAATAACACCTTCGGCTTCGCCGCTGTCAAGGCCCCGCGCCGATTCGACCGACTCTGACTTCGAGGCGTTGAAATTTGGATCTTCCGCGGGGGGATTTTGCAAGTTTTCTTTCGAGGGCTGATCGCTGGATTCGGGTACTTTCACATACGTCCATTCCGTAGAATTGCTCCCCGCATTTTCCGGACTAAAATTACCGAGTTCAGATGAGTCTTCGGGTGAATTTGAATCTTGGAGGGCACTTATCCTGGTTTCCGGGTCAGTTTCAGTCGTGTCGCAATCCCATGCGGAAGCTAAGGAGCCGGTATCAATTTTCACGTACTTTTCCGTGCGTTCGTTGATTCCGTTCTCTGAAGGCGCATCCTTCACGAGGTGTGATTCGGTGTCGTCGGTAGTACTCCCTGAATCATTTATCAAAATCGCGTAAGGTGAACCGTTCACAGGAGGCGTATCCTTCGCGGGGATTGATTCATTTGCAGAAATTGCATCAGTCTCAAGGACTGAATCCTTCACAGAGTGCGCATCCTTCACAGCAGGTATATCGTTCACAGGAAGAGTGTCCTTCACGAGGACTGAATCGTTCACACAGATGGTATCATTTTTAATGACTGAATCGTTCACACAGATGGTATCATTTTTAATGACTGAATCGTTCACAAGGAGCGCGTCCTTCGCAAGGACCGAATTGTTCACAGGAAGTGCGTCCTTCAAGAGTATTGTATCCTTCACGACAGATATATCGTTCACAGGAAGCGCGTCCTTCACGAGAACTGAATCGTTCACATAGATGGTATCATTTTTAATGATTGAATCGTTCACAGGGAGCGCGTCCTTCACAAGGACCGAATCGTTCACAGGAAGTGCGTCCTTCAAGATTATTGTGTCCTTCACGAGTGACGTATCATTGGCGAGGAGTTTATCACAGAGAAGGGCGCCGCGTTCGGCCGTCTGCGGGCTACTGAGATAGCCCGGCTCGCTTACATCAGAGCCGCATTTACACGTGGCGTGGGTTTCGGCGCCGGGCGCCGGCGGGCGGGCGTCCCGTGACGTCACACCCGAGTCGCCGTCTTCAGAGATCTTCCTGTCCTGGAGGAGGTCCTCGAAGAAGGCTAGTCGGCAGGAGTCCGCCGTCGACTTTGTAAATGCGGGGATTCTATCACAGTTTGCGGGAGAAATTTTGTCGGTCGACTTTTGAGACTCCAAATTTGGGTTTTCAGCTCTCTTTGTGTCAGCTTCCTCCTTGGTGCCACCGGAGGGAACTTCGATCTCCGGTACGAGTTTGGACTTCATGTGCCCGTTGTCCGGAGAAGTTGTTGTCTCGTGGTTCTTGCACGCTTTCTTCTTGTCGTCGTTGTTCTTGATGAGTCGGATGGGGAGCACTGATTTTTGAACATCCTTCCCCTGCTTCGATTCGGCGCTCTTGTCTTCTCTCGGTTTCTGCCGCCGGAAGAAGCTGAACATAATATTCAACAACACGAAGATGAGGAACTGGAGAATGGCCTCCGTTTTTCCAGGATTTACCAGCAATTCGGGTTCGAAATTTTACCGAGACGTGTATTTTTTCGAGGTGGTCGGTTTTTTTGAATGTTCAGTCGCGACGTGCTATTGGAATATTCTAAAAAAAATCAAAGTAGGATCTTAATTCACGATTCGAGGGAATATTGGGACAATTAGACTACTTTTGCAAAAGAGAGCCACTATTTTTGAACCATCCATAAAAATACCTATGTGCACACGGCTAATAATGGCACATACGTTGTTTCTGACGAGTCAGCAGGAGAACTTTCTCATTTCAAAATGTAGTCTATTGATTGAAGGTATACACGNGGGGGGGGGGGGGGACACATTGGATAGAGTCCAGACTCCATCCAGACTCTTGAAAACATCGACAAGAAAAATGACTCTTGATTCAATCAGATTTAAGCTTAAATCAAAAGGAAATCCGCTCAAATTAAGAGGCTTGGTTTTTGATTTAAGCTTATATCTGATTGAATCAAGAGTATTTTCTCTTGTCGATGTTTTAAGAGTCTAGACTCTAGATCCAATGTATTTTTTTTCCAGTGTACTGGGAACTGGATATTGTTGGGAAAAGGCTCGGATTCAGATGAAAAATGAATACTCTCACAGTGACAATATGAAGCCAAAAAAGAGTCGAGCGGCGCGAATCAAAACGTCTGATTAGATGAACGAACACGGAGTGATTATTTCATACGTCTTCAGTTTATATTTTGGATGCCCATGCCGATCTTGTAGCTTATTTTTCCATCCTTCGTTTGGATTAGAAGATGAAAGATAGATCGCCGTCGGAGAGAACGGATCGAGAGACTTCCTCAATTTCCCATGCGCCAGGGTCGGAACATCCACCGCTCGGACAACCGGCGTCAGAGGAAGAAAAAGACGGAGAAACTTTGGTGGATCGCGATTAAAACTTAAAAATAAATTTCAATGTCGATGGGTCGCTCAGCCCGCCTGAGGTCGTCGTTGACAACTCACTTCCCTTTTCGCGAGTTTTTTTCTTGTTTCCGCGGATGAGAAGAACCACACTAGCAGAGACAAGTCTCTTTTTTTTTTTTTTTTTTTTTAAACATGAATTAGAACATTTGGAGTTTGGCGTCAGAATCGAACATTGGAATATTTATTGGTCTAGAATTGAACTATATTTTGTAATAATAAACTACTATACTGCCGTGCTAAGGAAGAACGCTGTATGAGCCTCTATACGTTGCCAAATTCCCTTCGATAAAAACCGAATTGTTGGGACAGTTGTAAATATTTTCCCCCAAAATTTTCAGACAATTTTGTACACAATTTATTACATGGTATCTGAAAATTCAAAGGAAAAATATGCATGAATGTCGTCAAAAAGTATTTTTTATCAAGGGAAGTTTGGCAACTCTCGAATGTTTATGCGGCGTTCTTCCTTAGCACGGCAGTATATCCGCCTCAATCATAGAAGCACCTATCTGCATAGGGAACCTTAAAGGCGAAAACTTTGTTTTTAAAATGAGCCAGAAATTTGAGTTCCTAACTGCAAAATTTAGTCCAATTTGGTTTCCGTATTAAGTTCTTCCTCGATTGAAAAAAAAAACAGTCGTTATTTTTGTACTCAGCGTCAAGAAACTTCCTACCGCTCGCCAGACGGATTAAACGAGATCCTCCTGTAAATCTGTGAATTTTCATCACCATTTTGGCTCCAACTTGGAGAGCTTTTTAAGGGCTTGGCAGTTAATGTCCACCAAACCCGGCGCGTTACCACCTAGTCTCGAGAGGGGGAGGGGGTGCTAGGGGTTATTACGCCATGCAAACAAAGAAAAGTGAATGTCAGGGCGTCAGGGGCGGGGAGACGGGGTCGTTACATGGGGAGAAGAGGGCGATAGTGATATAATTAACAGACTGTTTATGATAGGTTAGGTGAGGACCGAGGATGTTGGTGGAGCGCGGATGGGCACCGAACGAGCGAGATTGTCGCGCATCGCGTCGCTGGAGCCGCGCCAAAACTGTAAGGAAGAACGCCGTATGAACATTCGAGAGTTGCCAAATTTCCATCGATAAAATTTTTACTTTTGGGGGAAGTTATGAATATTTTTCCTCGAAATTTTCAGGAACTTCAGGTGAAATAACGAACAAAAGTATCTGAAAAAATTTAAAGAAAAATATTCATTAGTTTACTAGGAGATTCTTGTTTCATCAAAGGAAATTTGGCAACGCCTGAAGGTTCATACGGTATTTTTCCTCAGTACGGTGGAAAAGCCCAAGCGGGGTTCTAGCATAACGCCACGACACGACGAAGCAGCAAGGCTTAGGCTCCGCTGAATTTGAGCATAACGCCGAAATAATGGATATTAGGCACCTCTTTGTCTGCGCCGCGGCGAGGCGCGGTGTGAAAGAACCCTCTTCCGTTCTACTTTTGTTCTCGTCCGGATTAAATCTGTGACCGAGTCGAGGGAATGCTCCTATAAATATGAAAAATTTAATGAGAGAAAATGGAGGTGATGGGACTAAATGCCTGTTTAGAATAGAGATTCGTTTTTTTAGAATAGAATGAGTCAGTTAAGCTCGGGAGGGATTTGCCTGCAAATAGTCGAATCTTACAGTTTTCGGTACGAGAAGAACGATGCGCACGTCAAAATTTCACGAAATAGTGTCTCCGCGGAGATATAACGCTTCCTTTTTAGGGGTCCTCGAAAACATGTTTGAACCGACCGCCGTGAATTCTTGGATCTACGCGTCATAAGACGGGAAGATGGCGGCGGCGAAGCCGACCTGCTTACTACCACCACACTGTCATTGTTGACATTTCAATTTCGCGTTTGAGGTTAAGTGAGCTCTGTGTGAATGTTTCATATCCTACATACATCTGTATCGCATTCTGATTGAAAAGCTTAGAGAATTAAGAGCAATGGATATGAATTTCAAACAAAGTAACCGACATAACCTCCAATTGACCAACAAAAACATACCGCCAACGCGTCGCCGCCGTGTATTCTTCCACTACGCTTTCCGCCGCCATATTGATCGTGACGTGTACGTCCAAGACCTACGAGCGCGCAGTTCAAACGCCGTTTTAGGCCACCCTAATTTTTGGCACTTTCAAATAAACTTTTCTCCTGTTTGCAGTCATCAAAAAAATTTAGGAAAAAAACCGTAAGCTTCGGTCACTTACTACTTTCGAATGACACAATAAAAAAAAATGACTTAACTGACTCATTCGTTTTTTTCGGATTTCGGCCACCAACATATAGGTCTCCGGTTTTTTCATCAGTATTGTTTCATACTTATTGTATTTTCCGACTGAAAATGACTCAGTTTTGAGTCGAAACGTTTCGAGTTTTTTATTGTTGTATTTTAGCCTTGTTTCCCATATTTCCCCTTGTTTTAATCCTGTTTAGAATAGAGTAGGTATCTGTGCGGAGAGTATGGACACCCTTTGGAATTGAAACTCAAAACCTGGTATTGTGCTTGGTATTCTCCACTGTAAACGAAGTAAAGCCTTTGTTTGGTGGAATTATTCCGGAAAATTGTATCTAAAACGCCTTATTTTCTACACAAGAATTGTGTTTTCTAGGCTACTGGTAAGTATATTTCTGACTGAACCTCGTTTTAACCCCTTCGCAAAAGCATTATATTAGGACACGGGCTCGGAGATGTTTTTCTCAATCGTTTCTAGGTCAGGAAGTGCAGGGCCGCGGCCCACATTTTAGAAGGGTTATGTTGTAATACATTAAAATATTAAAAAACTTTTTGGAAAATTGACAATTTTACGACAAAAATCAGTAACAGTTTACTTCATCTGTGCAATGAGTGACGTTGGAATTGAGTTAGGTGTGAAAGTGACGGGAAAAACAACAAACACCGGGCAAACATTACAACGCCTGGATGCAACTATTCGAGCTCCACTGATGTCCATATTGCATAAGCACTGAAATTATGGCGTTTCTATTCTCCAGGCACGCGCTACTTACCGCTTCATCCGCGGCACGGGGCGACGCGGAACGGTGATGCCGGAAGAACTAAAACGCCTTCATTTCTGTGTGTATGCAACACGGACATCCGCGGTGTCCGAATAGTTGTATCCAGGCGTTCAAATACAAGTCGTTCAGTTTTCATCGCGTGCGAAACCAACGTGCTATGTTCGTGTCTCTCACACCTCAACTCAATATCAGCGCAGGAAGTAACATTTTTAACTTTGTTGTCCCAGAAATGAGAAATAATTATTTTTTGTTCCATACACGTGTGAAAAATTTAAGAATGTCACAGCTATACCTACGAAATGATGTCATAGCTTTGTATTATCATGCGCAATGTATTAATTCTTTTCATCCTATACATTTCCGTTTGAGTACATAGGAACCCACAATAAGACGCATTAAAGGTTCTGCTGTTGTCAAGCCCTTGTTGGAGGATTTGGATCTTGCCAAAATTGTCATGCCGTCAGTGTGTGCCAATACTGCTTGCTTTTTCCCACGCAAAGCTCCCTTCAATCTACGTATTGCGGTGTTTTTATTTCATTCTCTTGACTCTTGTGATGATTATTGGCACTGGAATATACAATTTGATGATAAAAAATTGTAAAATTTTATACTAAGTATTTTTACCATTTCTGTTTGTGACATTTCAAATTTTCGTACATATTTTAGGTGAAAGGAACTTCAAAGGGAAGTATAAACTAAATTTACTTATATTTAGCTTCATTCTGTATTTGGTATTAATCGGTTAGCTCCAATTACGTATGCCAGTTTACGTATTAATTTTAATTTTAACATTTTATCTTTCTCTTATGGTCTAAAATGTAAGTAATATGTTTTTAGCCATTGAATGCCGTATTAAGTTTGCTGCGTTTCATATACGCTGTGAACTTACATGAAATATTCGCATTAATTTCTTTCCAGAGGCAAAAAAATAGGATTTTTCCGTTTTCTTCTAAGGGCGTCTAAGTAAACTGTAACGCAACTCAGGAAAGGAGAGATGTGAGACTACGTTACCAGGGGCAGGGCAGGACTGATCATGAAGCTTGCGTCACGTACCCATTTACATCTTTGAATAATTGCTCAATTAATTATGCAAAAAATATTATTAGAATACTTCTCCTCAAAAAACCAATTAAAATCAGAGGAGAAGAATGTTCTCAATAAAGCGTTATTAAATTTAAGGTTGCATTACGCTTTTTACGCGTTCCAGCGTTTGCGATACGCTTGCGTTACAAAGGTAAAATGGGTCAAAAAATGTAAAGAAAACGGAGCGTTATTAATTACTCGAACACCCTTCGACTTTCTAAAGACCGATGTCCTTGAACATTATTGATATCGTCCAAGAAAATGTAAGAACTAGTTTCAATAATTCATTTCGGACCTTGCAATCGTCTGTGAAGAGAAACACATGAGTAAATGAGGCGGCACTCACCACTACTACCAGACGAGGCTTAGTTAATTTGATTTGATTTCACGACGAAGTGCCCGCTCATTGAAAGTAGATTACGCTCATTACGGCCGATTACGGACCCTCATAGCGCTTTTTTATCATTTTCTGCTGAAATCAAACTATTAATAGTGCCAACATGCAATTTTTAATGACGCCACCTACACATTTTTTTCTGGCTTTTTTAAATCAATTCTTCTTAAATATACATAATACCGCCTCTAACCCATGCATTCGGATTACTCACGCTAAAAGTACACAGGACCTAAGGACACCTAGCCGATTAGAAGTTTCAAGGGGGAAAAAACCATGAATATAGATGTAATAACGTGGAAAACATGCAGCAAAAAATGATAAACGCACTATGAAATAAGTCATGAGAATCATTGCACGATTACTGTTTCATAGACAATAATCTAATGAAATAAAAAGAGACTGAATAATTTACTAGCTTAAGCTGAAATGGAGAACAAATGAAAACTGAACTCACTCATCTAATCATATTTTCACTCTTATTCAAGTTCTGCATGGGAGAAGTCCAGGAGACCGAGCCAAACATCAATAATCTAGATCGCGGTTAATAGAAATCGCGGATATTCGAGGTCCTATAGAATAATATTAAATAATTGATTTCATAGTAAGTTTATATTTCTCACCTGCATGTCAGCTTAAGCGCAAAGGACAGTGTCCTGTCCGACTTTTTTTTAGATTTTCAACAGAACTAGAGAACTGTGTTTATCTAGGTCGCGGTTAATTAAAATCGCGCATATTCGATATCCCACTGTATTTTAGACGGGTTTTTTTTCAGCACCTACTTTTCTCACCTGCAAGAATAAGCGCGATTGGATGTCTTCTACGACTCTCCTTTAAATTTTTAAAAAGGCCAAGAGACTGTGTAAATCTAGGTCATGATTAACCGAAGTCGCGAATAATCAAAGTTTCATAGAATTGTTGAATGATCGACTCATAGTATTTCAATTTCTGACCTGCAACCATAAGCATACAACTTGAGCGTGTCTTATACCATTATGAATTTTTCAGATTTTTTCGTGTATATCTAAGTCGCGAATAATAAAAAATGGGAATGATCTAAACGCCAATATATCAAGCGCGAATAATCAATGCTCAACCGCGGATATTCAATCATCGACTTATAGCGTATAGCTTTCTAATTTGTATACAAGCACGCAACTGACATTACAAACGACCTATTTCCAAATCTCAAACATCAGAGATTCTCAATCCATTAAATTCGCGTAAACAAGACACATCAGTCAATTTTACACGATTTAAAAAGCAAACCCGCGATCGCGCCGCTGCAACTCTTCAATGAACTGGAAATTAAACAAAAAATCAAGTTGATCAGTCGATGAAATGAGCCGGGATAAATAAACAATGAGGGGTTAATGAACTCTTCGGGAGGCGGGGAGGGGGGGTAGTGCACGTGGTGCGGGGGAAGGGGTAGAACACTAGGGGGATCACTGGTTCCTTACTTCATAACACGGGAAACAAGTCCGAGACAGAAAAACGCGAACTTGTTCGGAATGCAAAACTCGAATTTGTCGAACAGGTTGAGATAGATGTGGAGCCCGTTGGCCAGCATGATGGCGCAAACTGAGAAGATCATGGCTCTCGGGGACCGGCGCTAGGGGGCGTGGGAGAGCGGGGGGTGGAAGGGGGGCTTCAGCAAAACACCGTTGGGCTTCGGATTTGGGGTCTAAAAATAATTATCTTGTCTAGCGCACGGGCTAAGGGCTTGGTGGTTGGTGCCGGGTGGTTTGCACCGGTGCGGTTTCAGGCGCGCGGCCCACGTGCAGTGCCGGAGTTTCGCGTGGACTGACGCGAGGCTGAAGCCGGCACCCGCCACCCCCCCCCCCCCCGTCGTCGCTACTCGGCCTTTGTCGGTTATTCCGGGCGATTGCCATCTGAAAAAATGCATTCGGACAGTGACTTTTTGATAACTGGAAATAATTACAGGAAATAGAATACAGCTCTTGCATGTCACGGGATTTGTGATGTAATACTTCACTTGTGAAAAATCTCGCGATAAACACGACGGTGTTACTGGTTTTCTCTGAAGCAAACTCTCAAGCTTCAATAGCTCAAATTTTAGGTCATAATGGAGGAATCCTCAACACTTTAAGCGATTCAATCTCTATGGGGCCGTTACTATATTACGTTACGCATTTCTTCGGCATTTTTGACCCACCCCCCCCTCCCCCCTTGACGCTTTTGTGACGTAGGTCCCAATTCTTTAGCAAGTAAAAACAAAATGGCGTAACGCTTGCCTCGACCCCCGCCCCCTCCCCTAATCCTACAGCGTTACGTAATCGGTCTGTTGTAAAGAGGAGATACAGCCAACCGAATATACTTTCTGAGAGTGAATTCGCTCGAAAATCATGTTGGGCACATTGAAAAAGTCTGAAATCCACTCCTTAGCGCTCAATCTGCGTACAATTTGCAACGCGGTTTCCAAATTTACCGCGAATGCGGGTGGTTTTTCTGAGAGGCTGGCATTCAGGTTTGCCCGGAGAGGGATTTAAAGATTCACACTTAAGATTTAACTTAGAATACAATTCTATGAAAAATTCAAAGAAAAATGTGCATAAATTTTCAAGAGTTTTATCTTCAAATTTGTAACAATATCTGAGTGTTTATACGGCGTTATTCCTTGCTGTGGCTGCCTTCTGCCCCCCCCCCCCCCCCCNAGGTGTCTGATGGAATTTTTTACATTCGTTAACAAGCTCTCGTCTAATACTGCAAGTTTAGAAGTTCAAATTTTCCAAAACTACTATTCAGAACTAAATTGCAACAAATTGCAGTTTTTAGTCAAAGATGGCTACGCGGTAATTGCGGGAGCTCCCACTTGTTCGGTGACGGGTTATTAATATTCAGGGGTTCTCGGGTTAAGCGATGAGGCTCTAATATCGCGGGAGAGGCATTTATTTATGAAATGAGGAAGTATTGAATCTTGGATGGGTGGTTTGCATCACGGTGCGGCGGTAGTTGGCTCGGCTCCATTTTGCCAAATTTTCATCTGCCATAAGCCCACACCCTCATTGATGAGCGGACAACGGACGTCAGCAAAAGTATTGAGGGGTTATGCGCGAACTATTTCCGTGCTCTCAAGACACACCGTTGCCATTTGCCATCCGCAACGGTCAAGCTGTCGAAAACTACACTGTTAATTGGACTGAGTTAAGCAGAAAGGAACCAACCCACAATTTGGAAAAAATTGAGTTATGAGTGGTTTTGAACTCAACCACTGCTCTACTATCTATCGCCAAAAATTCAAAGTTTTTGTTGGAGCAAATTTTGCAGAAATTGAACTTGAAGTTTAACTTTTACATTGAGTCTTATGCAGGAGCTAAACTTTAAGCCTCTTTTTTTCGGTTCGATCCCAATGTGGCTTGGTTCCTTTCTGTTTAACTCCGTCCAATTGGACGTATTTCTATCAAACGGAACTATGTGCACGAACACATGAGCTCTGAGACCTATAAGAATATATGCATAACTGGGCTCACGTCATAATGCACATAGTTCCGTTTGATATAAATACGTCCAATTGGGGGCTTGGAGGACAAGCCTCAGAAGTGCAATTTTCGAGAAATACGTGTTTTGAAGTTCCGAAATTACACGGATCCTTATGACGGAAAGGAAGTTCAAACTGACTTTTAGATGCTTAAAAATTTGAATTTGGGAGCGAATTTTTCACAGAATATCCATTAAGACTAGTTTTACTTGAAATCGTTGATATCTCAATTTTTTCAAAAGCTGCACTTATGCGCCTTGTCCTCTAAGCCCCTCAATTAAAGACGATAGTGTTCTTAATGAATGTTTTCTCTTTATAATGAGTATTTCTGTTCTGCAGAAATAAGCACCTACGGCGGCTGTGACGTTATGTCAATATCTTTGTCTATGATAATAGTGTCTTTCTTATATTAATATAAGAAAGACAATAGTACAGTCAATTGACTCGTAGCTCGAGTCAAATGAGACTCTATGATGTGGAATGAAGAGTCGCTCAGGGTCAAATTATTTGAATTATAATTTTTGATGAAAATCAAAATATACACCCTTCTTTTTGATAAACAACATACTAAACGCTCACGCAACTATTTCGACTCCTAGGACGGGCTTTTGGCCTATGTAACAGAGTGAAGGCACATCGCTCACCATGCACATGCGGTCCTCACTCACATGGCGGCGGCAAATCTAAGGGGCGGCAAAAATTTGCAATTTTTTAAAGTGTAGGTATAAAAAAAAAATCGGATTTATAAAAACAAAATTACAAAGGCGACAAAATCTCTCATTTCCTGAGAGTATAGTAATTTGTAATTTTGTCGTCTCTTAGTGATACAAGAGACAGCACCTTCAATAAGTCGAGTTAAGAGAGAGACCAAACACGCAATTCGGCCTGGAACGGCGCGACTTAGAGAGAAATGATAACGAAGACTTGAGATGAAAAGGAGAAGCCCTCGGCGCGGCGATCGGCATGTAACACATATTAGCGCCTACAAGACTCCACGAATACTTCACGCATTGCATCAAACACAGTGTGGTCATTGCGGTCAGCGTGAAACGGATAGCGCCTACAAGAATGCATGAATACTTCACGCATTGCGCCAAACACAGTGCAGTCAGCGTGAAACGTATAGCGCCTACAAGGCTGCGTGAATACTTCACGCGTTGCGTCCAACACAGTGCGGTCAGCAGCGGTCAGCGTGAAACGCATAGCGCCTACAAGACTGTCGGAATACTTCACACATTGCGCCAAACACGGTGCGGTCTGCGCGGCGCGGCGGCGGAAGTTAAAATCATTGATCCACATTTATGTTTGTTCTTTCATAATTTTTTTGTTCATTTCTTATAAATGAAAGGCCTTGTCCACACAGAGATAGGTTCACGGAACTTAACTTTCGAGCAAAGTTCGGTGAACTTTTGCTAGTAGTGTAGACAGGGCTTTCCTAAAAAATGTGTTCAACACAAGTAAATGCGTCGTATGCGCCCCCCCCCCGCTGACACGTTCATTTGATAGTTTTTATCGAGTTTCAAAACGAATGAGAAGGGGGCCCATGGGCGGCAAGTAGGTAAATCCGGCCATGTAAATATTAGACATTGATCAACATTGAATCTTAGAGGGAATTTTGCCAATGATAACACTCATTACAGAACCTCTTATTTCCAAGACTTGGTTCTTTTTCCGTAAATGCAACTGAACACAAACTGGTCTTATTCATGCTGAAAGGAACTATGTTTAGAGGGTTTGCGTGCAATTTAGTTCCTTTCAGCACAAATAAGATCAAATGTCTCATGGCAAATGTCCATTGTCAAATTGTTGTTTTTGTCTACTTGAATAATGGCTGAATGATGACGTTTTCAGCGATTTATTCGAGAGTGAACGACTTGGCTGTGTTTGGCAAATTAGCTCCGACAGCTGTTCGATGGGACAACTTCTAATTTATCATGTTGCTGTCAATTGCTACACGCTGAATCTACAAAATGTTCAAATGTGTTCAAATTATGCTAAAAGGAACTATGTGCATAGGTTTTGCGTGTGACATAGTTCCTTTCAGCATAAATACGTGTCCTATTCACTTATTCACGTGATGGTTAGGCGGTCGTTTGGTTGAACCACGTAAATGGACCATTTACTCAAGTACGAAATGAATAAATAAAACAAATAATAATTGGCTCCACCCGAAAAGCGCCTCATGAAAAGTGTTTGGCCGAAAGTAATCAACTTCCTGGAACTATTTTAAAAATCACAATTCTATTTAAAAATAATCGATGGCAAATTTTTGTTGTCTCTGCCAGGGCTGGAATTATAATCATGGCGTATGAGGAGCAGCTACAAAAAGTGCTATCACAGTGTCGTTTATACAAGTTTGCAACACTGTTTTTCCTCCTTTTAAATCCATTAAAAATATCGATTCATAGGTGCGGAAAGCTTCCTCATCAAGAATCGATTGTTTTTTATGCATCTAAACGGAGAGAAAAACGGGGAGGAAAAACACAGGAGGAGAGAGGAAATCCATGAGGGTAACGGTAAATGACGACTTTACCCAGTGGCGTGGCGTGCTTTGCGATACATGGATAGATCTGTAATTCAAACCTATGGAAAAGGATCGATAAACAGGGTGTTCGCAGTGAACACCTTGATAAGACTTCCTTCCATACTTAATTTTTAAGTGGAAAACTACTCAACGTCAATTCTTGAAAACTTCCGTGTTAGTTCCTCTCTGTGCGTGGAAAACTCAGTGAAAATTTCAAGAAGTGAAATTGATTGGCTCTCCCTCCAAAAAAGGAAACAGGAGCGGAGATTTTCAAACACCGCAAACGAGATACCTACGTGGTGTGGTAGTTTCACCGTTGATATACCACTGCATGCTTCGACTGAACCATTAAACGAACCAATGATTCTGATGGTAAATATAATCGTCCACTTAAATCTCGCCTTCAATTTCGCCGAATAGGCAACAAACATACCGGATACCGGGGGACGCGAATAGTTAATCCATTCGAAATACCCACGCTTCTATCGCTCCATTAGCTTCGATTGAATCGATAAAGGATGTTGTTAACCATTGGTAGGTATCGTCCATCTGACGATCGCCTTCCGTTTTGCCGCAT